GGTTTTGCGCCCCAACCGTATGTCCCAGAAGGCTACAGCTTTAGCTAACGAGCAATACTATCGCCAGCTTCTCCGATCCCGGTCCGTTCAATCCAACTACCGCGTGCGCGACCTCAGAGAATATGCCGGCAAGGTCCCGGATTCCGAATGGCGCTGGTGTGGCTTCCCGGGGTGCCAAAAATATGCCTGCCGGTACACTTTTCTTCAATCATGGGGGGGTGCATTCGTCATCGCCCCTATTGATTCAGGAAGAGACTGTGACATCCTGAAGGATCTTCTTGACGCCTTCGAGTCTCAGAGATGGACATATGGCTCAGAAATCCACTGTAGGGTCTCTTTTGCATCATCTCCTCCTGTCAGGAGCGTTGTTGGCCAGTTTCTAACTCGCTTCACTGGCCGGCCGGGTGCCGTTGCAGGATGGGACAGTGGAGACCACGACGCCGCAGTGAAGTTTTTCGCAAACATGCGCACCACGCACTTCTCCGTCTTGCACTCGCACAACATTCAGAAGATTCACGATGAGATGGACAAGGAGATCTCGAATCTGGACCATATCGTCCCTCCTTGGCGTCTCATTCTTCAGTTCATCATGCGGCTCGAAGCGTGGAGACAGCACCAGATCGGGCAAGGGTATCCATGGGACTGGCCTATAAACGACGCCATGAATATGTATCAGGTCATCCTCGAAACCTATCGACGATCCAACGATAAGGGCTACTCAACTTTGAAGGCCATGGTACAGGCAGAGCAGGACAAGGCTTGGACGCTTTGGTGGGATCGCCACCGCCCCTGGACCAGCTGTAAGGTTGCCTTCCTTTGTGGACTTGAAGAGACTGACAGGACGAATAGGAACTGGAGCCAGGATGGGAACTATGATGGGCATGGCGTTTCTGCAGCTAGGATTTATGAAGGCGTGGGACAGTACAAGCCACATTGGTGGCCGAACCGGCCAAGAGCGCCTGGATTCAACGCATCTCTAGAGCATTGAGACACTTTCACTCGGAATGGTAGACATTTGTTGGTTTCTTTCATGTTTGCCTCTGGAATTTGACAAGATTTCTGCACCTTCCCGAGTGAAATGCATCATAGGACTTTCGCCTCAATGAACAAACGAGCTTGTCAATACCAAACTTGTACCGTCATCATCCACAAGTTGTGTAGATTTAGGAATTGCTTGTGTTTGCCTTTGTTCATGCATGATTCCTACTGTCGCTTTCTATCGTCAGATCAAGCTGCTCCTGATCGCTTCTTTGTCAGTTGCCCTTCATCCTAATGGAACATAGATAGAGGACGACGGGAATCTTCTAGACTTGAGCGATGGTAGCAGCAAGCAAAGAAGCTCCTACTTCTTCGGCTTTTGCTCTAGTGACCTCTTGCAAGCACCTTCCTTCACATAGATGGACCGGGAGTGACCCGCATCACAGGTATCAAGCCGCACTTCCTCTCAGCCGCGGGTCTTGAGGCATGCGACTTCTTCAAGATGACGGCCCTGAAGGGGCTGGCAAGCGCTTAGAAACAAAGTAGATATCTCCTGCTGTTGAAGAATCCAAAAGAGCCTTTCCTCGACAACATCCTCTTTTTTCTCGACGCTGCTGGAAACTCCAAAGGTTGCAACTCAAACATCACCACAACCACCCAGAGGGGATTATCATCTGAAGCAGAAGCAATAAAGGCATCCCAAGATGGCGTCTTCCTGTCTCCAGAAAATCTCTCGCGCCTCAGGCTCAGGCGGCGGCGGCGGCCTAAGAGAGAAGGAACCCGAGTCTTTCTGCTGCCAGCTCGCTACTTCCACTCCCATCACTCACCCGGAAGAATTCGCCAATCTTCTCGATATCATCGTCAATCAGTCCAAGGAAAACCATCCTGCCGCTGGCATTGTCTTCGCATTTCTCAACTTTTCGAAGAGCAACTGCCTATTTCCCCTCGCCTGCCTCGTCCACTTCTTCGGGGCATTCGTTCCTCAACCGATCATCACCTACCTTACGAGCGATTCTTGCCTCAGTGTCGCAAACAGCATTGATACCATCCTCATGGAAGCCAAGAAGTCGGATCAGGGCCTCTACAAGGGCACAAAGCCCAGCTGCTTTCCATCGACCGGCCGAAACCACTTCCTGCGTCTGATGAACGCGTCTGGCCCTGCGGTGTGTCATCTTTCCCTTTTCCCTCCATCTCAACGCTTCATTTCTGTCCGCCAGACTAATTTTCGTCACAGCCCAAGGGCGACAAGGACAAGAGCGCAGATGGCGCAATCCGCAGAGGCCTCCCCGAACTCGACTATATCCTCTTTCAGGAAGACCTTCCCTCCTACTTCGCACGCGCTAAGCGCTACGACAGCTTGCCTGGCGACCCGGTCAACTACCTGTTCGCGGCTATGCCGCAAATCGAAGAAGACGACGCAGGCTTCAAGGGAAGTAACAAGTCTGCAGCTTACAACCGCCGGTTCGTCCTTGCCCTCTGGCCCTATGCCAACTCCAGTGTCGAGGACATCGTCGCCAAGTCTGAGGATAAGGCTGCATCTGACTATTGGTGGGCCGCGCGCTTCGCATTTTCCCTCTGGGATCGATCTGACTTGTCGATCCGATGCTCATTCACCCAGCTTCTTAGCGAGATCGCTTTATACCATAACTCTGAGATTGTCGAGAATCCTGCCCCTGTCGAGCCGAACCACCGTTGCGAAGCTGCTGATGGTGATCCCTGTCCCGGAGAGGCGTTCGTTCAGAAGCACAAGTGGTTGAAATACACGCGCTGGATTCATCGTGGACGAAAGGACGAGGATGCCGATATTCAGGTTCGTCTGAACCAGAAGTGTGATCTGAACAAGCTCTTGAGCGTTGAGAAGTGCGTCACATGTGGTCACGAACGCCAGGTCTCTCGCTGTGGTGCGAAGAAGCCCATGGTCCACTGCAGTGGCTGCTACGTCGAGTGGTTCCCGCACCTACGCCGAACTTACTGTGGCCCGAAGTGCCAGAAGAAGGACTGGAAGACGCACATTGAGGAATGCCAGCGTCACAAGCACTTCATTCGAGCCGTCTGGATTTTGAAGGGCATCGCGGAGAAGTTCATGGCCGCGACCTTCTCTGGTCAGGCCGTTGATATTTCCCCCATCGAGGTCCGTGACAACAAGACCAAGGCGCTCGACCGCCAGGGCGTTCCGCGCTTCGCCGTCGCCCCGGCTGCCTGTGCCGTTGGACCCTGGGTGGGTGAACAGATGTTCCCCCTCGGCAAGTCGTATTTGGCGGATAAAAGCCATGAGGATCGCGCGAGAGCGCTGGCTTGGGATGCCGGTGACAACCTCTACTACCATCTTCAGATCATCATTCGCCAAATTATCACCCGTGAGTGCCGCTCCCCTTCTTCCTGTCCTTACATACGTTGTCTCCCTCTCCCGTTCATCTCATTCACGTGACGGTCAGCGAGATGAGCTGATCAAATAACCATAGCGCTCTGTGATGATGTGGTTGAGATGCAGATGTTCTTGCGGAATGCCAATAGCATTACCTCTCTTGCCGCTGATCGATGCCGCGAAGGCCCCGCCGTCCACACTGCCAAAGGCAAGGACCCGATGTTCTGGCCTCATCCCATTCTCAATTGCAAACTGAAAGGAAGCGAAGACCTGTTTATCATCGACCTGCTTGGAGCCAAGTTCGGCTTCAACGAGATCCTTCTCCCGGGCGAAGTATGGGTCAAGTCTAGGTACTTCCAGAAAAGACACGATTCCATTGGCGAAGATGAGGCTAACTAAGATATGTCACAGACTTGCGTACTGCGTTGGCTCGACGGTTCTAACGAACATGACGCCTCACTGGTTTCCCCGCGAGCAGCAGGGTCTCGTATCTTGCCGTGACGAGGTAGCATACACTTGGCAATCATGTATCAAGACATATATCGCCACCAAGTGGCCCAATATCCGCGGGCCCTTTGCCTTGTCACATCTGAAGGAGCCGCTGTTCAGGGAGAAGACCTACATGTTTATGCTCCACTCGGACGAAATCTTCAGGGCGACCACTGACCGTCTGCGCGGAGAGGGGCTTTACCGGCAGTACCTGGTCCACGACCCGAATCCGTACTCTCACGAGTTTACCATTGGCGTCACCAACTGCCAGATGGAGTGCGATGTCTACGAGAAGATCTGGATGAACCGACGTATATTCGACGTCATCGTCAAGGGTGAGCTCAGCGAGCGAAACCAGCTGCTGCCCGCCGGTTCCGAGACCATCCGCCTCGTCGCGCTTTGGGTGGACCGCTTGATCAAACACGGTCAGAAGGTCAAGTTTGACTCGGTCGGACTCCTTGGTCCTCGCATGGCCAAGCACTACAACATTTGCACCACGCACTCGTTGGACGAGCTTCGCGAGATTTCCATGCCCTGGCTCCTGTGGCACGGCATCTCCAAGGATTCGTCCCAGAAGTTCTTCGAGCAGTGCAAGGGTATCGTCACCGACTACATGAAGTCGAGTGCGGCGGCGCCCGATCAGCTGCTCAGTAGCATGGCGTCATCCGACGGCCTCACCAATTACCTGCAGACCTTGTCGGTGGAGGATGCGTAAGAGTTCTTGGAGATTAGTGCGATGATCAAGTCTCCCCATAACGCTGCGTCAATCAAGCAGCTGCAGAAGGAGCTTGCGGAGGGGGCTGGTGGCAAGAAGTGAGGCAGTTTATGAAGTGAATTACTTTGGTTTCGAAAGTGGTACCCGACACAAATTCCCCCTATGGTGGGGGGAGAAGTAACAGGGAATGGTACTTGGGAAGGATTCTTTCATTTGGAATGGAAATGGGTTTTTATGAGTTTGCAGAATACCCTTAAGTTTGGTAAATGGAAATTGAACAGTTGACTCTGAGTCTTATTGAGAAAGTGATGTGATGTGAACTTGGACATTGAGCGTCGTCAAATGGATAACTGTGATTGGCCAATTTTCATTGACCGTCGATGTCGTGCACAGACCACATGAAATTTGTCCGACTGGCGATTGAAGCTCGGAAGCTCCAGCAACTTTTTTCCCCATCACCAGGTGTACCCCATCACGCCGGCAGGACAGACATCTCCTGCTTTCCAGACATGTACGGTAATCCCCAGAAGGGCATTGAGGAATTGATATCCAGCTCGATACTGACGACATCTCCAGAATGCCACCGAGGTTACCACAACAGGCCGCGCGCGCCCTCCGCAGGCTGGCGACGCCTTCAATCCCCATCACACGATCCTTCACCAGCACGACCGCCTTCCTCGCCGCCCCAGCCGCCGCAAGCCTCCGCCTGCCCGCCGACTACGTCCCCGCAACGAAGCCTCAGTCCGCCCGTCCCCCCGAAACCCGCAAGTCCCAGCTCATCAGGACCTACACCTCCCTCCTCCGCACAACGCCCCTGATCCTCTTCTTCCAGCACAGCAACCTGACGGCAGACGAGTGGTCCGCCATCCGCCGCGAACTCAACAGCGCCCTCGTCGCCGCCACGCCCGCGGGTACCAATAGCCCTCTCGATGGCCGCGAAGTCCACCTCCAGGTCCTGCGCACGCGCATGTTCAACGTCGCGCTGAAGCTGGCCGAGTTCTACGACCCCGAGGTCGCCAAGGCCAAGGCCACCACGCGGACGGGGCCCCGCGGCCCGCTGGTGCACGATCTGAGTATGGCGGCCTACGAGGCGATGAAAGATTTCGAGGTCCCCGAGGACTCTGCCTACGCGCAGATCTCACCCTTGCTCTGCGGTCCCACGGCGGCGCTGGTCTTCCCCGCCGTCTCGCCCGCGCACCTCGCGGCCGCGTTGAAGATCCTGGCGCCGAGCCCCGGCAAGTTTGCGGCGCCGACGAGGAAGAAGAACCCGGGATACTACGAGCCGCTGTGTCAGAGCGCGCTGCAGAAGCTGCTGCTCGTCGGTGGAAGGGTCGAGGGTGACGTGTTTGATGTCGATGGCGTCAAGTGGGTCGGCGGTATCGAGGGTGGTCTCGACGGACTGCGGGCGCAGCTTGTGTACATGCTCCAGAGCGCTGGATTGGGTCTTACTACTGCTCTTGAGGGCGGAAGCAAGAGCCTTTGGTTGGCGTTGGAGGGACGGAGGACGCAGTTGGAGGACGAGGGAAAGCCTAAGGTGAGCGAGGGCGCGGAGGAGACGAAGAGCGAGTAGAGGGGGTTGCTTGTGAGGGTGGTGTATGATAGTGCTGTAAAAGTCTGTATTATCACGGGATACGGATCTCTACTATAGAGCTAAACTATTTGTTCATGGCATTAAAAGTTGGACATGTCTTGATCCAGTGTGTGATTGTAGAGTCCTCTTTCTTGTCTTGAAATTGAAGAAGGCTACTTCGACTCAAGGTAGATACTTAGGTACGATATCGCGTTGAACCCGTCAGCGATTAGCATCCTACCTTACCGTTTATCTAACGAATGCCTCAATGGACGGCCATATAACACTGCCGTTCAAAAGGGGGACAGGTTATTCACAACGTTTGACCAGCTTCTTCAAGGTCATTGAGGCAAGACAGGCCTGATTAAGCGATGGAATTTATCATAGTACTTTGTGAACTAGACAGTCTCCAAGGCTGACAGACTCTTACAGTTCGTCTCAGCCGCCTCGAATAAGAGTGAGTTTGACAAGAGACGAATGAATGAGGTGGACGGTTCAAACTGACCAGGCCGGCAAAATGCGGGGCGGGAGCCACTAACAACGACCGCTGCAGGTGACCTGCATGAACGCGCCGTCGAACCGGAAAACGACCCCTAATTAAGCCTGGAGCGCGAGTTCCAGGTGTGCTCCAGCTACCTCCACGCAGTACCTGACGCCATGGCATTGCGCGTTTCTGAGCTTCCAAAGTACCCAAGCTGACGTACCTCGAACCTCCGAACCTCGACAGCTTCACAACCTCTGACAAACAACACCACGACGACACCGACCTAAAACTAACTTGAGAACCCCGCAATCACCAGGCACAGCAACGAACCTTTTCCTCCGACCTCTACCTTGCCGTGCGAACCCCCGCGATCCTTCCAGCCCCCATACCAACAACACAGCGGAACAAAAGCATCATGGATTTTGCTCCCTACCAGTCCTCCCCGCCAGAGCGCGAACGAGCCCTCTCCCCTCCCCTCGCGTCGCCGCGCGCCTCGGCCGATATTCGAAGACCCTTTTCCCCGTACGGCCAGCCATCACCCCCGCCCCTGCAGCACCCGCAACCGCAGCGCGGCTGGCAGCCTAACCTGCCAGGGTCCTACCCCACGGCGGACGCGCACCGGGAGGGCGTGAGCGAGTTCGATACGAGCCTGGGGATCAGGCTGGACTACGAGGCTGCGCTGGCGTATTTGGCGTTTCCGCCGCTGGGTGCGATATTGTTGTTGATTGGGGAGCGGAATAGTGATTATGTGAGGTACGTGGGATGTTTCTTCTGGGGAGGCTTCAGAGCTTTGGCAATGATGCGACGGTCTTGCTACGATTGAACTTGAGGTTCTGCTCTATAAAACCGGCCGCTGACATCAAGCAGATTTCACGCATGGCAGTCGGCACTGCTATTTACAGCCGTCATGATCTTCCACCTGGTGTTCCTCTCGTGGTCCAAGTTCCTCAGCTGGTTCTTCTTCATCGGCGACGTGTTTGTCATGGTGTGGCTGGCATTGAAGGCGTACCAAGACGCGGATACGCTAGATAGGTATGTTTGTTCGTGGAGCGGAGAATGACCCCGTTGCTAGGGGACATGCGCTGACCACATTCTAGATTCGAGGTTCCCGTACTTGGCGCGCTGGCCAGCCGGATTCTTGATGACGAATGAAATGTGACGAGACGACGATGCAACGAGAAGCCTGGAGGGATTACTGTGTTGTAAGATGGCGAGGGGCGTGTCTTGATGACTATTGTTGTGCATATTATATACCCTTTTAATCAGTCGGAGAGAGGACCATCTCGACCTAGGCCAGGCTGGCCTTTCTGCTCATAGATGTACCAAATTGTCTGTATGAATGACAAGAGACCTTGACATGAAAAGTGCCATGCATTTATACAGGATAATGACTCAGTAAGTAATTACGGTAATATCTCTTCGATGAAGTGAGGTGAGCTCATCAACACCCCACAGTGTGTAGACATGTGTCTAAAAGTATGCAACACTGTAGCCGGATCCGGTCGGACTTTCCTCCTAGCGCTTTCCGGCCTAGCCACTGGACGCACAGGGCAACCACCAGGCTGATTACGCGACTGTTGCTTGCCTTGAGGTCCAGCTCGAGCCTCACTGCCAGTACCTCACCCACGCAGCTCCGAAGCTGTCCCTTTCTGCTCCATCACCAACCCACGACGACGCACCGGTATCGACCCGACCCGGCCCCATCACCAATCCCCCTCACGCTTTGACGATAGAAACGGCGAATTGTATCTTTGACGAACACCTACCATTAATATCCTCCCCCATCCCACACACACCCCGCCACCATGTCGACCCTCGAAGAGCTCGACGACCTCGATCGTCAGGACAAGAACGACAAGAGAGATGAGGGCGACAAGGATAAGAAGGACAAGAAGCCCACTAACGATGGCGATGCCGAAATGGAGGATGCCGAGAAGGAGGAGGATATCCTTGACGACGAGATCCTGAACCTCAGCACGCAGGACATCCAGACACGCAAACGGCTCCTCGAAAACGACTCCAGAATCATGCGCAGCGAGCTGCAACGGCTGACGCACGAGAAGGCGACTATGGGGGAGAAGATCAAGGAGAATCACGACAAGATTGCTAATAACCGGTATGCCCCTCCCTATCTCCCTCCGACTAACGATGACGAAATAGACAACTGACATAATCCACCTTACAGGCAATTACCCTACCTTGTGGGCAATGTTGTTGAACTCCTCGATCTCGACCCTACTGCCGAGTCATTGGAGGAGGGTGCCAACATCGACCTGGATGCCACCCGCGTGGGCAAGTCCGCAGTCATCAAGACCTCCACAAGACAAACCATCTTCCTCCCGTTGATCGGTCTGGTCGACCCCACCACCCTGAAGCCTGGCGATCTTATCGGTGTCAACAAGGACTCCTACCTCATTCTCGACACACTCCCGGCCGAGTATGACAGCAGAGTCAAGGCCATGGAGGTTGATGAGAAGCCAACAGAGAAGTACACGGACGTTGGTGGTCTCGACAAGCAGATCGAGGAGCTGGTCGAGGCCATCGTCTGGCCCATGAAGGAGGCGGAGCGGTTCAAGAAGATTGGCATCAAGGCGCCAAAGGGTATGTTCCGATACTGGAGCGTCACTGTCATTTTGGCGAAATACTGACCACCTGCAGGTGCCCTGATGTACGGACCCCCCGGTACCGGAAAGACACTGCTGGCCCGAGCCTGTGCAGCACAAACCGACGCTACATTCCTCAAGCTTGCAGGCCCTCAGTTAGTCCAGATGTTCATCGGAGATGGTGCTAAGCTTGTGCGCGACTGCTTCGCCCTGGCCAAGGAGAAGGCGCCGGCGATTATCTTCATTGACGAGCTGGATGCCGTCGGTACGAAGCGTTTCGACAGCGAGAAGAGCGGTGACAGAGAGGTGCAGCGAACTATGCTGGAGCTTCTGAACCAGCTTGACGGTTTTGCATCAGACGATCGCATCAAGGTGCTGGCCGCAACCAACCGTGTGGATGTTCTGGATCCTGCGCTGCTTCGTTCAGGTCGTCTCGACCGAAAGATCGAGTTCCCCTTGCCGAACGAGGAAGCACGTGCGCAGATTCTTAAGATTCACTCTAGAAAGATGAGGGTCGACCCCGCCGTCAACTGGGGTGAGCTGGCTCGCAGCACGGATGAGTTTGGTGGTGCCATGCTCAAGGCCGTCTGTGTGGAGGCCGGTATGATTGCTCTGCGTATGGGCAAGAACAAGATCAGTCACGAGCATTACGTGGATGCCATTGCTGAGGTGCAGGCCAAGAAGAAGGACGTGAGTGTTGATGTGTGCTCCTCCCGGGCTGTGTGTGTACTGACTCTTTCCAGACGGTCAACTTCTACGCTTAATCCATTCACGTATTGGGTGATGCCGCTGGGTATCTGGGGTTATTGCTTCTGGCGGGAACGGGAATGCATAGAGGAGTCGAATGCGATAGACAACAACTTTGTACGATTACCACGGACACTCAAGCGGCCCTATAGGAATGGAAAGCATGGTGATTGTGATCCCAGCAAGCGGTTTCAGTGTGTGATGTTGATACTTGCCATATTGGACGTGCTGTCTGTGAATCCGATGTTTGAACATGGGAAAGTGAGGCCTCTTGCCAAGTGGCAAATTCACCGCGGGGAAGCTATCCACCTTCAAAACACGGATGGTGAAGGGGACGCCGAGAGATCCTGACCTGAAGTCTACGATAGTTATCAGCGATCGGCACCTGAGAGGCGTGAAGGAAGTACGCGTTCAGCTTCATGTTATCCCAAGGGATCGGCAAGCTGTCAGGAACACCTCGCGAGATATGGAAACTGAGGCTACTGCAGGTTGTCGAGACCTTGTCGAGCTGAAGCCGATCTCTTGTGCAAGGCCAGCACAGGGTTGAGGTGGGCAGGCATCCGAATGATGGCTGCAGGTATGCACCGCATCCCCAGGCTGCGATTCTCTACAGGCAAGGTACTCAGCAGGGCTATGATGTGTTACGTAGTTGCCATCCGTTCGTCGGTTCTGGGATCCATGTTCTTTGGAGTTACTTGGGACGAACGGCCAATGACGAGGGTCAATTGCATTGAAGAAGGGGAATTGAAAGGCACCAAGGGTGTATCAAGTACGGCCATGGTAGCCGAGCGTTTTGAGCATCGCGTAGGTAGTTGCTATATCGCGTGGCGTTGTATACCTACTTTACCTCTAGCTAACACCCAAGCCTCTTCCGCGCGCCGTCTTTGAAGCATCATTGGCGGCGCAAAGTCTGGGGCTTTCATTGCTCTCTACTGTAGAGACGAAGTGACGGGAGATTTGAACCGTTGCTTTGGTGGTGCCAGACCTTGGTTTCTCTCCGAGAAGAGGGCTGATCCCTACCTGGTTTGGGGTCGCTTCGAGGTTCGGGGAGGGGTGGTTCACTGGTGGACAGGGGATCTCAAGATGGAAGTCAAGTCCTAGCGCCCTCCCCTTTTTGTGGCTTTTTTGATTTCCCTCTTCCTCTCATTTTCGTCAGGTTCTTGTAAGGCATTGGTGACGACGATACGTAAGTTTTGCTGTGAAAAGGGGGATGAGAGGTTGATAGCGAGGGTTTTGGGTGACATCGTGGGAGGCGAGTTTTGGCGATGCCCAGTGTTTTTTAATTCATTTTCCTTGGTGATGTCGAAGTGGGCACAAGCTGCTTTGGCTGTGTTTGTACCGTTTTGGTATTGGTCATGCAGGTTCAGAGTTCCAGCCTGCAGCTTTCTCGGAACGTTTTCGTTATTTTCCTCAAGCCTTGCCCTCCGTTCACTGAATCGGTGCTGCTGTTCTGGGTGTCATGGTCTCATGTTAATGACACCGTACCGTTGCGGCGGGCGTGGAGATGGCAGAAGAGGTGTCATGGTGTCCAGGTGTTACCGAGAGTTCGGACCATGGCCGGGGTGGAGGGGGCGAGACCGATGACGCCACCGCGGCTGAAGGGGGCGGAAGCTGGACGGAAAGGAAGTGCAAGGTGGAAGATGGGAGTAAGAAGCTTATCCTCGTTCCCCCCGATTCCCCTTGCGCCGTTTCTTACTACGGTAACTATTCTAAAGTCGGGTGCTTGATGTAGGTATTGCGTGATGGTCAAAGTTGGCGGTACATTAAGCCCTACGGGGTGAGACATGAATTTCGGCCCCCGATCTGGGGGAGAAGCCGCCAGCGGGAGGTTAGGGGAAAGTATCGCACCCGGCCCCATCTGCCGCCCGGGCTCCACGTCCGATTTGACTACGTACCTTACCTACTTCATCATACGTCTGGCGGTTAAATTTCTGGTTGATCGTCATAATCATGCATTTTCCTCTCTGGTCGAGCTGATTTGCGTTGCCGTTCTTCTCTTGTTTTTCTCACGTCCGGTGCTCATTTCCAGTTGTTTCCATTCTCCGACTTGTAAGAGGCTCAATCTGTCTATTGTTAGAACGCTTGACACGTTTCTGGGAGTTCTCTAAACGGTCAAGATTTACCGTTTGTCCAGCTGTTCAGGGGAAGACGAAATGCAAGATGCAGCCTGTTCCCAAAATGAAGCACCTAGTCGTGGCGTGGATGCTGATCTCTCTGTTATTTCAACGGGGTCCCGCTCAGCCACGCTCGTCCTGCCGTTAGACACGAGGGGATCGTCGGCCGTTGGAAGAGAAGTAGAGAGCACACAGACAGTTGAGGCGAGAGTAGTCTTTTCACTGCCCAACTCCCAACGGTCAAGGCCGAAGTGGCATAGGGGACTAAGTTGCTAGTCGCCAATTGGCAGCAAGCATACGCCGAAATGACGCTCTTTTCCCCCTTCCAGAGAACCAATCAATGGACGGTAGACTTTCATCCAGGGGGTGGGTGTGTATTGTTGTGTGGTGTGAATACCGGCAGTTAAGATGCAGGGGAGCGGCGCATATAGGTCCTACCTCCTCCTCCTCCCCGTCCCCGCTTTCCTCCAAGTGATGGGCTCCCCCGGTAGCCCGTAGGCGCGGACCAACGACGTCTCAATGCTTCGATGGTTCTCGGCTTGGCTGTTTGTTAGTGCTTCTCTTATTGGAGGTAACCCAAGCTATTATCCATTGCCCGCGTTACTGTTCCTTTGCTATGATTTGGCCAAGCTCCTCCCTTATTTGCCTGCCGGTGCCGTGCCGAGTTCTCCATGCGGCTGTATTGCAATGAGGTCAGAACCGGTTGGAATCGAGCGCATGGAGGACGAATACTACCTTGCCCGAGCCTCTTCCTCTCTCTTGAGTCTTGTCTTCTCGCCACCGCGACCCAGGGAAACAGCCGCCGCGGCGACGATCTCTATTGTGCTGAGGCAAGGCAATAGGTACTGCAATGCAGTGCAGTGTGGTTTAGCGCAAGGCGAGGCGAGGCAGCGGCTGGGTATTATCCCATCTATACCACCATCCTCGTCTCCGATCGCCACAACTCCAGAACGGATTCCTCCTTTATCTCCACCATCACCACCTTTCATCCCTACATCCAGCTCTAGCTCTTAGCCATAGTTTATCTCGAAATCCTGTTCTGGCAGAATCCCCGAATGCACATGTGCGCTTCAAGGAAGACAAGAAGTATGGAGGCAGCCACGGCAAACTCCCCCGGACAGTGATGCGAAAAGAATTCATCGACTTGGCCCGATCTGGCAACCTGAGAGCGTAGTACCTGACGTATTGCACACCCATCTGAGCTGTAAAGCTACAGACAGACGAGGCAAAGCACGGCAAGCAAGGAACAGGGACTCTGTTTCTGGAGCGTATAGGAAGAAAGCAGCTAGTGCTCCTTACTGGCCGGGCCCGGCGGCCGTTTTCTGCCATGCGAGATTGGGGCTCATGCGATGGTGTTTGCTAAATGGCCGGGTTCTGTTTCTGGAAGAAGACTGCGACTTTGTGGCTTGTAAGCCCCATGTCTTTCATGTTCGAGATGATAGATCACGCTCACACGCCCCTTTTGTCTCCGTGTCTCTGCCATGTTCTGGAACAAGAGGTCATCGTTGAGGTTTAGGCCCAGCGGGTGGTCCTGCCACTGTCATCAGTGCTCATCTCCTAATTCTCCATGCCTTGGCGGCTAGCCCAAGTAGTCACGGGTCTTGGTAGCGATACCTTTTCACGTCGTCATTCTCGGTTTGAGGCTTGAACACCATGTCACGCTGGCAGAACAGAAGACCAAATGTACCAGGCAACGGTTCAATTGATGCTTTCGTTTCTACCGAACCAAGTATTCTCCATATTCCTTTTCGTTCCTATCTGTCTTCTCTATTCGGACGTGTACACGGACTATTCTGGAAGGTAAAAAAAACAAGGAAACCCGTTCGAGGACCGTTGTCACCATGTGGAGTTCAGGTCGGATGGGCACACAGCACACCCACACCTCTTGCAGCAGAACCCTGCGTCAGAGCAGGCCGGGGTCGCGGGCAATTCACGGCCGCATCTGCAGATTCAGATGATGCGGTGGCAGTCTCCCATTGTCGTGGTCTTGGGATGGGATGTTCTGCCCGATGCTGATTTGTGCCTGCGTCCCCTCGGTGACCCCGACATGTCCAACCTACCCCCGTCATCCCAAGACTGAAGATAGACAGGCAACCGCACTCATCCCCGCTACTAGTCAATAGATTCTTGCCGTCGACTTACGGTGTTGTCCATACGTTTCCACACGTCGGCCGAATACTTGTTTAGTCAGAGTATCTCAAGGATCCAATGCCTTTTCTTCTCGCTCACTTACACCTGAAAGACTAGTCTCATTTCCTTTCTCCGTGTGTGGGCAACGATGGCCTATGACATGAAGAATAGAGCAGTTTGCTCGCCAAGGTCACGGCTAAACGGCCGCAGCCGACTCGCAAGTGTGTGTACTATACCTGCTCAAAGTACATGTGGCAACCTTCGAGAGTCCCATTGGAGATTTCAGGTACCGATCCAAGCAGCCCCTTTCACGCCTCCATCACCCCCAGTTCCTAATAGGGGGGCTCAGAACCCCGTCTCGAACCACAGAATTACCTTGCCCCTACACCCGGCTACCTCCCCTGGGCTCCATGATCCCTTCTCCTTGTCAAGCCCCAGGACGAACATGAGATCGACACAAGCCGTCTTCGTCACTCGGCAAGGAAAGAGGGGCCAAGAGGGGAGAGCTTTAGCTGTCTCCCATCTAAGACGTTAAGGGGCCATCACGATGTCACGCTGTCCAAGGATTGGGCCAAACCTGATGGTTGAGGCGGCGCGATCGCGTCGTTTGCTTGGTGAACTTGGTCTGAGAGACATCGTCATCGAGCCGGAGGCCTGTGACGAAGGTCAAGACTACGTTCATGTCTTGTATCTTGCAGTCGTCACGTCTTGTCTAGATTCTCTATATAAGAGAGCACGTCAGTCCCCATCGATACCTATTTTCTTTCTCTCCACTCATCAGCCCATCTCACCAACAAGCCTCATCTACAGCCTCAACAATCACTTTTCTCTCCCATCTATTACTACTCATTTACACCAAAACAAACAAACCACCACCATCATGAGATTCACCATCGCCCTCACCGCCCTCTTCGCCGGCGTCGCCCTCTCCGCGCCCCTCGAGGAGCGCCAGGCCGTCTACGTCCCTTGCTCCGGCCTCTACGGCACTTCGCAGTGCTGCGCGACGGACGTCCTCGGCGTCGCTGACCTCGACTGCGGCAACCCGCCTGAGGCGCCCACCTCGGCCGACGAGTTCAGCTCCATCTGCTCCGCCATCGGACAGCGTGCCCGCTGCTGCGTCCTGCCCCTTGTGAGTAACTTCTCTGATTCCCTTCGAATTCGATGAGTATGTCACTAATGAATGACAACAGCTTGACCAGGGCATCCTCTGCAACACCCCCACCGGTGTCACCGACTAAATCACCTTTTATCGGACGTGATTGAAGCCAGTAATGCTTCACTGTTCGACGCGAGAGCTCTTTGAGTAAAGAGACTCGGAGCCACGAGATTTTGTACGAGTTAAGAAGGATGTAACGGTACTCTGAATTCGATATACATGGGCAACAATTGTTATATACACTGGGACGGGAAGACGGTTGGGGTTTCAGGGGCGGAAAAGGCTTGGAGTCTACGAGGGCTATATAGGCTGTTTCTGGCAGCTTGTACAACACCTATGTCTAAAGAAATGAATGTTTTGTTGAAGTCAGTCGACCTTGTTGTTGAAAGGCCGCTTGAATTATAAAGAGCAAATCATTGATTTGCAGCTGTCGAAATGGAAGTATCCGGAAGTATTCAAGTTTCACGACAGACAGCACCCTTGGATCATGTGGCTGATATCCTCTGGTCAGAAATCTGCAGTATTGACCATGGTATTTGGCTATGGTACGTAAGATACAGTGTCGCATTCTTCTCTGCTTCTAGACCAGGGTTTTACCTTACTTCACAGAGTGTTACATGTATACCATGGGCTCTCATCGCCCTTTGAGCGCTTCACTCACATCTTCACCAGTGAGCCGCTCGGAATCGCTCACAATGCATCCGTATTCAGGTTCAAGGTCCTGCCAAGGACAGGCTAGATAAGGGCGCCGCCATGAGGAATACTGGCCGACGTCCAAAAGATGGATAGCTTAGAATATTGGCCTCAGGAGTCAGGATGGTAAGAGTCTATACATCAACTGACATTACTAGCACCCGTATCTCGCATCCACAATTCCATTCGCCTCCAGCCTTACTTGGATTCAACATCCTCCGAGACACAAGCTGGTAAGGTACTCACTGCCACAGAACACTGGCCAACATTGATAGGATGGATAGCTCAAGACACAAGCTTCAGGACAGGCGGCGTCTACACATCAACTAACATCACAACACCAATACTTATCATGAAGTAATTATCATGCACAATTGCTGGAAAGACAGCCCGAAAGTCAACGAGAGAAAAAAGACTAACCTACATCCCGACAGTGGTGAGAAGCGACGGAGATGGAGTAGCTGTCAAAAAAGGGCCAGCCCGCAAACGTGCCAGCAGGGAAAGGGGGGCCGAAGCAATGACGATGATGGACCGGTCCAGGCCTTTTGTCGGTCTGGCAGTCTCGGTGAAGCATGTGAGTGTCTGGTCTGGGTGAGCACTGACCGCCAGCTGGCTGCGAGTTCCCCACACCCCGGCCCCGTCCGTCCCATCATCGAAAGCGAAGCACCACGGGCAAGCACGACCACCTTGCTACCTTCCGGTACCTGAGGTCATTGCCAAGGATCACGATGAGGAAAGAGCTGGTTAGTGACGGCTGGTGGCGGTGCGGAGAAGTGGCTGAATTTTTCCCTCTTCACAATCTCCATCTTTGACTGTGGTGACTGTGGGGTTAGCTCAGAGTGACATCACCGGAGCAATTGGTCCTGTGGCAGAGCCATTGGGCAGGCAGGGAGTAAGACAGAGCTCGCAGCTTCCCGCTGGAGCTAAGAATGACGCAGGAAGGTGCACCTCGCCTTCCTTTCCTCCAAAACTCGGTCAACATGGAAAACTGTTGAGCATTCGGTCTACGACAATGGAACATGAAGATGAAAATGAAGGCCATCCTGAGTTCTTTAATCCAAAACGACAATTCAAATATCTCAGTCTGACGGCATGAATGGCATAAACATATCCCCCATATTTCCCATCAAAGTAATGGTTTCACCGTCCTGGCTCCAAACTGACCTGCAACCTTAATGTTCAGCGCTATGCACGTTGCATAGGGTACGTACCGCCAGCCAAGCACCACCAAACAGCCCGGACACCGCAGCGAACCCGCACCGCGCCGCGTAGAAAATCCACTAGACAAGGGGGTAGCTACGTCATGCTGAACAGAGATGAGCTTCATCGAGCTCTCTGAATGGCTGAGGAGGGGAGAGCTTTTGTGTTGCTCTTTCCCGCATCGTCTCTGAAGCACATCATCGTGGCATGTGGTCCGTTCCGGCCGGTGCTTTTGCATTGAATTGACGTGACTGCCCTGGTTGTCTGGTTGCCTCCTGCCAACCTACCTTAGGTACTGTGTATTGGTCTCTAATGATGCTCAGTTGCCTGGGGGGGCTTGGGCGCGCCATGTAGGTATAGATATAATCTGTCTCTTCTTTCTTTGTTTTGTTTGTGTCTCAATATCTGACCTGTTGTCTCCAAACAAATTGACTAGCAAGTCAGGGGAAGTAATTGAAAGGTGCACTAAAGGCACAAAAGGCAGGAGCTCATCGTCGCTCCTGACATAGACAGCGGCAGGTATCGCGCAAGCCAAGCGTACAACTTATATGTATGGCGATGCACCTTGCCCAGGAAAGCACATCAGGCAAGACGTAGAATGTACGTATGTACGTACAACCACCCGTACGGTCCTTCCTCTATCCTCAAGGCCTCGAATGTTATGGCCACCTCAGCAACGACATGAGAGATGAGATGCACCCGACCCAAGGCACCCAAGGTCCCAAATGCAGCCACAATTTCCCCCAAACGCATCGCAGTGACGTGATGGATTCCTGCCGTGAATTAGATCATCCGTGGACCATTGGGCGACGATTGACGCTTGACGCTTGACGCTTGCCTTCCTTTGGTTGAACCCAAGGTCCCTTCTCCTTCTCTGTGCTCCGTAGTCTGTACCTCGTACCTTCGTGCGCCTCCATCTCCTCCCTGTCGTCAACCTGCCCGCCTATTGCCTGCACCTCCACATTCATCTTCCCCGTTCACATTGCGTCTACCTACGTCTGTCCCCCCCCCCTGTACAAGCACGTAGCTTGCCATCCCGCCTCCCGTCGACACAACAAAAACCACCTACACCCTTGGCAACCTCTTCCCCAAGCTCAAACTTTTCTGTTTCTTCCTCTCTACATCAACAGTTCCGTGATTTCTTCATCTACTCAGTTCTTTCCGGGCCACTTTTTTTTCGTGATACCCCCATCTCTGGCTCTTCATTGGAAGACTGATCGCAAACCACCATCATGCGTTTCCTCCCCGCCGTTCTGACGGCTCTGGCTGCCCAGGGCGCCATCGCGAGCTCTTGGTTCTCCAAGGCCGGTACGTCATACCTTGCACTCATCGCACTCTTGCTTTGTTTTCCATGAAACTAACAAATATCACTCGCAGCCTACAACAAGTGGCACGAGACGGAGCTTGAGCGTTGGTTGTCCGACCACGACATTCCCTACCCTACCCCCGCCGACCGCAAGGATCTCGAGAAGTTGATTGAGAACAACTGGGACGACTACGTTGTCTCCCCTTACAACTCGTGGGACACCGACCGTCTTCAGAACTATTTGAAGGCCAAGGGTCTCGAGACTGAGGGCGCCGCCAAGGCCAACAAGGAGTCTCTCATCTCCCAGGTTCAGAGCTCTTGGTACGAGACGGGCGACCAGGCTCAGAACGCCTACCTCAACGTCAAGGACTGGATCTTGGACAGCTGGACCGACAGCCAGCTCAAGGCCTTTGCCGACAAGCACAGCATTCCCGGTATGTTCACAGCTATTTTTGTGCCACAAGTATCTGAGACTGACATTATTCTAGTCCCCCAGCCCCGTAACCGTGACAGCGTGCTCCAGAAGGCCCGCGCCAACTACGAGACCATTGCCCAGAAGGCTGGCGAAACCGCTTCCTATCCTGGTAACTGGCTGTATGAGACCTGGTCCGGTATGTTTATTTCCCTGTTTTGATGCAGCCCCAATACTAACTACATCTTTAGAGTCTGACTTCAAGGAGTGGCTTGATACCCATGGATTCCCCGCTCCTCAGGTCACAAACGTGAGTTCAGTCCAAACATTATTGCAATGCCCACAATCTAACCCCCGCACAGCGTGACAAGCTGATTGCCTCTGTCCGCCGCAACTCCCGTCTTGCCTCTCTCAAGGCTCAGGAGCAGGCTGCCAGCGCTTCCGCTTCCGCCCAGCAGGCCTACGCCACTCTCACCGACATGGTCATTGATGCCTGGAGCGAGTCTCAGCTCAAGGAGTTTGCCGACAAGAACGGCATTCCTGGTAAGAAGAGCCTATTGCCGAATGATGTGTCCACGTCACTAACAACGTCCAGTTCCCCAGGGCACTAAGGTCAACGAGCTGAGAGCTCTTATTCGCAAGAACCGCGCCGACTTCCTCAACTCCAACATTGCTGGCAAGGCCTCCAGTGCTTTCGGCGCTGCTACTTCCAACGTCAACCAGGCTGCAGCCAAGGCCACTGATGCTGCCTCCAACGCTGCCACTGAGGCCTTCAATGAGGCTGTTGGTACTTGGTCCGAAAGCCGTCTCAAGGGTTACCTCGACTCCCGTGGCGTTCCCGTTCCTCAGGGATCCAAGACTGATGAGCTTCGTGCCCTTGTTCGCAAGAACCAGCACAAGGCTGCCACCGGCTGGAGCGCCTGGACCTACGATGACCTCTCCACTGAGAACCTCCGCAAGTATCTTGCTTCCAGCAGTGATGCTGCCGTCAAGAATGTTGCCGAGAAGAAGGATGCTACTCGCGATGAGCTTGTGAACGCTGCTCAGTCTGCCTACAGCTCCGCTTCCTCTGCCGGTGGTACCTCTTACGCCTCCGTCACCAGCTACCTGTCTACGGCCACCGACGCGGTCAAGTCCAACTTCTTTGACACGTGGAGCGAGAGCGAGCTCAAGAACTACCTTGACAGCTACGGTGTCAACGTTCCCCAGGGCTCTACTGTCAACGAGCTCCGCGCCTACGCCCGCAAGCAGTACACGTACTTCAAGTACGGTACCTCGACTCCTTCCGAGACTCTCTTCGCTAAGATCGCAGAGAACGCCAAGGACACCTGGAACTGGGTTTCCAACCAGATTGGCCTGGGCGCCGACGCTGCTCAGAAGAAGGCTGCCGAGTCCAAGGATAAGGTCAAGCAGGAGTTGTAAACGCTCTTCAAACCTTCTAATTCATACCATCTCATATGAGGATGGTATTGGTGGCTCGTATGAGTCACACTGATGACGGATGACAAAATTTGGGTTTTCGGCTTGCTTTATTGACGACTTTGCTTTGGGAATTGCCATGGTTCGGAGGGGATACCTCCAGGTCCTTGAGGCACAGTGATAATGGACGTCGGACGTTTCGATCGTACCTGGACCAGGACTGTACACTATTCATTAGGGATGAGCCATGAAATTAAGCATTCAAAGTACCATGACTTGTAATCACCGCGTGTTTGACTTCGTCATCTACTCATCACGTCGAAGCCATCGAGCTGCCCACCTCAGTACTTACTGGTTGTGCCGATTCAACTGTGGTTTCTGTAAATCCTATAACTTCATTTACAATGTGATTTTTCAGCAAATGATATAGGTCTAACAATTGAATCGTATATAGAAACATCAGAATTGTAAATGATCTTGATGTCAGGAGCAATCACATTGTAAATCACAACTTGCTTAAGAAGCTCACCAAAGCTACCCTTAAGAGTAGATGAGCTTTGACAAGGACGAACTACCATGTACCTTTCGACTAATGCTTAAAGATGGAAAACTTTTGGTATTTGAAAGCACTACACATGAATCCTCTCCAATTGCCCCTTTTGGTATGCACGCCTTTTCTCAATATGATCATCCACAAAGTCACCAAACCGCACCTTTTTATGACGTTACCTTGAGAGAACGCCCCGGACGGTTCCCTCCAGGTTGGGCTTGTTGTCAAAGACGACCTCCTGGATCCCCGTCTCGCCGCCGGTGCCCTTGTCCAACCAGCGGGCGAGGAGGTCGTTGCTCTCCTTGGGTTTGACGGCGTCGTCGCGGGTGCCGACGGTGATGTGGGCGACGTTGTTTGTGCACTTCCACTGGCCTGTTGAGTCGACCAGGCGAACGACTATGGCCATGACTCGGTCATCAAAGACCACCTGTACGAGAGTTAGTTCGGACTGTAAATAAAGAATCAAAAAGGTTTCTTGCTTACCCGCTCGAGCTCGACGGAGCACTCGCCCAAGGCGCGGATGTTGGCCTGGTCCTGGGTCCCATTCTCCTTTTCCGCCTCGGCATGAAGGGCGAGGTACTTTGACCACAGCTCCGGGCTGTCCTTTTGACTGGCGCGGTGCATGAGCGTGACGTGGAACTTGGGCTGGACGCGGCGGGTCTGGTAGAGCTGCTTGTAGAAGCGGGAGGTGGAGGCGTCGACCTTGTTGAAGGCGCCGTCGAGGACGCCGCGGACTTCCTGAGACTGCACTTCGACGGACATGTACTCGAGAGGCTTCTTCTTCTTTGTCTTGGGACCACCCTGCTGCTGGCCCTGACCTTGACCCTGGCCCTGCCTGTCCTTGCGGGGGCCGCGGTCGGGGATGTTGTGCTTGAACTCGGGCTTATACTCGATAAAGGCGGACTCGATGGCCTTGTCGAGGCGGTCGGCAGAGGGGACCTCGGAAACGAGGTTAGGGTACATGCGGTGCAGCTCGTTGATGACCTTTTCGAGGTTCTCGCGGCTGCCAGCGGTGGGGTCGAGGTTTATGACGTTGTCGAAGCCGTCGTCGGGCGGGGAGAAGGCGGTCAGGGGCTCGAAGCGGCTGATGAAGCCCTCCATGATGCCGAGGAACTTTGACGCGTCGGTGGCGGCGTGGATGGTCTGGTGGTTGTCGCCGCGGGCGATGACGCGCTCCTGGGTGATACGGCGGACCTCGTCGACGTTGGAGTTGTCGTGGGCGAAGTAGAGAGCCACAAGGCGGGCCTTCTGGTGCTGAACTTTCACGTCGGTGATTATCTGTTTGCGCTCGTGCTTCTGGGCGTTATTGCGGTCGCCGATGACGACGGGGTGGTCCTTCAGGAGATCGAGGATGGCCTTTGTGAAGCGAGGTGGCCGACCCTTGCCTGCGATGTTGTCGTTCTGGACGTGGCCCCAGTTGAAGAGGCGCTGGAGGGCGACGGCGATGGTGGTCTTGCCGCAGCCGATGGTAGCAATGGGGCACAGGATCACGTCTCCCGTGACGTCTACGTTGACGTTTTCGGGACCATCCTCCAGCTCGAGGTTAGCGGCGTCGGAGCCCTTCATGTTCTTGTAGGCAAGGAAATCGTTGCGCAGGGCAATGATGCCGTGGTTCTGCTGGTAGAGCTGGGCGAGCTTGGGGTCGGCGGCGAGGCGCCGGCGGGCGTAGAGGAGATACTCCTCCGTGATCTTGACGTGCTTCTTGTAGCGGGGCGGCTTTCCGGAGATCATGGCTTTTGTGCACTCACGCCACTGGCGGTACATTAGGTAGGGCTCCTCAAACTTGTACTTGAAGAACCAGTCGCGGTAGGGGACGGACTCCGGGTTGTAACTCTCCTTGCAACGGATAACGAAGCCCTCGACGTCGCGGTCGCCGTAAGCGCCCGTCTCAGCCACCTCCTCAAGGAAGGTCTTGACCTCGTTGACGTCGTCCATGACAATCAAGCCGACGTTCTTGAAGCCCCAGTCGTTGCCGAAGCTCTGGACAAGAGCACTGGGGTAGGTTGCAAACTCAGGGAGGTTCAGGTTGATGCCGTGGATGTAGAGGCCGGCCTTGTCCGGGCCGTACTCGAGGATATGCTCCTCGAAGGAGTCGTCGCAGAGTTCGGCCACAGCGGTGGCATTCCGGTCCCGAAGCTCCCTGGCCAAGTCTTCTTTCGTCTTTCCCAGGGCAGCAAGCTGCTTCTCTAGAAGACGTTCTCCAGCAGTAGCATGGCTAAGCTCGGCATCAGCCCTGTCGCCCGTTGAGTGTTTGCTGCATACCAGCAGCGTACCATCCTCCAAGCCGGAAATGAAGATGATGCACCCGTTCTCCTTGAGGGTGAGCTCGTAGGGTCCCTTTGTCCTCGGGATGATGTTTTCCCACTTTGTCTCATGGACCTCGCCAACGTTGAAGAACTTGTCGTAGCCTCGCGTCACAATCTCATGCTCGTTGCGGCGATTCCTCGCTGTGAAGAGACCTCTGGCGTATGTGGGCAGGCCTCTCTTCTTGTAGTCCCATTCTTGCATCTTCCAGGAGTCCACAGTGACACCATCCTGGGAGTTCTTGACGTCAAAGGATGTCTTCTTGCAGGAGAAGGCACCGCCCTTTGACTTTGCAAACTTGTTGTAGGCCTTTGCGTCGTTCAGGGCGTGAACCATCTCTGAGACCTTTCCAGCGTCCTGGGGGACATAGGGGACCTTGGGCATGACTGCCCCGGCATTCATGGCGTTTGCTGACGCCATAGTTGTGGTAAAGGTTTTGTTGAAAGTGAGGGGGGATTGTCTAGAAGCGATGAAAAGTGCCCTTCGGGCTATGAACATGGAGAAAGACAAGCAACGGCGGTAGTAATGTCCTTTTCTCGTGTGAGTTGAGAAGAGACAAGCTGTGTGGAGGTAATCTCACTTGGCCGTCCGTCCTGGGAGGGTGAGACGTTTGTTTGTTTTGTAGTACTTGTGAACAGGATGTAAGCCTAATCCCTGACAACCTTGAGGTCGGAGAAAAGGTGAACAACGGGTCAAGTGCAGACCGCAGCAAACGCAGTACAGGAGGTGAGTCACTGTTACTGCCTTGTTTGGATAACGGACGAGAGAAAGTTCCAACTTGTGGTCTTGATTAAGCGGCCTCAGCTCAGAGTATTGGCGTGTGGCTACACCTTGGCTGACTAGGCGTCACGTCAAGAGAGAAGAAAGTAGAGAAAGTGAGTCGTCAAAAGCAGTGCAAGTTGAGCTCCTAGACGTTGGTAGTCACGCCGGGGGAGGAGGAGGAGGCCAATCAACTGGAAATGGCGTGGTGGGTTGTGCCTTCCTTAGGTTCCATTCCCTGGTGTGCCTTGCGTTTTCCACATTGGGGGTTGGTAGTGGTCCATTGGGCAGGCACGATGGAGAAGCGCCACTGCCACCGACGGTCGTGGGATCCTTCGGGGGCTTGGGGGCTTGGAGGGGCACAGCACAGCTCCCAAAGGGCCAAAGTCCCAGGGCCTCCAACCCCCCACTACTGCAGCTTACCTCATCTGGTTTAGGAAAGCGGTAAGGCTGAGCTTGGAGGGCAGTGGAGGGGTTAATGAACTTTGTGCGTCACGCCGGGAGCTCCCCTCATCCGGCAGAAATTTTCCAACAACCAAACACAGCAACATTGTTGGACCAAAAACAACTTGGCCTCAAAATTCCCGACCCAGAGAGTCTCGCTCCTAATCTCGTCTACAAGCTAATTCCTTCGACCAAGCCAAACCAACCATGGCGCCTAATCCCTACCTCCTAGCCGCCGACAACCCGGATGCCCTGCTCACCCTCCTCCGCGAGAACCCCGCCATTGCCTCGGGCCAGGATGAGCACGGCTACTCCCTCGTCCACGCCGCCGCGAGCTACAACCACCTCGAGCTCCTCCGCGCGCTGATTCGCGAGTTCAACGTCAACGTCAACATCAAGGACGAAGATGAGGAGACTGCGCTCTTCGTCGTCGAGACCGTCGCTGCTGCGAAGTGTCTAGTTGAGGAGCTTGGCGCCGATATCAACGCCAAGGGCGCCGACGGCATCACTGCCAGCCAAAAGATTGAAGGCGAGGGAGACTATCCCGAGGTTTCCGAGTACCTGCAGAGCATCGAGACACAGAGAACTGCCTCCGCCGCCGCCCCTGCAGAAACTGCCGCCCCTGCTTCTTCCACCGCTACCGATACCGCCGCCCCGCCCATCGACATGCCGCCCCTCCCCGAAGGTCTCGCCGTGACCCTCGGCACAATGGACCAAGCTGAAGAAGTCCCCGCCGAAGTCGACCCCGAGTTCAAGCGCCGCATAGAGCAGCTGGCGGAGAGGGAGGACTTCCACACCGCTACAGGCCAAGCCGAGCTGCGCCGCCTCATCGAGGATGCCGTCCTCGGCCAGGACCTGGGCGACGAGCGTAGTGTGCGTCAGAAGCAGGGCTAAGAAGAGAAGAAGGAGACGATAACAGCACTCTTGTTTTGTTACTATTCATCACCTTTGATTTCCCAAAAGAGATAATGGCCAGGCGACGAGGGCGGCCGAAAGAAGGCGACCTCGGTGCTGTCGCCCGTCATACCCTTTGAAAAGGACGTGGCGCTGAGCGAGAACCAAGTCCGCGAGGGTATGGCGACGAGGGCGTTGATGAGGACGCTGCGCACCCAATGCGAGGTGAAGAAACCCTGCCATGAGATCTTGCACACGTTTGTGTGCGACGGTGTGTCCGAGTCCGAGTCCCCGGGGACTTGGTAGCGCGATAGGTACGGGTCGATGACGTCTCCTGCCTTGACGCGGGGGCTCTGTAGACGGATGAGGGATAGCCACTCGTACGTCTCTGTCGCAAAGTCTTCGAGGCCCGGTCTGTCGCCGTTTTGGATGATGTCCAGGGGCAGTGAAAGCGGGGGTGTCTGGACTTGCAACTCGGGCGCGAGGGAGGGCTCGCAGGTGTATCTTGTCGGAAAATATTGGTCCAGGGGATCTGGTGATGGTGCTGAGGTAGAGGTCGCGTCAGAGTAGCTCGAAAGATGAGATTGGCACGGGCGGATGACTTACTGCTAGTCGCCGCGTTGCAAAATAACCACGTCACGGGCGTGTTGAGAACATTTTTGCACGCGTACACCAATCTATCGAACCCCTTTTTACCCGGAAACATTGCCGGGTCTCGCAACTGGTAGCTCACAACTTGGAGGGTGTTAGTTTTGTGAAGTGACAGACAAAGAAAATGACACGTTGATCTTGCTCACCCCATCTCGGCTTCAAGCCCCTCTTCCCCTTGACACCGTGAGGTTTTCCAACCAAACCGGCGCGCTCGTACGTCTCCTTGTCAAGGTACATTGTCAAGAGGCCCTCACGAAGTGAAAAGATGTTCTCGACATTTGTCCTGCCCTCGGAGAGCATGAGAACATTGCCTGTGCAGAATTAGTACCTTCGCAACATCATGACGCGCTGAGGTGAGATTGTAGATACCTCTTTTGATGTACTCATTAAAGAAGCCACCGTCCAGAACCTGGCCGAGGGTCATGATGACGCGGTGGAACGTCGGTACCGGGAGCTCTTCGACGAGCTTTTGACGGACTAGCTCGAAGCACTCTTGCGGGAGGACGAGGTCGACCTTGAAGAAGGTTAGTTAAAGGGCTTGAGATGGGTATTTCATGTCATGTGGGAGTTCTTTTTCTGCAATTCTTCGGAAAAGGCAAACCTTGTAGTTGAATCCCTGGCCCAGAATAGGCGCCCACGGCTTCCCCTTTGTCGGCAGCTGCTTGGGCTCAATGTGAGGCATGGTGCCGTATGTGACGAAGCATTTTGGCGACTGGTAGACGCTGGGCGTCGGGAAGGAGAGCATTGTGACTCAGCTTCAAGGAAATCAAGGGTACGTGCAGAAGAGATATCGAGAAAGCAGAGTCAACGACCTTTTTTTTTTTTTGAGGCGTGTAAGTTGCGATATTGACCGAGTGAAGGGGGGCTTTACCGCGGATTCGAGAATTGCATATTGGAGCGTTTCTCCCGCGCTCACGGTAGGCGTTGATGCAACAATGCTGAGTCCCACCTATATCACTTTCAATCGCCTATCATTGGTTCAAGAGGGCGTGTGCGCAGCCGAGTGACTCTGCGCCCAGAAAATACCATCTTTTCGAGTCAGCGGCATGAGAGGCACTGCGCAAACGTTTCTTCCAAAGCACCAAAAAGGGAACTTTTCGACATATCGACAGGATATCCCGAGGCTTTTCAGATAGGTGAGTTATGAGATTCCTTGCATCTACTTTCCTCCGAGCGAGACCAGTGTTAACACCAAACACAGTCGCAGGCCAGCCCATCTAAGCGCAAAACCAAAGGGCAAGCAAAAAACGAGGGGCATTTTTCACCCCGCGCTTGCGCTTGGATTTTTTGACGGCTGCCCTCCCTCACTCACTTACCCAGTCGACCCAAGTGAGTCTCATGAGAGAGGAACGGCGAACAACCCTCAACTAGACCACGACGGAGAACCCCAGAGACATCTTCAATATGGAGTTCCTCGTCCGCTTCTCCCAGGCTCACGAGTCCTTTCGGCTCCCCGAGCTGCAGGCTCTCGCTGATTTGGAGGGTATCGACATGAAGGTTGTCGAGTATAGCCTAGACGTGAGTGTTGAACTTTGCTATTTTCCTCATACATGAGAACCTCACTTCCTTTTTTTGCTTTTTTTTTTTTTTTTTTTACAAAGTTTCGACATACTTCCTAGCTCATACACACGAGACTTGCCACGTTCACTTTCATTTCCCGTCTAGGCTCCTTATTCATTGTTTTGCTAAACTTGATCCTCTGTTCTCAACCCAACTCATCCGGCTCATCTCACACTCCTTTACCCCTGATGAGAGCCTCACCACCAACACCTCAAGATATCACAACCAAAGCTAACATCAACTCCAGTCCCCCTTCTGCATCATCACCCTCCCCTCCCTCTCTCACGCCCCCCGCCTCGTCGCCCGCTCCCTCCTAACCCAATCCATCCACCTCCTCCTCGCCTCAGCCCCGACCCACGACGAAATCCACCCCATCCTCAAATCCCAACTCGCCTCAGAATCCCCATCCTTCGACTGGTCCGCCGTCAGCACCTCAACCTTCAAATTCTCCCTAGACACATACCAATCCTCCCGCCCCCACGCCTCCTTCGTCTCCCTCATAAACGCCTACAAATACCTCCCCCTCCACGGCGCAATCGACCTCAAAACCCCCGCCCTCCACCTCACAATCTTTGAAGACTGGGATCTCCGCGGCACAGACGGTCCGAAACGCGTCCACCTGGCCCGCTTCCTCGCCACCGGCGCCCGCTCGCTGTCGCTGAAATATGACCTCAAGAAGAGGGGGTACATCAGCACGACATCAATGGACTCTGAACTCGCCCTCGTGACAGCGAACCTCGCACACGCGGCGCCCGGAAAATTATTCTATGATCCCTTTGTCGGGACGGGGTCCTTCCCCGTTGCGTGTGCGCATTTTGGAGCGCTTGGGTTCGGGAGCGATATCGATGGGAGGGCGATTCGCGGGAGTGGAGGGGAGAAGAGCGTGAAGGGTAACTTTGCGCAGTATGGGCTCTCGGAGCGGATGGGAGAGTTCTGGACGGCCGATCTGACGAATTCGCCGGTGCGGAGGGTGAGGTGGCTCGATGGTATTGTGTGCGATCCGCCGTATGGTGTAAGGGAGGGGTTGAGGGTCTTGGGATGTCGGGATCCGGAGAAGACGCCGTGGGTTGTTGAGGCTGGGAAGCAGCGGTATAAGTTGGTGACCCCCTTTTCCATTTATGTTTTGTTCCCCCTCCCTCTGCCTTTCTCGGTCGTACATGATGCACCAGAAACAATGAATGCTGACAACACTAGGTCGGGAGACTTCATCGCCCCCAAGAAGCCGTACAGCTTCCTCGCCATGCTTGACGACATCCTCGAGTTCGCCTCCGAGACCCTCGTCGACGGCGGCCGCCTCTCCTTCTGGATGCCGACTGCCAACGACGAGGACCAGGAGATCCCTACACCGCAACATCCTCGCCTCGATATTGTTGCCACATGCGTACAACCGTTCAACAAATGTGAGGATTTCCCATGTGATTGCCTACCTACCTGAAACCCCTTTCTCTCCTTCCTACAGCCCAGATTCCTGGTCCACCTCGATTGCAGTAGGCTGCCCATCGTGGTTACAGTAGCATGCTCACACCCAAATAGGGTCCCGTAGACTCATTACATACCGGCGCATCCCCGATAGCCAGGTAGACCCGGAAAGACTGACGGCCTACAAACGCACTTTCGTAGCGGGAACAACAGCAGATGAGTTGAACCCCTTCCGACGGGGCTACTTCACAAAGTTTGAAAAAGAAGAAGCCTGATAGAAGAAGAGACCAAGAAAGAAAAAGACATGTACAGCAAAAAACCCAGCCCCTTCTTTGATGATGCCATGACCGTTTGCCTGATAAAAGATAACAATGAAAATACTGTGCGTTTCTCTTTCTTCTGTACGTGTTTTGACCCCCTCCCCCTAAGTTCGCTAGCCTTGGAATATATCCATACTTATACCCAAGGCATACCATGGCATCGTCATTTGATATCATTTGCAAAAAAAAACAAGAATAAAACGCGTGCGTCCAGCCAGACATACTCCCGCAGTCTGCAGGCGCGCGCGCGCACGCACACACCGGATAGAGTTGGGCGTCACGCTCGTGCCTCCTGCACCCCTTTCCGATCTCCTTTCCCTTTGTTCCCTGATCTGGTGTCTGATCTCATCTGAATTCCATGGCGCCGAAGCAGCCCCTATCCTCCACGTGCTTGAGCTCAAGCTGCTGAAACCTGGCAAAAACTGTTAGCCAAACAACGAAATAAGAAGGTTATGAGAAGATATCGTCGGCACGTACTTTTCGCTTTTGGAGTGGAAATAAATTCCACTCACTTCACCCTTGACCTGGTTGAAGCAGATATAGTAGAAGCCTTCAAAACTGGCCCCGGAAATCGTGCGAACGCGGTGGTCAGGGACGAGGAAATGCTCCTTCCAACGCATGAAAATGTTCTCCCTCTGCGCAACGTCACGGATCACCACCGGGCCCTTGCGCGCTTGCTTCTGGAGAGGGCGGAAGGCGTTGAACTTGCCCCAATGGCTGAGATCGATCTTGTCGGTGGCGCCCCAGCTCTCGTGGCCGGTGATGAAGCTATACTTGGTGCCAATAATTTCGCCCTCAAAGTATGTCGTCAATGTGGGGTGGTCCTCGGTCAGGCCTGCAGACACAGAGTTTAGCAACGGGTTACACGATGGGCGGGGAAGCTAAGCCGTTTCGTACCTTGGATTCGCAGGTAACCGCATAAAAACGACTCCCGAAGATCGACATGCTTGATTTCTACCTGCACATCATATACCTGTCGCTCGGATTGTTGCGTCCCGTGGAACTTGCTTCCTGGGCGAAGATATGAAGATGCTGTTGATGGAATAATCTGCCGGGGTGTTTTGTTAGTCACTGGCGCGCTAGTCTTCATCATTTGGGCACGTACCCGCATGTTGGAAAAGTCAGAACCCATGGACGGCGCCATGAGTTCCTCTTCCCACACGTCGTCGATATCAAGTTCCATGCCCTTGCTGTCTTCGTGATGTACCGAAGTAGGCGATAGCCTGGGATCGTGCCGCCTCGCGCCATCTGTCCGGGATGTCCTCAGCCTGTCACCGACCGAGTGCGCCTCTTCGTCAGACTCGCCATGCTTGAAAGACTCCATATCGGCCGCCGGTGACGATTGGGTGGTGTCGCCCGACTGCGGCCTCGGCGACATGGTAGTGGATCTTGAGGACGAGACGGCGGATGTGGGCTCGTCATCGAGTATGACCTCCGTGCTCATGCCCTCAGCTTGTGACATTGGAGCGCTGACGGGAGCGGGTAACGAGTCGTCGTCCATGGGGTCGTCGTGATGGGGATCCATCTCGGGAGGGGCCTGATTTGCATCGGTGGGTGGCCGCCAGCTGCGTTGTGGAGATCTTGAGCTGCTATCTTCAGGACATGTCGAGAAGCTGTGTGATCGGGGGGAATGAGGATCGGGAGGAGGGTTGGAGGATGGAGTCGGCATGTTGGGCGTCGAAGTCGAGGTCGTGTGTCGTCGTCGAGGACGGCGGTGGATGTCGAAATCGGGCGATGGGGTCGGTCGCGCCGACGGGGAACGGGTGCGGGTTTACCGCTGGCAGGGGGGCTCCGCAATGAGGACAGCAGGGGAGCGACGCCGCTGCTGGAGGTTTGGCGATGTCGGTAACGGGCTGGTGACGGTGCGATGTCGGTGATAGTTGGTGGCTCGCCGCGAAACTGTGCGGTCGCGGGCTCGAAAGTCGAGACAAACTCAACTCGGTCGACGGGATGCGAGGAGGAGTAGAGTTGGGCCAAGCCAGTTGGAGTAATCGGTGACTCTGGGGCCGAATAAGTCACAAGCCTGCCAAGCGGAAGAAAGCGGTCGGGGGAAGCGAGGATGGTATTGGTCGAGAGAGAACACCACCCCGGAATCCAACGAGGTACAACTTTGTAGGTAGTCGCAGAGTCTGACAACGACGACAGGTGAGTGGGTGAGGATGATTGGAGTTATGGTTCGCAGAGGATAAGCCGAGTGGTCGCAAAGCACGTCGCGGATGACGAAGCTTTTCTTGCTTTGAGGGGGATATCAAATGCAAAGTAGAAGCAACGGACGGATGACTGATGATGTGACGAGGAAGACAAGGCGAGTATGGGTCGAAGTAGTTACAGACTTGAGGTGGTCAAGAGATATGGGAGGGTTGTCCACAGCAATGCGGTGGCTGTATTGGATCCGTACAGATTGAAGAGCAGGGCCAACAAGAATTGCCAGCACGGAATGGCACAAGCAATGGAGACAGCGACTGCGACGGGTAGAACTAAGGTAAGGTAAAGTAAGGTGGTGACTGGATGCAGCCAGCAGACGGGAGGACGGTGAAGTGACCAAGGCACGGGAAATGGGACGGGGGGTGACGATTAAGATGCGGGATTGGAGGGGAAGGTGTGAGGTGCACGGCGTGGTTAGGTTACCGTGGGTACAACGGGCATGTACTGCAAGTGTAAGGCGTCTGTATGTAGGAGTACTAGGTACGTATCTGTAGCTTGAAGTCCTTGCCATTGACAGTGAGAGTGAAGTGAGAGTGAGTGTGACAGGGCGTGGCATGAGAAAGAATTGGGGGTGAGTCGTGACCAGGGTGGCACTGGGACGGACGGGGGACCCGCGGAGAGGATGGGGGGATAGGACGGGATGACCTGTATTGATGCGCTGGGATGTTGCTGTTCTGTCGCGATGATACTTGTTGGTTCTTGCTGAGTTCATCAGAGAGTTATCTACAGTTAGACTGTTTGAGTTGAGAGTTATGAAATGAGTGAATTGTCATGACTGAATCCATCTTACTCTCATTCAATTGCATACATTTACCTAGAAAATCTGCGAACACATGAATTGCGGGTGAGTGACCAAAGGGGGTGAGATGAAATGCGGGAGAATGAGGGCGGGCAGGTGCAGTCAATGCATTGCAGCCGATGACGCCTGTGTCCCCGCCTTCTGTTCGCGGCCTGAATGCTCATCGCTCACTCGTCCAGCTGAGAAAGAGTGCCTCAATTACCTCAGCTAGGGAAGAAAAAGAGGAAAAGGGACGTGAGAGACGAGACGCGGGGACACCTCAATCTGCGTCGTTTACCGCTAGCCACGTTGGAAGGGTCTTCCCGGCCTGTGCCATTTCTGCGCTGTCAAGCCCTGCGCCGCCCTCATTTTCCTTCTATCCGCTGTAAAGTGAAGCTCTCTCGCACTAGGTACTGACTTGTCACTGCCACGCCACTGAGCTACGATAATCGTGGGCATCTTAGCGTGAGCTATGATCTAGGTAGGTATTCTCAACTGTCATGACTGTGACTCCCCACGAACCGACTTCCCGTCGCTTCTGGCGTCCCACGCGTTGGGTGATGGCTTGCGCTAACGTAAAACTTTGGTCTTTTAGCGAGCAACTGGCTAGCAGCTTGGTCGCCCTTCCTTTTCACTTGGTGGCTTGTGTTAGATGGACTGCTGGGCCGCAAGCGTCGCAAAACAGAGACACTTGACCACTTTACTCACGTTGACAGCGACCACAGGCGCGGTTGGCGGATAGACAGCGTCTGTTTGATCCCTTTTCTGGTAGATTGCATTGTCCAAGGTAATTCGTCAACCGCCTTACATGCTCACTCACTGGCACCTGCACATGTCTCCCGTCAGGTCCCGAACACGACAGCAGCTCACTCAACACCTATTAGACTGCTCTGTAGCCTTGTCCTGCATACCCTGAAAGATCTCATAAGCTGCTGCTGCCGCTGCTTCGTCTTCCTCACTTCAGGTCTCACACATGGGTGCTCATGAGTTGAACTCATAGGGGTCAAGGCTCGCTCATCGGGCTTGCGGACTTTTATCTGCGCCCGCCCTCAAGCCTGCACTTTTTCTAGAGCCTCAGACGGCGGGGAACGGAGGCTTCGGCAGGGCGCTGAAAGCCTGAATCCAATCTGAATCTCACACGGAAGAGTTGGAGAAAAAGGGCACAGACTGGGGCCAAACTCTGTGCTCTTGCAGCCTGTCCTGCACTCCCAAGCCCTCAGACACCGTCAAAGCACTTTCACTCCCCTCTATGTCACTGATCTCACCTAGTGTGTGTGCCTATCTCCCCAACAAAAACAGCTCCTACAAAGTGCGAGGTATTCATCAACTAACTACCTAGCCTCTCAATAAGCTACATACTCGGCCTTGGTTACAGACATTTGTCTTGCCTCATTAGCTTTCTGCCCCTCAATCCCACCGGTCTTATACCCCGGTAAACTCGATGATAGGTCGTGATTTGGCATTCAGGCTTTCCAGAGAAGCTTACCTTACCCGCCCCATCTTACAAGTCTAAGCCTCAGCCTCATGTTGGAAAAAAGGGCTGTGCCAACTGACATTCACTCTATTCATCCATCCCTTGAGCTGAAGTTCCCTGCTGCTTCTCTCAAAATGCAATTGGGCTTTATTGTCCGTACTCGGCCACATTACCCGACCAAGCAGGTCCCTGTCACCAGCCGTAATTCTCTTTTGGGGCTCGCGTTTTTAATTGCGCTGTTGATACTGTCTGTGGGTACAACGTGTCTAGGGAATTGGTATTTCATGTTGAGAAAGCAGTGAAGATAAATATACTTCCGTGCCTAAGTCCTTGACCCCTTTCCAAGCAAGAAGCTCAGGTCAACCTCAACGTTTGGTATGCTCAATGGCATGTGTCTCTAGTCGCACAAAGTAATCATCATACACAATCATCGCATGAACGACGATCTGGGATCGGCGCTGCCGTTCAACGCTGCGTGCTCAAAAATCTACACCCTTCTTCCATGCTTGCATCCCCCCCTTCTGGTGCGATCCGAACCCCAGGTACCGGCTTCTTCCCGTCACGCCTCAACTGTCTCTTACACTGCCAACCTCTGCCATGGTCATTGAGGGACGCTCTGGCTTACTCCCATCAGCAACCTGAGAAAGGTGTCGCTGGTGGACCCAGCTCAGGTGCTCTGTAACACGCCTTTGCCTGGCGTGTATGCGCCGTCGCAGAAAGCCTGACTCGAATTGTTGGCATCGTTTGCGAACCGCACCACCTTTGTCCCCGAACCAAGTGCGACGGGCCCATGATACCAAAAACTGACCGAACAATAAGTGTGCCATTCTGCTGACAGCGGGCCGCCTGCCACCTCAAAAATAAATTCCTCTTCATCTCTCAATCGTGTAAACATCATCGTCAACACCCAACCTCAAAAAACCTCACTATCAAAGCAGGGGGCGCGTGCGTGCATCAATAGTGTAAACCGTATCTCGTTATTTTTCTTCGACACACATGTCCAGGAGCCATGCAGTCTGGTCTCCTCGAGTCTAACCTCGTATAAGGGACGACCAGCAGGGCTGTCTAATTTCCCGCCTGCCCGTCTGTCCGTTCGCCAGCTCATCGTCTGAGCTGAAGGGCCCAAGACCCTCCTCCATGCATCCGACTTGCAGCATGATGCATTTTTTCTAGAAAAGAACAGTCGTTCCGCAGGTCACATGCGGGTTCATTCGTCATGGTACGTTCTCGTAGCCGGCTCGTAATGTTCTCGCGGGAAAAGAACAGGTTGCGGGCCCAGTCCTCAAGGGGTATATCCAGAATTTTCGTCGTTTGCCGCCCCCAGTGCCTTCTTCGATTTTGTCCCCTTTTAGATGGGCTTGATCTTGAAGTGCAGGGCAATCAAGCTGAATACCAAGGCCTTCAGATCCTGCACCAGGTAGTAGAAGACGCGCAGGCCTTCAGGGTCGGCGGACTCTGTCACGTCAACCAATGAGCCGATCTTGGCCGTCTGTTCGAAACACGTCAGTCAGCCCGAGGCTCCGAGTCCAACAGTATTGTCTTCAGCCCACCTCAAAGGAGATGTGGTCGTTGCCCAACCGAATCTCCAGCTCCTGACGTCCGTCCTTGTTCTTTTGTGGCCACTTTGAGTCATCTTCTCTTCACCGTGTGTCAGCGTATATCCGGGTATAGTTGCTGTCGGGTATCGTACTTCAGAATCTCGCTTGTCTTGATAATGCGCTTGATCTCATCGACAATAAGAGCGCTGACGCACACTAGATATCCCCATTAGCGCTGCTCGATGCGATTTGCGGGCATGGCGCTGTACTCTCTTTGCGAATCAGACTATCATTTCGGTAGTTGGAGTTGTTCGCATAACGCGCGACTGCGCTCCGTCCATCGCCGACGACGCGGAAGTCGAACTCTGGTGGCATTAACATCAGAAGGCTGCTCGAAGAACCGAATGGTGGGGTTGGGGCTCAGTGTTACCCAAGAACTCATGTCCGAATCGTCCAGAATGACCGGAGCTACATTTCGATTAGCATGAATCCCTCATATGGTGCAAAGGTCTGGTTGCATACTAGTAGCGGAGGTAGAATTGGTCGGTAGGGGCCGCCATTGTGACAGCAGTGTGGACGACAAATTGTAGTGTCGGTGAAATGTCACAGCTAATGTCCTCGAGCTGCAAGGCTGGAGATGGGAATGCAAGAAAAAGTGGGATGGTCCCCATCCAGCCCAGTCTGGCCCGCGGTGCCTCGCCGGCACGGTAGCGGGGTTTGATCCGATATGGTCCAAGCTTCCTGAGCCGCCAATCAAGAGCTCTTGCCCGGCCTAGGGAGGTTCTGGCCAGTTAATCCGTTCCGTCCTATCTGGGCGGTACGTACCTGGCTTGTAGGGGTCGAGTCCCATTAAAACCCGAATCACGTGCGATTACCTAAGTAGTGACACCTGTCCGGCGCAAGTGCCCAGGGACAGATATTCACGAAAGCCAGAGTGTGAGAGGCCAGCTACCGAGCCGTTGATCGGAAATCATTGCTTCCAACATAGCACAACACGGCGACGAATGTTTACATAGGATTCGCGTGGAAGAGGATAGTCTCGCTGGATGGTCTAGAGTTCGTTCCATTCCTCATCTCCAGAGCTTTTGATCACTTTGGGCAGTAAACTTGTAGCGACAGACAGCTTCCCTTAGCTAACACGTATTCCACCCCCGTCCCTAGACCGTCCAATCCCCACCGCCCAGCTTCGATACATCCCACTCGAACTCCCGAATCCCCCCTTGAACACGTCCTCAACCTCCAGCGCCGGCACCGAGCCAGCAACATCACACCGCACCCGCCACGATGGCCTCCTTTCTGGAAAATGCGTACAGCTTGGTGCACCAGGACAATGCCGCCGATGTCCCCTCCCTCTCGGACCTGCGCACGCAGCTGGAGAAGGGCACCGACGAGAGCAAGGTCGAGACCATGAAGCGCATTCTCACGATCATGCTCAATGGCGATCCCATGCCCAACTTGCTCATGCACATCATCCGATTCGTCATGCCCTCGAAGCACAAGGCCCTGAAGAAGCTTTTGTACTTTTACTACGAGATTTGCCCCAAGCTCGACTCCAATGGCAAGCTGAAGCAGGAAATGATCTTGGTCTGGTTCGTTGCTGGCTTGTTCGTTCCCTTCGCAGCTGCACCCTTGCTGACACTCTGGCCTTAGCAATGGTATCAGAAACGATTTGCAGCACCCCAACGAGTACATCCGGGGAAACACTCTTCGCTTCTTGTGCAAGCTTAGAGAAGCCGAGCTCATTGAGCCTCTCCTCTCCTCCGCCAGACAATGTCTCGAGCACCGCCACGCCTACGTGCGCAAAAACGCCGTCTTCGCGGTTTCCTCAATCTACACACACTCTGCCAGCTTGATTCCCGATGCCTCAGATCTCATTGCCACATTCCTCGAGTCCGAGAACGATCCTACATGCAAGCGCAACGCTTTCGCTGCGCTCGCCTCTATCGACCACGAGAAGGCATTGCTCTACCTCAGCACGGTGTTTGAGGGTATCCCGAACGCAGAAGAGCTGTTGCAGCTCGTTGAGCTTGAGTTCATCCGCAAGGATGCCGTCCAGAACTCACAGAACAAGGTAGGGGAAACCAATAAAGGAAGTTTCCTTGGCGCACATCTGACATTGATTAGGCACGGTACCTCAGACTCATTTTCGACCTTCTCGAAGCCAACACCTCGACCGTCGTATACGAAGCCGCCTCCTCATTAACCGCTCTCACAAACAACCCCGTCGCTGTCAAGGCCGCGGCCGCCAAGTTTATCGAACTCAGCATCAAGGAAGCCGATAACAATGTCAAGCTCATTGTGCTTGACCGGGTTGATCAACTACGGAAGAAGAACGAGGGTATCTTGGACGACTTGGTTATGGAAATCCTCCGCGTTCTTTCCAGCCCCGATATCGATGTCAGACGCAAGGCTCTGGATATTGCTCTCGAGATGGTGTCCAGCAAGAATGTTGAGGAGGTTGTCCTGCTGCTTAAGAAGGAACTCTCCAAGACTGTCGACCAAGAGTACGAGAAGAACACCGAGTACCGCCAGCTCCTTATCCACACCATCCACCAATGCGCCATTAAGTTCTCAGAGGTTGCCGCTAGCGTCGTTGACCTACTCATGGACTTCATTGCCGACTTTAATAACACTTCAGCCGTCGATGTCATCAACTTCGTCAAGGAGGTTGTGGAGAAGTTCCCCAAGCTGCGCAAGCCGATCGTTCAGAGGCTGGTTGCTACTCTCAGCGAGGTGCGTGCCGGAAAGGTGTACAGAGGCATCATGTGGATTATAGGAGAATACTCCCTGGAGGAGCGCGACATCCGGGATGCGTGGAAGAGCATTCGCGCCAGTCTCGGCGAGATCCCGATTCTCGCATCGGAACAACGACTCCTGGACGGCGACAGCGAGGAGGAGAACAAGGAGCAGGTCAACGGTCACTCGAAGCCTACAGCGCCGACCGGCTCGCGCAAGGTTCTTGCCGACGGAACCTACGCCACCGAAACCGCCCTTACCAGCCAGTCTGCTGTCGCCGCCAAGCTGGAGGCTGTCAAGGCTGCTCAGAAGCCCCCTCTGCGCCAGCTCATTCTCGATGGCGACTACTACCTCGCAACCGTTCTCTCAGCCACTCTCGTCAAGCTGGTCATGCGCCACGCCGAGATCTCTGCCGAGTCAGCGCGCACCAACGCGCTTCGCGGCGAGGCTATGCTTATCATGATCTCCATCATCCGCGTCGGCCAGTCGCAATTCGTCAAGGCTCCCATTGACGAGGACTCGGTAGACCGTATCATGTCTTGCGTGCGCTCGCTCGCCGAGTTTGCCCAGAACAAGGAGCTCGAGACCGTGTACCTCGACGACACCCGCAAGGCGTTCAGAGCGATGGTCCAGGCTGAGGAGAAGAAGAAGGCCGCCAAGGAGGCCGTGGAGAAGGCTAAGACAGCCATCCAAGTTGACGACGTTGTTCAGATTCGCCAACTCTCCAAGAAGAACGCCAGCGATGGCCTTGACGAGATCGAGGTTGATCTGGAGCGAGCAACAGGTGGAGAGGCCACCGCTGAGGACCTCTCATCTAAGCTCAGCCGTGTGGTGCAGCTCACTGGTTTCTCCGACCCCGTCTACGCTGAGGCCTACGTCAAGGTGCACCAGTTCGATATCGTCCTTGACGTTCTTCTGGTCAACCAGACCATGGAGACGCTGCAGAACCTTTCCGTCGAGTTTGCCACTCTTGGTGACCTGAAGGTCGTCGAGCGGCCGACAACACAGAACTTGGGTCCACACGATTTTCACAACGTCCAGTGCACGATTAAGGTGTCCTCCACAGACACTGGCGTCATCTTTGGCAACGTCGTCTACGATGGCGCCCACTCGACGGATACGAATGTCGTCATCCTCAACGACCTCCACGTGGACATTATGGACTACATCCAGCCGGCAACATGTACCGAAACACAGTTCCGCACGATGTGGACCGAGTTTGAGTGGGAGAATAAGGTCAACATCAACTCCAAGGCCAAGTCCCTGCGCGATTTCCTCGAGCAGCTGATGGCGGCGACCAACATGAACTGTCTGACCCCCGAGGCCAGCATGAAGGGCGATTGCCAGTTCTTGAGCGCCAACCTGTACGCTCGCAGTGTATTCGGTGTGTTTTACCCCAAGTGTATTGATGAATCCAGGATCGAAAGCTAACACGTTTTATAGGCGAGGATGCTTTGGCCAACTTGAGTATCGAGAAGGAAGGCGAAGACGGACCCATTACCGGTTTCGTCAGAATAAGAAGCAGATCGCAAGGTCTGGCCCTGAGCTTGGGATCCCTCAAGGGCCTCAACAAAATTGGCTCAGCGGCATAGACTTGCGAAAAGGAGATGTAGGTGGCTATATACGGAGACTGCGGTGTATCCCCCCTGGCTATCTGGAGGCCTACCAAGCCTACAGGTGTAATGAAGAGCCAGGAAGAAGATGAGAGAAGTGTGTATGTGTGGTGGTTGGCTTGCCGACAGCGTCAAGTTGAAATGGGAGTGAACAAGGGGTGTAGGGAGGTTGAAAAGGAGAGAGGAAAGAGAGCAGTCCTGGCTTATCTCCCTCTCCTTTTCTTCTCTTTTGAGGTTAGAGTAAAAAGTGCAGCCCGGTCAGGCGTCATGAGTAGGTAGAAATGAGATGTTCTTGTTGTTAAATAAGAGACCTTCTTCTGGAGGGTCTCTAGAGCGTTGGCTGGTTCTGCGTGAGTGTGTGTGTGGGTGAAATGTTGAAAGCCAGGTCAAATTCACCTCTGCCTTGGGGTTCTCAATCACAAGAAAGACAAGTCATCGATTAAATAGGCAGTAATTGACACACATCCAAGTTGTACTCAATAAAAATTATTGGCATTAAAGCTCTCCATGGTGACAGCCATTGATTGCTGCCCTACCCCAGAGAAAAGCTCGCTCGTTGGATGATCGTAATGACCGCTATTAGCAACTAAAAAAGAAAGAGACACCACACCCGTGAGTGAAGTGCTAATGATAAAACGAACGCCTGCAATGAATGGCTAACCAACTTCTTTTGTGTGGCAGTGGGTTTCCATCCTCTAGAACGCCAGATCAACTATCAATGAAGATGAAAACAGAGTCCCGCACAGTAATGAAAGGGGGTATTTATCCAGACTGAGGAAAGCCAGACGAAAGGAAATTCATGCTGAGGTGTGTTGTGTCCCCAACCACATCGAATCGAATTAATCGGAATGTCGAAATGTTTGCGGCCGTTTTGTTTCCACCACATTCGGTGTGCCCTGGGTTGGTTGTTGTTCTTCACTGAGGAGGAGAAGGGAATGGATCGCGCCGCATGTCCTAAGACGCCAACCTTTGGAGAGACCATGCCTTCTCAAGCAAAAAGGGCGCATATCGGTCCATCGGCGATTGTCTTCTATGATGCTATCTGTCGAAGACGAGGGCGTTGACTACATGGCCCTCTGCCCAACCCTGCTCGGTGAGGGAGAGATTGTCCTTAAGGATCTTGCCCATGTAGGCAATGCGGATCTTTTTGGTGGAGGCAAGCTAGGGAACCTGTTAGATGGGATCTTCTCTAGGCTGGGTGGACTGAGATGAAGCTTAAGATGCTGTACTTACTCCTGACTGCTCCTGAATCTTACGAGCAATAATTCTGACGCTATCGCTCTTGGCGAAGGTGACAGTAACATCGCGCGCAGTCTCGCTCAGGCGGGCTAGGACGGAGAGCTGGTCGCGGACGTCGACGACGGCCTTACCCTTCTCTTCTCTCCGGCGGACGTTGTCGTCCTCGTCCAGCTCCTCCGTAGTCTCCTCTCCTCCCGCAAGGTCGTCCTTGAGATCTCTAGTCGAAAGCGCCTCATCGGCGCCATCAATCGTAGCATCGTCTTCGACGAGATTGGTTGGATCGGCGACAAGCCACTCAGACAAGGGATAGTAGTTGCCCAGTTGGTCGTAGGCACCCTGAGCAAGGTCACCTGTGGGGAGAGTGATCTCTGCTGCATCAAGGATGCCTTGCGCGGTTGCAAGGCCATCGGTCCCGTCGTCAGCAGCACCCTGGCCAACGGGGTCCCAGATAACCTCGAGCGCTGCGCGTAGCGACTGCCAGACCTCTGGGCGTCCGGTGACGCGGGTGTCAAAGAAGTCTCTTCGCTCACGGTCTATGGCGATGCGGGTCCAGGCGCGGCCCTTGGAAGCCCAAACGTGACGGCGCAGAGGCTTATTGATGTGTTTGTCGAGGGGCATACTGGAGTGGCGGCCCCGACGGCGGCTGGAGGAGGTCTGTGTCGTCTCGGCGGGGGAATCATCGCGAACAGCAGAGGCGGGCGCAGAGTTGATAGCTCTCGCGGAGCCAGTGTTGATCGGACCTAGATAGGGGGCGTTAGAGCCCTGAGGACGGGAAAAACAGCAGCCCTATGCCAGAAGGATCGTCAGTCTGAGAGCATGCGCGAGGTGGTCGGACGAGATATGCAGTTTGACAGAGCGCTTGGGCGGCCGGAGTAGCGTCCGGCGGCGGTATGATACAGAAAAAGGAGGGGAAGGGGGAGTCAATATTTACCATAATGTCGAACCCTTCACGTGGAGGATGGGGTGTTCGGTACTGTATGAGCGGGGGAGATTGATTCTAGCAAGTTGGTGCGTCTCGTGCCATTGCCCAGGTTGTGATTTGCGTCGTTTTGGTGATGATCAAGTCGCAGTAGACGTCGAGATGAAAGACGAGTGGGAGCAGTTCAGCTAGCTCTACCGAACAAAGATGTCAAAGGTCGGCGGGGATTAATCAGTGGTTTCGCTGTAGAGAAGTCGAGTGGTGGTAATGGGGGCGATGTTGAAAGAGGAGAAGAATCGGGCTTGGGCTGTTGGAAGGTCTAGACCCTTGTGTCGTTGACGTGACGATCTGACGCTGGTTGGTCGATGAGCTGCGGCTGCCGTGTATTAAAAGGTGTGTGGTGTTGGTCCCGGACGGAGCGTGGGGAGAGCGACGGGAAGTGGTGTAGCTGAAGTAAAGGTACGGTAGGTACGTATTCGAGGGGGAGGCGTCGCGAAGGGAAGGGTAGAAGAGAAGGTGGGTGGTGTGGTGAGTGAGGTGTGTGGTGTTGGTGAGAGGGGAGCTCCTCCAAGATGAGTGACAGACACGCAAAGGGCGTTGCAGAAGGCAGAAGGAGGGCAGAAGAGAAAAAGTGAAAAGTGACGAAAGAAGGTGATGAGCCGGGACGGCGTTCGGGAGGGTGGGTAAGGCGCCTTGAGTGGTGACGAAAAGAAGGATTAGAGGCAAGGTAGGTAGGTGGGTGAGAGGTGAAGTGGTGAAGGCAAGGTGAGGGTGAGGTGAGAGCCTGCCGTCAGCAATCCCGTATCGGTGCCGGTGCCGATGGTCCTCACCTCCCGTCTGCGAATAGCTAGTATTAAAAAGAAAATAAATAAATGGACATAATGCAGCAGATGATCAGTGGTTGCAGTTCCCCGGAAGAGGATCTCGGCAGCAGGGGTGCCTCTAGGCAGTCCAGCTCCAGGCTTGTCCAGTGGGTTGCTGCTGTGAGACGCCTAAATTTTGCTTGTTTTTCGCTTCCCGTCCGCCTCGCTTGCGAAGATAAGGTAAGAAAGCGATGGACCTCGTATTTTCGTCCCTTCTCTGCCGATTCTTCTTTTATCCTCGCTATCCCAGGGCCGTCAGATGAGATCTGTAATGTATGCACCCGTGTTTTTACCTTGTTTTCTTCTCTCTCCCGGGTGCAGTATTTCCAAATCCAGACATGTTTCGCTCCTTCGAGTCTCCGTTTGCACGTGGATTGTCCTCTTTCAGCACATACTCAACAGGCGCTTAGAGACAATGGATCGAGACATTGCATCGGCCCAGCCACATGGGTTCTCTCTCCTCGAGTCTCGCACACATTGACTCCTTTGAGTGTCCACAGCTATCTTTTTCTGTACAAGTATGCTCTTGGTCACAAGTGCCTTGGCGAGATCCATCCGAAAAAGTCGGCCCAACACAGGGTCCTCCCCGGCATTCCTCAGCCCAGCCCACTCGCTTCATGCTGCGAGACTCCCACCCCTCCATTAGCCTTCCTCTTCTCTCTTTTGCCCTACTATTGGCCGTTGCTATGCCCGTGTTGGCTGTGAGGGGATCAGTCCAAGGTTCTGCTGAGCCACCATGCACTCAACGCCTGATCATCAATGACACGGACAGCGGCCAACGGGAGACCGATGGATGGCATTGGCAGGCGCCTCTGCCGGCACATCTCGATTACTCACACACATCAAAGAGAACTAAGAGAAATTCACTAATTGCTTCATCTTTTCCTAATACTATTCGTAGAGGTCATAGCGGTGCTCGAATTGGCGCCTCTAGAATGGATATCGACCAGGGCCCGTCTCGTATTACACCAATTGAGACGCCGTTGCCGAGATCCCGTTACCTCGCTCCAGACCAATTTGGAAGTTTGCCTAAGTAACACATCAGATCTGCGTCTACATCGCGACACCAGATCTGACACCTCAATTTGATTACCTAGGCTCAGATGCATTGATCGCGTCATGCTTGGTTCGACATCAAAATTGACATGTGCGCCGTGCACGACTTGGACGTCAATGAGGCCATGCTTCATGTCCAAACCCAGGTCATCCCCTCTCGGCGTCCCGAGTCCTCCGCCTTTTCAGACGAACCGGGCGCACCGGCCATCCCTGAAGATCCAGATTGTAAGCTCCTTTCAGGCTTGAGGCTTCAAAAAACCCCACCGAGTCTCCGTGTCATGCCGTTTCTGCACCTGACCCAGTCTTCTTCGCCCGTTGTCTTCCGGTGTATTCCAATCCAGGCTCATGAGCAAGGTTGAAGGGAGGTCTGTAAATGCCCGATGCCGATGACGTCGGCATCCTTCATCATTGGGTTCTCCTTGGCCTCCACAGATCCCGCTATCGCTAACGGGATGATGTTCATCGCAGCTAGCATCGAATTGTATCCAGCTGTTCCACGATCCAAAAGCCAGACCTGTCATCGAGTCCAAATACATCTCAGTACAACTCTACGACTACCACAGAAACTGTCGACAATTCTTGCTGCCGCAAAGACACGGGACCATGTCACCTTGCTTGCTCTTGTCTTTGGCATCGGCAGCGTCCTCGCTCACGCCGTCCACGTAGTCGAACGTGAGTTGCTCTCCGCGAGGAATGTCGCGAAGCGCAAAGAAGGCGAGATCGTGGATATGTTTGTCGGCATGATCGCCCACGCGGGCAAAGATTCGCAAATTCGGCTCGCAAGAGTGATTAATAAACCGTGTCGGTCCGGACATGAACTCGCCGTCGATTTCGAGCGGGGGACCTTGGAGGCGCATGTCTGGGGAGTTCTCGTCCGTAAACTTGTCAAGCGCGAAAAGATAAACGTCCTTCTGTTGCGCAAAGTTGGAGGTATTCCGTCGGCGCTGCGCTTCCTGTGGTGTAATGATCTCGCCAATGTAGTTATCAACAAACTGGCCTCTTCTAATGTCGAGCAACGATCGGACACCTGTTGTCAAACTGTAAGCTTCTCTCCAGTATAACAGCAGCCTTCAAGCTCAACCCACCCCAGCCCGTCTTCTCTGTCCGGAATATCTGAAGAGGAATCTGTCGACCTCTCTCGACCACCCTGTTAGGACAGCTCACGTCGCATGCACAGCCTCCGTGGCATTCGTAGATGGGTCGCGTCGAGCTCAGGAACTTTGACCGCAGCAAGCCGGCCTTGGCGCCGTGCATATGGTACATGTATACCTTTTTCCTCGCTTCGCCCTCGTCGTCCGAGTTGTCCTCCTGCTCTTGTAGGCAGAGACAGCCCTTGTACTGACATTCTTCCTCGTCTTCACATTCGCATCCGCTTCGGAAACTATCCTCCGCGGCCTGAACGCCGTGGCCGAGCTTCGAATGTTGGAGGAATCGAAAATTAGGCGGGATAACCTCATCGTCGAATTCATTGACGATCGTGATCGGGTACTGTTTGTGGTTCGGGAAAGCTCGTACCTGGCACCACTGGCAGTCTAGCTTTTCTCTCTCTCGAGCCTGCGGTACATCGATCAGATTAAACTCCAATCATCTAGCCGTTTGAAAGGAACAATCGTAAACGCATTGCAGCATCATTGGACTATGAGATTCCCTACCCTGAGAGCTGTTTTGGTTGTGGCAGGTTTAGACGCGCCATGGTGAAAGAAATGGCGCTCAGTCACCGCCTCCATGGTATCAGCTGCTGTATGATAAGTTGAAGATGTTGAGCGGCATCCCGAGAGCGACGGAGTGGGAGTGTGTAGAGAGGTGTATCCGCAGGTGTTCGCAGCTTGCTCATTGCCGGAGCTGGAACCGCGGGGCAACTTGACCATCGGCGGCAGGAACCACCAACCACTTTACGCGACGCGTCCAAGCTCCCTGGTGTGCTGACTCAGCCGTCAATTCGGTGGGGCCGCGTTCGGGACCCGGCCGAGAACGTTCTTCTACCTTCTCTCTCTGTTACGAATATATCGACTTCCAGGTTGTAGAAATATACCTTTTCTAGGGTGCAATACATTAATCACTATATCATATCTGATGGAAATATCGACGGAACCGGATAATAAAAGACGGACGAGACTCGACACACGAATGCAGGCTGATGTTCTCTAGGCAAGCTACACGTTCCTGGGCTTGTTCTTACACTGAGGCTTGAACGTAGACCCAAGCTCGCCCCATTTGATATTGCTAAACGTCACAACCGGATTCGGCTCAACCTTGACGACGTTCTCTGGGAATCCTTCCGTCTCATCGCACAGCCCGGCCTCCGGCGCACCGTCCAACCACCTCATTCCGCCGCCGGCATCCCACCAGATGCTAAACGCAAGCACCACCCCGCGGTCAAACGACTCGCCCATCTCCTGATGCGCGCCGAGATCCATGAACCGTCGAGAGCCCGTCGCCTCGCAGAACTCATCGTTGAGGTAGTTGACCTGCGGCAGATCCGTGTTGTTGACGACTTCGCTGCGGATCAAGTGTCCGTCCTGGATGTAGAGGCGGTGGATCTCGGTGAGGACGCCGGCTTCGTTGGCGGGGAATTGTGTGATGACTGTAAAGGGGCGCGTCGTGTCGACGTCGAACTCTGGACCACGGCCGTAGTAGTCATCTTGGTTGACTCTGTCTCGTGTTAGGTTCCGAGCTGTACTTCGGGATTGAAGCGATGAGTACTTACCGGTACGGGTTCCAGGCGCAACCGTTCTTATCGCAGACACCTTCAAAGGCACAGTCTTCTCCCTCACAGAGGTAGACACCTGTCTGGTTACATGGGTGCGGTGCCAGGTGGGCAGACCGCGAGTTGGCCTCCCAGATGTCCTGTGACAGCACTGTTAGTTGCTTCTGGGGGGCTATACGAGATTCCAAGGACAGACAACTCACCATCTCATTGCAGCATGCACCGTATCCTTCAATATTGGCTTCCCCGTTGATAAACGGCGTAGTGTAGCACTGGGCATCGCAGTACCCCGTGCCATGGCGGGCGCCACCGGTATTGAGCGCGCTCTTGCCACCGTCGGCCTCCATCTCCGAGGTATACAGGGCGCTATTCATACCACAGGGCAACTTCGATACATCGACGTCGAATGTGAACTCCTTGCCCGTCAGGTGCATCATCTCATACTGCTCCTTGGAAGGATCAAGAAGATATACACGCGGAGACACCTGCACGCCATCCTTAAGCTGATACATGGTCATAGCACCGCCATCCGTCGTGACTCCGACACGGCTGTAGTCGTCAAGGCCTTCCTGGACACAATTCTCGGCGCAGGCTTCCTTGGTAGGGCACGCCGTTTCGTTAGGCGGGTTCCCCCAGGAGCCGCAGCTTCCGCCGCCGTTGGCCTGGTAGACGTTGTGCGCGAGGGAGTCGAGGACGATGAAGTTGTTGACTTCGGTGCAGCCGCCGGCCTTTGTGCAGCGCCATGTTGTGAGAGGCGGGTGGTTCTCGGCTGGTCCGATCTGACGCTGGGCTGCTGCCAGGCCCATGAAGAGGGCGGCGAGACCCAGGCGGGAGAGGGAAGAGGCCATCATGAATGGTTTAGCCGTGGTGAAGGTCCTCGAGAACTTGATTACAGGCACCAGAAGGAAGAAGAAAAAGCGACAGAGGCACCGGGAGCCAGCATAGCGCGCGTCTCGACAAAAGATTGTGAGAGAACCAACTCTTCATATATATTCAGGGACAGATGCCCTCCTCCAACTTGACCATCGGTTGTCGGGTCTCTTCCCGTATACCCATTCTGAACTCATTCAGGGGCACATTGGCAACGAAGCGCGTTCTCCAGAGAGTAAAACTAGCCCCTAACAAGCCCTACTTCTTCTTCCCGGCGCTGTCTTGTTCCCCTTGAGACGATGGAAGATCACCCTCCGAAGTCTTTCTCGGGCTGTCTAGGCGCAGTGCCATTGATTGCCGACAAGGGTTGGCAGCTTTAAATCAAAGGCAATCCGCCACGAGGTAAGTTGAAAACGGGCCTAGTGCCATGCTAAATGTGCTTGGATGTGGAAAACAGTTATTCATTGTCTATCCCCCTCGTTGCTTCGCGTGGCTTCACGGTAGAACGGGCCAGGAACCGTGCATGGGGGAAGATCTGGCCGCTCGCTTGGATGCAACTCTACCCTCCTCTTCCATCTTGGTGCAGATGAACCTGCATTGGTAAATTACTCGACTTGACAACGATCCAGTCACGTCGCTCTTCAGAAGTCCGCTGATTAGCCGACTGTTCCTGACAGGGGTAATTTTTATACTGCCTTGGTCTTTCCGTCAGTTTGCTCATGGCGTTTGTTGGAATCTGAAGATGGGCAGAAAGCGGAGAGAACCAGAATTGAGGACAGCTTGCGCTCGAGTACTCCATTTCTCCGCGCGAAGCAATTGCAGGGGTATCTGACCAGGGGTGGTGATTCGATCCATCTTGCACAGTCGCAGAGGGGAACCAGCTCTTCCGGCTCGGATTCTAGCATTGACGCCAAGCTGGTATGCACCCGTAGCAGAGGCTCATCAGGCAATCAATTTCTCGTCGCGAGTCTTCAGTTTCGACATACCTTGTGACAATAGGCTCAATTTGAAATCGGGAATATTGGACAGCATCTATGGCCTCATTGTGGAGATACCGAGTGTCGCTATCGCCAGCGCTAGGCAGCAAGATATCTTCAGAAGATGATTCGTGAGTCGCGTCTTACTTGCATATGCCAACCCATAATATTGACGGAAGGGATTGCAGAAGGACCAGATCCCTGGAAACACAAGGCTCAATACCGTTGTGTCGACTTGTCAAGCAATACTAAAACAATGAATGAGTGCGGCTTTGTTGAGTTGGTGCGAACTTCCACCAATATCTTGAATATATGAGGGCTTGAAATCCCGCATTCAAACAACCGCGATTAAACACAATTTGACTTACGAGAAGCTCAACAGACTCCAATCGAGGTAGGCATGAACAGATATATACTGGTTCTCCATGAACTTTTTCTGACTGAGGATAAACAGCAGCAATGTGTCCATCAGACAGCAGCATCACAGCCGAACTCACTCAATGGCATGAGGAAAAGAACAGCGAAAAGACCGACAACGATATTAGAATTACTTACATCTTCTCCCCCGAGTGGGAGGCCCTACTTCACCCTCGATGGGCCGCGTACGATGAGCTGGAAAAGAGACGCCTAGCCGAAGGAGGCCCGCGGCTAGAATGGCAGGATGCAGTCGACCAAGACCGAAAGACATACTCAGCCATGAAGGAATTTCACTTCAAGCCTCTCGAATCTAAGCTTTGGCCGATAAGCCCGTTATGGGTTCATCTAGCCAGATATAAGGGTGGACCAGAGTTCGATGCTCACAAGAGATTGCACGGCTGGGCTTCTCTGCTGGACGATTGGGATGAAATCCAGCAGCTGGTTCGGGATGAGGCCGAGTTCTGCGACTCAATATCGCCCGCTCAAAGACGATCGTTTGATCTTCTCCAGTCTTGGTGGAAGGCGGCCTACTGCGACGAAGAGCTTTTGAGAGCTACCGTCGCGCGCCTAGAAAGCAACCGGCCTTTCTGGACGATATCGAATCCCTCTGATGGCTACGGTCTTCGTCGCATCGCCGGTGAAGTCAAAACGGACACCTCCCTCTACCACTCGCACCTATTCAGGCTCTTCCTCTTCGAATTCCACCCGCACTTCTGGGAGCCTTTTCTCTGCCATCTAAAGCTGTCTACACTTCAGCATGCTCGTTATCGATCTGCTTGTGTTGCAACCATCCAGAAGCTTTCCTACCCAGTGCTCCATCCAGGCCATCCTCCTGCTAAGGAGCAAGCTCCATATCCTATCGTTGTTCAGAACGATGCGGAACACCAGATCATTACTTCTGTCCAGGCGAGTATCAATCCGTACTACCTGTGGGACAACGAGGGTCAACAGACAGTGACCGTGGAAGGCCTGCCCGAATGCCCCCCATATGTATGCATTAGCCACACTTGGGGTCGCTGGCGAACACGAACCGACACAACTGTCCCCGGGGTGCCCTGGCTGGTTCCAGAAAACACTCTATACGACGTCCGCGATCTTCCGGGTCAGCTCAAGGAATTGGGTTACCGCTACATCTGGTTTGATCTATTTTGTATTCCGCAGGACAAGAGCGATCCCAGGGCCGCCCAGGAGATTGCAAACCAGACATCCATCTTCAAGGGATCGAGTCACTGCATCGCCTGGATCAACGATGTCGAGTCCTGGAATGGAGTGCTGGCCGCATTAGACTGGATGAGTCTCAAGTCGCAGTCTCTCTTGTCGAACCGCGACACTGACGCGATCAAGGATAGAATAAGTGAAACGACACAGGCAGCCACAGTGGCGATGGAGCTGCTCAAGAGAAAGCGCCGTGAGGGAATGGAAGGCCTAGTCGATCTTGCTGACGATCTTACGGCAGGCGAGCCAACTTTCTGGATGTCCTCACTATGGACGTTACAAGAGTGTATTCTTTGCCCCGAGATCCAGCTCTATACTCGCACCTGGACCAGGCTGGAAGATAGGAGCGGGACAGCAATCTCATTGAGAACCCTCATGGTATTTCTCAGAGACACCCGAGATTACAACTTGCTACCAGAGCCCATCGCAACCCCCTTCAGCGAGCCCTTGCAGTACGATGGAAAAGTCATGAACAGCCTAGAAAGGAAACTTCTCCATAACAGCGCCAGCGACCGGACATTCCCAAACGCAGTCAGGGACCTCTATCAGCTCTGCAAGATGACCCGCCTCGACAACGCCTTAACTTCTGGCTCTCCCACGACGGTCCTCACAAACGCGAACCTCCGACACTGCTCATCCAGCCGCGCCCCAGCCATCATGTCGGCCGTTGGCGTGACGGACTGGTATGTCGAGCATCTAAAGGCATCGGAGTCCACCGTCAAGCCCGCGCCGCCAGCGGAGCCCCTGGTCTACGGAACCTACCCTCTCGCCTTCCTCCGCGAGTGCTCACGAAAGTTCGGCGCCATCTTCTATGAGAGCATGGCAAGGGACCTAGTTCGCTCCACGGGCACTGCCAACGAGATGCGGCGAGTCCTGAAGCGCAACGAGTCTGGTGGGACCATGCTACCCGTTTCCAAGACCACAGGCTGGTATGCCAGTATCTCGGGATCCTCTGATCACACCTACATTGACCGTCAAGACCACGAGACCGTCGCAGGTTGGCTTGTAAACGAGGATGCAAGCGTCTCCATGCGCGGCGTGGGCATCGCCTTGACGTCGGATGACAAGCCGGGGTCGCGCCAATTGTCGGGAAGTATTGACTGCTTTCTTCCTCGGGATGATGAAAAGGTCAAGCCGGAGAGATATACGGCGAACGTCAAGGACGTACTAGCGACACTCAAGGATTTAAGTCATGGATCTCGGCGGATTTATGCGGTTGCACTCTACCAGGACTTGGGTGTTCTCCATGGCGTGCTGCTAGAGAAGTTGCCCTTGTCTATGTTTGGGAAACACTATCTCAACAAGATTGGCCAGTTTTTGTTAAAGGAAGCGTCTCTTCCGCCACCTTCCAAGGTTGATTGGAAGGTGTTGTAGAGTCTGCTCAGTCTTTGCGTTTTCCACGAGTCAACGGCCGGTTGAGATGGTCGGATGTATGTTCGAAAATCGTATGTCTGAAGGAACTGAACTAATATATTCTTTCTCTTATGCGAATGGCTTCTCAAGACACTAAAGAATTTACATAACTGCGTGTTCGTCTGGACCTAACCCTCCTCTGTTCATTGAAATCGACACCATGATCCTAAATCCCTCCCAAGATTTCTTGCACCCTCTTCCTCCCCTCCTTCACAGACGTAACCTCCTCCATCCGCAGCGTAGCCTCAACACAAGCATTATCTCCAACCAGAACGATTTTGAAATCTCTCACCAGCGCAGCAGCCACCGCCTCCTCTGTTCGCGCGGTGCCCTCCCATCCGAAAAGGCGCACAAGATGCATGACCAAGACACTCCAAAGCTGCTGGCCCAACCAGAGGTACTGCATAGGCTGATTCATCCATGACAGCAGCAGCAAACCTGCGGGGAAGTAGAGGACAAAGGCGTACACGGTCACTATGCTGGCCACCTCCCTAGCGCGGTCGAGGGTGCTGTCGCGGATCGGGTGGCCGTAGTGGCGGAAGAACTGGAAGCTTGCTGGAGAGGCTGGGGAGGGGGTTGAGATGAGAAGGAAGCCGATGGAGGGCACCTCGACCTCGAATATTTCGATTTCCTGGTGACGGGTTGGGGAGGCGGGGGTTAGGTCGTTCTTGGTGATTAGAGCTTCGCCTGCTGGTGAAGATGGCGCCGTTACGTCGAGGGTCGACGATTCGGGGGAGGCTTCGTTATGTATCAAGCTCTCCCGTCGCACCCTTGCTGTAGCGGCGAATAGCTTCAGGAAGAGAGGAATGCACAGGAAGCCAATGAACCACTTTGCTGGGGCGTCCTCTCCACCTTTGCTCTGGCTCAACCAAATTCCTGCAGCGACTGCAAGCAGAATTGAAGATAGTTCAGAGACAACAATGCCTAACAATGTTCTGAACCCGAAGTTTTCGTTGAAGATCTTGAGTTGTGGAGACATTTCGATTCTTTGAGGTGATTGGAACACCAGATCAAGACGATATATCCGTCTCGTAGTCCTGACGGTGTCTGCTGGTCCCTCACCCCTCTCCTTCAAGTGCGCAGCATCCGGTACCGGCGCCGGGCCGGCGCCAACCCAGGACCCCCCCAGACCGATACGCTCGTCGACATGTTTCAAAACCTCAATCCAGAAGCCGTTCCGTACGGCCCGTGGCAGTTTTCGGTCATCGGGGGTGGCTGCCGTCTTGTGGAGGTACTGAACGCTGGCCTTGTCGGAAAAGAAAGTGGTCCCGAGCATGTCACCCCGCCGGCGACCCTTGTACAGGCCGCGGTCGCGGAACTTATCCAAGGTTTCCAGGGCTGCGCGATGCAAGGGTCCGCCCATAGGCATAAAGAGGGCCAGGCGGATGAGCGCGATGGCGTCGACGGCGTTGTAGAAGCGTTCTGGCCATAGCAGACGTTCGAATAGGCTTATGCCCGCGACTTCGGCACCTAAGTAACCTAGGACTGCGCCGAGGGCTGAAGATGTTGCTGACATTTCTTCGTTGTTGTTGGCACTGGTCACGATGAGGTATGTTTGGTGGGTTATGAGAAAAAGAGAGCTGCAGGTGCTGTCGAGTGGACTTGAGCTCGTCTTTTAATATTTCAGAATTTCGGTGTACTCGACTTGATCCTTTTCTCATCCAAAGCAAAGGTTGAAGCTCAAAGAGGTTGGTTTGCCTTACTGACTTTGGGGGTGCTGGTGTGATATCGGGCCCTGCACCAGACCCTGGTCTGCATGTCAAATTTGTCTGCCCATTCGCCCCAGGGGTGAGTCGTGCGGTCTGACGTACTCCGTACATCGAAGTGTAATTAGTACTGCAGAACCCTGTTGCTTACATCCTCTGCTCTTTGTGATGCGATTATGCCTCATTTGGGGCTTTGGTCTGCCTCTTGGGTCAGGGAGATTCTTCTACGAAAATTTCGCCTCGTCGAAAGCCTTACAGACTAACGGTACAAAACCCATCTGGCACTATTGATAAAATCATATTCTGACATCGGGATCACTGGCTTTCGAGTCAATCATACTTCAGAAGCATGGTAAGTATAACATTGCAGGTCAACGACGATTTCATAGACCATGAACACGATTAGTCATTGACATACGCGACGTACAGGAAATGTTAACTGCTTGGGGCTAAGACGAGGACACGTGGCCCCGGTTAACTATCCATGAAAATATCGAAGACTACTGGCCCCGGCGGCTATTACACATACCAACATTGACATCAGTCGAGAGACACGAGCACAACGCTTATGGAACAACGGAAACGCCAAGATATAGCATCCTCACTTACACTTGGAGCCGCTGGAAAATCAAAGATGACGACCACGCCGTCCCTGGGTTGCCGATGAAGGGCGCTCTGTGGAAGATTCCCTCGACACGAGAGTCTCACTTCACATTGGACTCGTTCCGAACCGTCATTGATTTCATAGCGTTTGAGGACGTTGGTTGGGCTTGGGTCGATGTTGCTTGCATAGATCAAGAAGACGAGATCATGAATGCGGAGGAAGTTGGTCACCAGATCGCCATTTTCGACAAGGCAGTCAAAGTGCATGTTTGGCTATGTGAAGTAACACACGAGAGTCTTACGAAGGCATTCCGTGACATGAAAAACAGCGGATTGGCAGGCCTTACTTTCAACACCTTCAGCGAAGTGAAGAGCCCGGTCACGCCTTTGTTCACAACTTGGGAAGACGTTCACCATGATGAGATTAGGATGGCCGTCGTACGCAAAACTATTGACCGTGTCAATTCTGGGCTCCAACATGTACTTAAAGATCCCTGGTTCTCATCTTTGTGGACCTTGCAGGAAGCAGTGTTGCGCAAAGATGCTCTGATTCTAAGTGCAGAAGGGCTTCCCTGCGCTTGGAACACATCCGATGACGGCTTGAAGTACCAAGGCTATCTCGCAATGCTCGTCAACTTTTGCAACAGCATCTACGCGGACGTCGCCAACATACTATGAGGCCTCAAACGCCACGAAGAAATGGGTTACACTTTACAGGACTGGGAGGTGGACATTAAGACAAACGTCGAGGAAATACAATCACTCTTTATCGGTTCCGGCATGCATAATTTGCCCACATCGAATCTCAACATCCCTTACAGTATGGCGTGGTCTAGGCAGACCTCGAGACCGGTAGACCGTATCTATGGCATCATACAAGCCGATAATCTGCGTGTGGGCAAGGTTATTCGGCCGCATGATAACACTTCTCTGACAGATCTCACCCAAGATTCCATCGTAGCACTAGCCAACAAAAATTCTGTTCTATGCCAGCTATTTGTCCATACGGCAAAACCTGGAGAGTTCTCAAGTTGGCGCAACACAGAACATTCGTTCGTACCAGCTAACTTCAGATCTGCAACAGGATACGTGTTAAAAGCTCGATTCCATCCCGAGAGTAAACAAGCCATGAGAGCAAGCGGTAGAGTATGCCGCTTGACTGATGCACTTGAGGTGCAGGATACCCTAGTTCGGCTCCTTAAGGAAATAGACAAGTCCACGTCGGCAGCATTTTGTAACTGGGATTCACATCCCGCTCGTCTCATAATCATGACAGATGCCGGATTCACGCAGGAACATCTGAACCCCAACTGTCCCAAGTGGGAGCTCGATGTACCGGATTTCCTTTGGCTGCAACCTCAGGTAGCTAAATTGCCACTGGTTCTCCATGGTTATTTCACGTTGGAGGTTTTGACACATCTCGAGGGAAACCCAGTTCCATCCTTCGGAGCGTTGCTGTGCTGCTTTGCCCATAAATCAGCCGGTGAATTTGACTGCTGACATTGTCAATGGGCAGACGTTCCTTACATGCGGGTTGTACTTTGCACCTGGGAGCCTGAAAGTGAGGAAGGGAGGCGGATGATGAATGAGGACATTGACTGGAAGCCTGTGGATTTTGAATTTCATCAAAGAATGACTTCTACTCGTTTGTTACCCTCGTAGCTAGATACAGAAGTAAGCAAATGGAACTTCTTCAAACATACTTATGCAAAACTTAACTTCTTCAAACATACTTATGCAAAAACTTCTTCAAACATACTTATGCAAAACTTACAATGGATGTCGCATCATATAAATTACTTCAATTTCTCATGTTATAATTATCCCATCAATTGTTAAATGGCGTCAGTACATCCTTTTCCAGTCTTTTCCTATTTTCACTCTACTTTGAAAGCATCTACCAAAGATTGAAAAACACATAAGGTCGGATCAATTTGTAGGCCATTATTGCTCCTCATAATGTACGTGCAAATGTATTGACGCCATCTAGCAGTTGATGGGATAAGCTGTGATTACCTAGCTCACGCGACTGGATATCATAGACGAGTCTCAGTCGTCTCTGTAGGACCTGTTGAACCTAGGTATCAACACCTTTAGAATGCTCCTCATAATCGCTGCTTGTCTTCGCGATCATTGGTAGTGAGTCTTGATAACATCAACAATCACACCATGATCCTCATCCTGCTTCAACCCACTAACAACGACAACAGCAACCACGCCCTCAACTCCCTGCACACGGATAGGCACACCGCCGCCATGAATGGCATATTTTCCCGCCTGCTCCGTGCTCATGCCAAACTTTGACGCAAAAAGCTGCTCATTGCCATCCATCTTGTTGTGGAGTAGCCAAGTGCTGCAGCCCCATCGGAGCACGGCGTTGCGCTTGCGCTGTACCCACGTCTCGTTGTCGGGAAGCGAGCCGGATCCGACGGCCGTCTGAAAGAGGACTTGCTGGCTGTTTGCCAGTGCGATTGAGATGACTGTGGGCTTCCTGTTGACGAGGGCGAAGGGAAGAAGGCGGGCGTGCAGGAGGTGGCCTAGTTCAAACGCATCCTCGTACGTAAAGGACTGAAAAGTGATGGAATCACACTCTTGCTGAATCACTTCGACCTATAAAGTAGTTAGAGTTTTGCTACTGCACCATTGTGGTTGTGTTGGCTCATGTTGGCAACCGGGCCTAGGGTAAAACTCACATCGCGGGGCGGCGAAGGGATCGGAGTCGGAGCGGCGGCAGGGTCGCGGATAGCGGCGAGGGACTTCTCCAAGCCGAAGCCTGCGGGGTGTTGGCGGGTCCAGACTTTTTGAGACATGTTTAGTTGTGGCACGGAACTCTGCGGTAGCGGTCTCAATCTTTCGAGATATGTGTTGAAGAGTAAAGAGTTGTTTCGCGGTGCCTTTGGTGATGAAGCTGATGACAGAATACTTTCTGAAGAGTCGTCGTCGTCTTCGTCCGGCAACTGGAGAAGAAGTCAAGTTATTAGATAGTTATCATTCCCCTTCCGCGTTCCGAGCGAGCGAAAGCGGCGCGCATCTGCTCTTAATAATTCCCTGATGAGAACGAAAACCCCCCCAATGCCATCCCACATCCGCTGGGTCCCAACCGTCATGCAGCCCACTTGGTGCCTCTCAACTGTTACAGTTACCCCATTGGGAAAGGAGAGTCCAAGAACTTACGGAGCCGGGCCTCTCTTCATGTTGCGTGATAGGCTGCAAGGCGGGGGGTTGTGTGACGGATGCCGTCGCGCTTGGTGCTGGGGTTTGCGCTGCGCTGCTGCTCTGCACCGTGCTCGCTGCCGCTGCCGGTGCGCTCGCTCGCGCGCTGAAGCTCGACTGACCTGCTGCTGCTGCTTCTGCTCCGGCTGTGCTATTTCGTCCATTATTCTTGTTGGGCGTCTTGGAATACCGGTAAAGCCCCCATTCTCGGAGCCGGCGCTGGAACGTCTTGCCGTTGACTTCGTATCCCTTTGCGGCGAGGCCCTTTAACATGCTCTCGACCGTTTCGCGCCGGTTGAACGCCGCAATGATTTCATCCTTGAAGGGCTCCAGGTCGAGACGGGGCCGCCCGGGAGGCATTGTCATTGTCCGAAGTGCTTTCGCACCGAGTACATGTATACTTTCCGCGGCACGGCCCTCTCAGTCATGAGTACATATGTAATTGGAGGCGCGATTCAATGGGTGTAAAGTAGCCGATGAGATGTCTGCGAGGAGATTGCGGGTATTGATCCCAGGCACACGGGCGCCGCTTTCGCCGGATTGACGATTTGTCTTTCTGCTCAACATCGTGGCTGACCGCCACAGTGGCTGAGACTCGGCCATCAGCTCTTCTTACTCACTAGCAACTCTGTCAAAGCTCAGAATTATCACGAGCAAATGAAGTTGATAAAAGGAAAGTGTCATGCTCGCGCGTTATAAACTCTGGAGATATTGAGACTGGACTTGGAGCGACCAATTTACTCACTCATTCAACTCCATCATTACCGATAAATTCTGACCAGTGGTCTTATCCTTGGCAGTTGACAGGCATGGATGGTTTTTAGTTACCGCGGGTATTGAGTTCAACTTTACCATATAGCCGTCTTGAAACTCCGCAAGTTGACAAATGCAACATCTCGGATTCTCTTTGATTGAGGAATCACCACCATTGAGGTCGAATATGCCGTAGTTCGTATTCGTACCCAAAGTCCGCGGCCGTGGCTGACTGTACTTCAACCCGTGCGGATTACACAATTACTCTTCACTTGAACAGCCATCCTCGAAGCTTCTTCTACCAAGTTCTGTGGATAAAAAGTATATGTAGTCTTTGATTGACTACATCATCCTAAATTATCAATTCTAGGCTTAGAAACACCAGCAACAGCGGCACTGATTTCACACCTCCGCACTCACTTCTCGTTCAGCCAGTATCTTTTTTGAAAACTTGGACAGCTGAAGCAAGAACGATGGCAAAATTCTCAACCAGGCCGCCCTGCCTCGCGCGATCCAGTCCATCATAGATAAAGATGAGATACGAACCGTCATCCATCGATTCGCTCGTGGCGCAGACCGCTTGATTCGCGACGTCGTGCAGTCAATGTATCACGAAGATGCCACAGACAACCACGGAACCTACAACGGCCCAGCCAAATACTTTTTCGATTCAATGGGCTCTGATTCAATCAAGGCCGCTCACCATCAGATCGGCCAATCTCTCGTTGAAATTGAAGAGGACGGTCGCAAGGCGCATACCGAAACGTACTGCACTGCGACGACAATCGCTGTGGTCGGAGGAGAGGAGAAGTGGACGACATTCTTGGTGCGTTATGTTGACAATTCGGAAAAGAGAGACGCTGAATGGAGGATAACTCACCGTTTCTGCACGTTTGATGATGCGTCTGACGCTGCTATTCTGGGATATCTGCCGAAGGAAAACCTAGGTACCCGCGACGGAAGTGATTACTCTCGAAGCGTCTTCAAGGATTAGCCGAGCCCAAGAAAGTACCTAGGTCTTATTCCATAATTATGAAAGCACTACTGGAACAAGTTTGGAATAAAAAAATGGAGGGAAGGATTCTCAGATGTCCGATATTTAGCCACCGCTCTGTGCCTCAAGGCTGAAGTTGAGGCGTTGTATGTGAATGTGGTAAACATTGTTGCCAAAGGGTCGAGAAATGAAGACGTAAATAGTAAAAATTCCAACTGTCTACTTTGTCTAAAGTCACTTGCGCGAGACCAAGCGTTCGAAACTTTTTCGCCGGTTGGCTTTCCATAATTATTGCCGGCATGCGGAAAGTGGTAAACCTGTTGTATTGATGATCAACTATTAGATATTGAGAAAGAAAATTGTGAACTCAATGATCAACTATAGTGGTACATCATTTTTATTAACCTTACTACGATGAAACATCATAGCTTGCCTTGAGTGTACGTTTACTGATACTCTACAATTACTGAATATATCCTAGCCGAATAACATAAGTTCCTTCAGCCTCAAGTATCATCGACGTTACGGGAGTTTGCCTCGTCTCGACCGAAATAGAGGTTGTAGAATCTACCTTGCAGCTTCTGGCAACGTGAGATTGCCAACATCTGAACGCATTTCTCCAGGACGCTATTTCTTCTCCAGTCATGGAAGTTTCAGCCCCTGGAGCCTTTCCACGACGATATAGAGTCTTTCGTCTTGATCACAATATCAAACCAAGAAGATCCTCAAAATTTAGTAGGCCAGCTAGCCGTCACGCCACGCAGCCCCCTACCTCCATCTGCTTTTGTCATCGATATAACATGACCAAAGGTTTCGAACCGTGAAAGCCGCTGCATTTGGAGTATCATCGCTCTGTGTTAGTCCTTTCAGGGCTGAGGTCTTCCGAAACAGATCATAAGCCGCTTGCTGGAATGAGAGTTGCTGTCAGAACCCTTTTGCATCTCAAAGGAGTCAGAAAAGGTTGTGGAAAGCGCACCTACCGTGACTTGTATGGGCCTGTAAATGCCTCTTCTAACGCTGTCGAACGTGTCACAGATCTTGGAGCAGTTATTATCGGCATGACCAAGACTGTCGATTTTGGAGGGAGGCAAGAGATGATCGGCGACTGGCGCGACTGCGCTGACCCTGTGGATGTCCGTGGTGAGGGTACCTCGCCAGACCTGGGAGCAGTATAGGATCTGCTTCAAGCCTAGCAACATCTCCATGGCTTAGTATCACTTTGGGTACGGATAGAAGCAAGTTGAAATGGTCATTGCACGCTCTTGATGCTTGTGACATAAATGCTCGGCTAGGTGGACTTCTCAGACTTTTATCGCCATAATATGTCGCGAGTTATGGATCTACCTTGAGAATTTTAAGTCAAAGCATCAGACAAGATTTGAGGCGGACCCTTACGTGTGCAAAGTTCTAACGGTACCTTTGGTAACATCAAGATACAACGCCTTGTCCACTAAGTATGCGCTGACAGTCTGGTCTTAGGGATAAGGGCAATGATAAACAATGAGCCTCGGCAAGAAGCCATGGATGAATTTTCGCTTCCTAGCGCCTGGTTTCTTGAGCATCTGCTCAATGACTAAGAGACCATAATATTTGTCCCTCGACACAGGTTGGATTATCGGGACGAATACTTTCCGTAAGAGATGTGACTGACTAGCTATGTTTCCAGGTAGTAAGACTGACTGATTAAATATTTCTTAGCGTTCCCGAGGATCGAGGCTTTGAGGGCTTCGACTGCAACCTTTACGCTTCATTATCCGGTGTGCCACACCTGATCGTGCCTGGTAAGAGCCAACCGTACGATGATTTAAAATAATTGGAAGCACTCTGATAGAACAACACAGGGAGTCAATATCTATATCAGTTCAAACTTCCGGACCTGAAGAGTATTTCCCTGTCTCTCTCTCTCGGTTGCAGGGCCTAAAGGTCAATAGCACATCTTCCTAACCCGCCAAGGCATCGAAGAAGTGCTCATAGCTAGCCTGAAGGAATGGACATGGGATTATTGAACTTCATACATGACTATTTGACCGAGGACGAGCTCTCCGCTTCTTTCATGGCCGGCCGCATGACCTTCAACCTTCCCCGATAAAGATAATTGGAGATTTGCCTCGGTGAGACCATTTTTCTGGCAACTCATCCCAATTGACGCTCCATCTGGGATGACCAGTCCTGTCATAATGGTGCGGTGAAGTATGCGAGTTGATGCAGTTGAGAAAGCGGATGATTCAGACCCAAAGTCTTATCAGTGCTTGCAGGCCTGCTCTGCGGTTCTGTTTGAGTACGGCACTAACACTGAGGAGGCTTGTCAAGTCGGCGGACAATTGTAAGCGAGATGCGAGGGCACTGCCACTGTCTTCAGAGTTTCAAAGTGAGCTCTATCAGTCATCATGGGCCATTGACTTCAGTAGTATGAAACCATGGGTGAGTAAGAGAAGGCGAAGTTGTGGAAGCAAATTTTCCGTCCGAGACTTTAGATGGACCATCCTAGTTGAGATCGGAGAGAAAGACCGGACGAAGAGATAAACTTTTAGTGGTCTGTGTTGTGTTCAACTCACGGATCAACTCTTGAAAATCCTCAGGTGACAGCCAAACGAAAACACGAATCTGTGCCTCAACTGAAGCGTAACTTGAGCATCACTCTACGGTCGGAACCTCAACTCACTCTGAAGTCCTTTCGGACAATGGCCGGTTGGCCCAATGGCAAGGCGTCTGACTACGATTCAACGTGTAATCAGGAGATTCTGGGTTCGACCCCCAGGCTGGTCAAGATTCATTTTTGATAATGGTAGAAAATGGCGCCAAAGTGCAGCCAGAATGCCGCTTATTAGGGCATGTCTTTTGAAGGCTTCAGGGGACACCCCACATGACCATTGGTAATGCAGTGGGCCAAAGCACGGTTCGTCGGTTGTTTTCTGGGCGAAAAGCTTGCGTTCACCGCATCGTCACCGGCTAGCCGGTGGGAGTTGCCGCTTGCGTGGACGAGGTAGTAATACCATGGTAGCGACTATCCGACGCGTGAGCAGCTTGACGCGGTGCGGCGGTTCAGAGCCGGTCATACGCGTTCGACAACTCGGATGGTACCTGAATGACGGTGGTGATGAGCCATTGAGTGCATGCCAATTGTGAATGAGCGATCGAGAGCGAGAACGAGCGGATGCCATCATGTTAAAGATCTGGGGAATGACGGCTCAGAATCAGGGGATGCTCGTATCTTGTCGGCACCACCGCTCCGTCGGCGACCCGTGGGCGCCGGCAACGCCGTGGGACCCCGGTCGGCACTCTCGGCTTGTGGGAGGGCTCTTGGCTTGGAGGCTCAGTTGTTCAGGGCTTGCTGTTCTCCTGTCAACTCTTTAGGGCGGGCTTGACGTCCCGGGATAACGCCAAGGGGCCTCTCGCGGCTTCGGCAAGTTCAATCACTCCAGGTTTGATGCATCATACGGATATAAGGCAGGGCAAAGCCAACAGCTTTGATAACTGCGAGCCGTTCACAATGTGATTGTGAAGTAGGCACAACGGCGCACTTCAGGCGCACTACAATCTAAGCAAGACGATCAGCAACCAACGCATAAAGTAAAATCAAACTCTAATAACCGGCAAGTGGAACCACTCACAGCTCTGCCCCTGGCCATCTACCAATCTCCCCTTGGTGCCTGACTCGTATCTCGACCAGGGTGAAGGTTTCAACCGGGACTCGGGTCTCATGCTGCCCCCACACAATATCGAGTTCCCCTGGCTAAAAGACAGCGGACGAGTGATCACGACAGACGTCAACGGTGCTGCGGATGAGCTAGGTTGGTCCCTCTGGCCACTGGGTCAAAAGTGCCCCTAATCCCGCAGTGGCCGAGCCTCCGGGTCCTGTCTCCTTTGGGCCCCGAGATGCTTGGAGAGGAACTGGAGTTCAGGGATCTTTATCAATACCAAGGTCCAAGTGAACCGTGCCATCTCCAGCGGCACGCTGTCGTTCGAACTTGTCCCCTTTCAAGTAGTGTTGTCCCCCATCCCCTCCTCCACAGTTACCTAAAACTCTTCCTCATCCCAAAATCGACCGCTTCTGAATCTGATAATCCGCTCCGGTGAACGCATTGAAAGTGTTGGACATATCGAAAAGGAGACCAATGTTGAGAATAAGTTTGGCCAAGGCGTTGCCCTGCTAGAGAAAACAAACGAAAAAAGACAAACACGATTCCCGACGCGATCGTGCGTCGACCGAAGGCGCAGCGAAGATGTCTCTGAGACATCGGAATCGAACCGTCCCGACCTCTTCAGCGATCCTCATCTCATACCTCGCGTCGATAACTCATGCCACATTCACCAATGACTTTTCAGCGTACCCAGAAGCAGCGAGATCATGTCTCGACTCCGCCGCTGCAGCGTCCGGGTGTACCGGTAACACGGTGACGGAGATGAACTCATGTCTGTGCGGGAATGGCGGAAACTTTGTGCTGGCGACGTCAAAGTGCGTGGAAAAAGAGGCAAAAGACAAGCTTGACGACGTTTACGAGATGCTTCTGACCTCCTGCACGGACTCGAAAACGCCATTGGGCATTTCACAGGCACAATTCCTAGACCCCGACGACGACGACGAAACCAAATCAACAGCCTCTTCCTCATCTACTACTCAAAGCAGCACAACACTATATACCTCCACGACTGCACCGCCAACCGAAATACCAGCATCCTCAACAACATCGACATCGACATCTCTCACGACGTACAAAAGCGTTGCACCAGGAGGAGTCACAGTTACGGTGACTAGGGGAGTTGAGACAGTGCCGACTGGAACGGCAAGTGGGAAGCAAGGAAGCAGTGCCGAAGGGGACCAAACTACCACCGGCGATGAAGGGCCTGGCCATACAGCTCTTGCGGCAGGACTTGCAGGAGGATTGGCGATCCTACTGGGTGTTTTGGCGTTCTTTTGCTACAGACGCCGAAAGCAGCGCAAGGAGAGAAAGGGACAAGTCGGTGCTGGTGGAAAATTCGCAGCCTTATCCAGCGCGACTAGCCTCACCACGATGTCGGCTTCACCGCCGCAGGGGCAGGCGACAACAGCATATCACGGCGTGAACGACCGACGACCCGATACGGCAAACACAATGAATATGGCGGTGGGCACTCCGGGATGGAATCGTCAGCAACAAGGGCCACAAAGTCCTCAACATTGGCAGAACAACAACAACAACAACAACAACTCTCCTGGGCACTACGGCCAGCAAGCAGGAACCTGGCCGTCACCAGTTGCCAATGGGGACGGGACTACCGGAACATGGGGGGTTTCGCCCGTCTCTCAGTATCGTCCAAACTCATCCAGGGGTCCCGAACCGTCACCACATACCAGAACCTGGAATGCGCATGCTGCTGAGATGGCAGCCGCTCCAGTTCCCGCGCCTCATCCTTCACATCCCTCAAATAACACATACTCTCCCGTCTTTGAACTGCCGGGAGATCAAATACAAGCCGTAGAGGCAGACTCGACACCAGTCGGCCATGCTCAGCCTGTGGTGCAACCGCCTTCGCGTTCAATACAATCGACGCCGGCTCAGATGCAAGCACAACCGGCGCAGCCAGCACCAGCACATCACGGAATGCCAAGACAGATCGACGACGCACTTCAAATATCGCGAGTAGAATTACCGCCGCCTCGGTACTCAGGCCCATCATCACCAGATTGGGTCAGCGAGGATAAGAAGTTTGGCTAGATCAAACGGGGGGGCCTTTTGGCCCAGATAGCTCTTCAGCATAATGATATTTTATAAATGTTGTAATATTACCCATATGTAGACTTCAGGGCACCACTGCCGACATGATGCATAAGCCTTCAAAATTCACACAAGATCAGCAACCGACCTCTAAGGGCTTGTGATGTCATGACTATGCTTCCGTAAACCAGGGCACTAGTGAGAAGAATCATAACAGAGAAGCTGCGTAAGGCGACCCTACCAATCGACTCCGTTGCAACCAAATTGTAAAAAAAAAAAAAAAAAAATTAGAGTAAGCAAACGCAACTGCCCCTGGCAAAGCTCGAACTTGCGATCTTTGGATGTCCCAGGCTTCAAGCCGAGTCATAATAATGAATTAGGTACTAATACGAGACCAACGCTCTTCCAACCGAGCCACAGAGACGATGATTGGTGATTTTATGGGCAGCTCGATCTGGAGACAGAAGATTTGCCAACCGGAGGTATGTCGCGGTCCGCGGATTCATCAATTGGGTCGAGATGCTGTTAGTTTACCGAAGTCGAGCGACAAACTCTGGTTCTGTGGTTCTCTAGCTGTGTCTCACGGAAACGTCTAGTCTTAAGCTAGCATGACCAAGGTAGCCAGCCAGCCCTACGGATACAAGAGTCGTTAGCTTTGTCACTCACGTCACACGTGCTTCCCATACCCTTCTCTGCTCCTCCACCCTTCCATGTTCCTCGCGTTGCCCAATGAAAATCACTAAAACACTGAAGCCACGCTGGACCGAAAGGCAGAATGAGCCGATTAACGAACTTGAATGAAGAGGCCTCTTGTCAACCTTACCAAGCCACAGCATGCGGGTGTCGTGTTCCGAACGCGCGTCTCAACACCGCTAGCCTGTTCTGTGAAATTGATTGGGTCGGCCGAATCCTGCGGCTGAGTTACCAAACCTGCGAGAATGCGGCGCAGGACTCCTGCCTAGCCTGATGGCTGTGTATCCAATCAAGACTTGGCATCTGACTGTTCATAGCATCATCCCACCGTTCGACTGATTATCGGCGGGGTCAGGCAGCCCCCTGCCTCTAGATTTAACCATAAATCACCCCTCGACGACCAGGACCAGCGCCAAGAGCGATAGTAGAGCGTAGACGTGATTAACACAAAACCGAAACTCCGCCTTCGATTGAAGATACTATCTCGAGCTTGATAATGCCGGGCTTCTCTTCAGCTGCGGTGACATCGAGCTGTGATGACATCACTCACCGAATTGTCTCGACGTCAGCTGAGCTTGACAGTCTGTTGAAGGCCATTGACCCGGGGAGTACAGCAGCGCAGCACTTAATTTCGGTTTCGGCAAAACTCGAACAACTTAAAGATACCACGCAGCAGCTTCGGCTGTCCCTCGATGAGTCCTCTGCCATATCTCCCGGTCTTCGAAATGCCTTGGCTATCGCTATTCAGCCTTGCGCAGATGCTGCGGCTGTCGTGGACAAGCAGATACATAGACTCGATCCAGGAAACGTGATGGGCCTCAATTCCAATGTGATTCTGCAGTACGAGAACTATTATTCGACGAACACTCGCTTATTCGCACAATTTGTCTCCGTGGCGCATATGTGAGTCTCACAAAATAGTTCGATCTCCTTGATGTCGCTGATCCAATCACTTAGGTCAACTGTCACCCAGCAGGATGCAATGCTGTCTTCCTCCGACGGGCATGGAATGTTAGAATCAGCAGTAGAGGCGTCTCAAATCGTTCTGACGCGCAGCGACATACTGCAACCCTTAGACGAAGCTGGTCAATCCGCCTTTGATGTCTCAGCTATTGCCGGAGAATTTGGGGACGACCAAGCAGATGAGCCGCCACCGGACTACACGTCTGGAAAAGCCAATAAGGGGAAAAGTAAGGCATCTGGCCAGTTCTTCTCCTCGATTTCGAGCTCTTTCAAAGCGATGACGGCTGGCTTAAGAGCCAAACCGGAGCCCATGGTCATCGCCATGTGCCAGGCCGCCAAGAGCGGCGATGTGGGACATCTGAAAGGATTTCTTTCGCAAGGGGTCAACATTAACGGCCAGAACCAAGAAGGATTCACGCCGCTCATTTGCGCTATCAGAGCCAACCAGATGAAAGCCGTCGAGTTCCTCGTCAAGTCTCAAGCCGATCGATCAATCAAGGACTCCTGCAGCGGCAAAAAGAAGCCCCCCCTTTTCCACGCCGCCGAATGTGGCTTTGTGCCAATCGCAGAGTTTCTCATCAATCATGGTTTCGAGATGAAAGAGCGTTCATGGTCTGGACAACCGTACTTCATCGAGGTCGCAAACAGCGACCAGCTTGACATCATCAAGCTTTTCTTACGACGAGGCTGCGATGCCAACACAGCTGCAATCAGTGGCCGCACCATCTTTATCCACGCTATACTCAGCGGTAGTCTTCCACACATAAAGCTCCTGCAGGAATATGGAGCCGACGTCAATGCTCGCGATATCAGTGGTCAGCCTGCGCTACATATGGCTTTAGGACAGAACCGCATGGACATCGTTACGTTCCTGCTGGAGCACAGCGCTGATCCAAACACTATGGACCTTACCGGCAGCACGATGATTATTTCCGCACTGCACAAGAAGAAGTACGATCTTGTCAAGACCTTGCTATCCCGTGGCGCCGATCCGAATGCCACTGGGTTAATGGGTAAAGGCATACTGTGGACCTTGCTGCAAAACAAAGACATGGAGGAGGGCATCAAGATCGAACTCATCAAATCACTTCTGGCACGAGGAGCCAACCCGAATCAAGTCGACAATTGGGGAGAATCCATCATGAGCATGGTCGTGACCCTGGGCAACACCGATCTTCTACGCATGTTTCTTGCTCACGGCGGTAATCCAAATAAGAAGGTCAAGGATATGACATTCTTGCTCTACGCCATTGACCAAAATAGACACGAGGATGTCAAAGTGCTCCTCCAACACGGGGCGGACCCGAACGAGGCAGACACTAAGGGCAGAACCCCCTTGGTCGAAGCGCTTCAGACAGAAAATTACGCCATACTACAAGCAGTCCTCGCTCACGGCGCAGATGTTAACAAGATGGGCCAGATCAAGCCGTTGGCATTGGCGCGGTTGCTTCAGAACCAGGAAAATATCAAGTCGCTGACAGACCGAGGTGCCCAAGCCCCAGAGCGGCCGGCGGCGGCGGCGACGAGAGCACCGTCCACGCCCGTCAGCCCGAGGCGGCCAATTCCGTCAGCTACCCAGAACCAACCAAGTGAAAGTACGGCTGATATGCCACCGCCTTACGCGGAAACTAGTGCTTTGGAGGAAGCTGGGGCCGCGAGCCCACCAAGCAGCGCGAGAAGACTTGTTCAAGTCGGCTCCTTCAGCCTGCAAAAATCGACGTGAACGCCAGGACCTGTGCCCGATATCACTAGAAAGATTGGAGTTTCGGGAGATGCTCAAGGTGCGAATTATATTGTGGTGGAAGGGAGGGCTATGGGACTAATGAATATGGGCGGGCCAACTCCTTACACTGTAATAATACTAGACCCCGTGCTTCGTAATTATTGAACCCTATTAAGAACCAATCTAGGCATTGAGAAAGATTGCTGGAGAAGAGGGCATGCATGAAGCATAATAATTTGGAGACTTTGGTGTGGGATCTTGCTTCGAACAATTACTGCCAAGTCATATTCTGATTTTGGCTGGATCTCAACTATTTTACATCATCATCGTGGATCTCAACCCTTGATGGCAGTCTTGATGATCTGCTCTAACCCCTCTCTGCCTATCGGTTCGATTCCAAGCAACTTGTTGTCAGTCACAGGGAAATGACCAGCCTCTGTGCCGATGAAAGCACGATTAATAAACATCTCAACCACCTCCTCGCTGTGGTCCCCCTTGTTCCATCTTTCGTGGGCGATCTTCTCTAAGTCCTCAGTCCTCGAATGCTTGATTTCCCAGTCTCCAACTGGGTCGATGCCCTTGGAAATCTCAACAATCTCATTTTGTGTTGTTTCAACACTGCTGATCTTTACTGGACGGTTCGCTGTCTCCTCGAGATGGGTGAGAATGCCGATTACAGCTTGTCCGATGTGAGGCATGGTTGTTGCGCAGAATTTGACGTCGCCACCATCCTTGATGTGGGCTTTCTTGCCCTTAACATCCACGAGAAAGTCAAGTGCGTACCCAGGCGCCAAGAAAGAGACATTCATGATGATGGTGTACGAGAATGACGGCCTTGCAGCTACCTTTTCATCAAGGTATTCGCGAATGGCAATCTTGGGCTGGTAAATGGGTATGACAGCCAGCTTGGGGTTCATGGTATCATTACCATACTCGGAAGGAATCATCCTTCGTACGCCAGCATTGAAAGCGGCATCGACAACGTTTCTCTGGATATGGATTGCGTCGAATGCCAAGGCTGAAACAAGAGCGTCTTGTCCTTTGAGGGCAGCTTCGAGACTAGGGACTGACTCGTAGTCGACTTTCTTCACTGCAACGCCAGCAGGGAATTCGTGGCGAGACCCCTCACGAGTGAGAACAGTGAGCTCAAATAGATTCGACTTCAGTAGGACATCAAGGAGAACACGTCCTAAGAAGCCGTTTGCCTGCAACGATTGTCAGTTTCGGGATATTTCGATCATTTGATTGAAGTGGAACTTGGGTGACTTACACCTGCGAGGGCGACAGTTTTGATTGGAGGTGACATATCGACAGACAGTCTGCGCGAAAGACACCCAAGCGGTTGTCAAAAAGAATCCTTGGAAATGCTGTGTCAAGCTACTCGTGGGATGAACCTACAAAGATCAGAGACAAATAGGGCTGTGAAGAGTTGGAGACCAGATTAACGAAGCATGTCAGCCATATTTAACCACAAACGGCTATGACGGCTTTGCTTCCTCGACTTTATTTTCGATTGATACACATTTACAGACCCGACGTCTCGGCCTGCATCACGCCGGGATCATCACACAGCCCGTGTAAGCCCACACATTAAAGTTCACCGGGACCGCCTGTCGGACAGACGGGTCACCGGCGCCGGGCTCCTGCCCGTTTGGAAATACCGCATTTAGCGGAGCTCTAGAAAAAAGGCCAAGGAAACGACGATCTGAAGTCTCAGGGGCAGGATTGCCCCGGTGAAAAACGCGCGCTGCGCAGGCGGATTAGAGACCTATCGTATGACCGAACCAGGCAACGAAGCATCGTACCAAACAAGTAACAACTGACGACCCTGGTAGGCTGGTATCATCCCAGCCTGATCCAGCTTGGCTGCCACGCAACTAGGACGAGATCAGAATGGAAAGTCATACCCAAGACTTCAAAGGCCACCCTGTTAGAACTGGGTTCTTGACACGTCAGGCGAGCACAGAGCACCGAGACCAAAGGCCTCGGCTTTCTTAATGATCAAAGAATTGAGAGGACGGAAGTGCCTGCCGTAGAAGTGGAGGATATGCGACCTCGATATTGTCTTACTTCACATGGCGGGGTTATTGTGCCTTGGTATAATGATGGGGGCAAGACAACGAAAGAGGTTTGGGTATAAAAGTCCTCATACCCTTCACCCGGCCGCCTAGTGAGAGAGAGGTGCTGGTTGAACCGAACGTATATCAAAAGTCTTGACAGGCACAAGCACATATCATCTTACCTTAATAGAGTCGACTCTCATAATCATGTTGATCCCAGTTTTGACGCTCGTTGCGTCCCTTGCAGCTGTTCTCTACTCCTTTTACATCATCGTTTCTACACATATTCTCCGTCACCGTATGAAGAGAGAATATGGCACTCTACCACCCAAGAAGCTACCCCAAAAGGATCCCATCTTTGGAACTGATGTGGTCCTCCAGAATCTGGCTGCTGCAAAGAAGTTTGGGTTCCTTGCTCTCTTGAAGAAGCGCCATGCCGAGCAAGGTCAGACTTTCACCACGAACACATACCTCCGGACCACCATCAACACTTGTGACCCAAAGTTGATCCAGACTGTGCTCAGCAATCAGTTTGAAGACTTCGGGATGGGTCCTCTGAGAAGAAAGAGTGCATCTCCTCTTCTTGGCCGAGGCATATTCACCACCGACAACGAGATTTGGGCCCATCAGAGAGCGCTCATCAGACCCAGCTTCATCCGAGCTCAGGTGACAGACTTCAGCATTTTCGAAACACATGTTGATCAGCTTATACAGTTGATTGCCCGGGAGAACTATACTGTCGACCTGCAACAGTTATTTTTCCGCATGGTACGTCAATTTTACCGCGACGGTCACTCCTATCAGGCTGTGTTGAGTTTGGGGTAGCTAACGTTCAAACTTGTAGGTTCTCGACTCAAACAGCGAATATCTTTTTGGTGAATCGGTTGGTTTGATGTCAGATCACGCTTCCGACTCTGCCCATACTTTCCATCACGCTCTGGATTACGCCCAACAAGGCACTATTCTCCGACTTCGCCTCGGCAATTTGATGTTCGCGCACAGAGACGCCAAGTTCAGGGATTCATGTGGCATTGTTCATGCATATGCCGATAAGTTTGTCAAGCAAGCCCTTGAGTTCCGCGAGCGCGAAAAGATTTACCCTACGGAGAAAAAGGACGGGTACGCTCGCACGAAATATGTTTTCCTTAACGAGCTGGCCAAGGACACCGACAACCCCATCATGCTGCGTGACCAGATTGTCAACATGCTGCTCGCGGCTAGAGACACGACAGCAGGACTTCTAGCATTTGCCTTCTTCTTGCTAGCACGGGACCTCAAAGTCTGGAATAAGCTCAGAGCGGACGTTCTTGAGCATTACACCGAACCTTTGACCTATGATGCTGTTATGCAGATGACATATCTGCGCTACGTGCTGCAAGAAAGTAAGTTTGCGAGCCGCCGACTGGTCTTCCTTATTACCTGACTTCATCTGGCTGACCTCAATCTCAGCTCTTCGTCTCTTCCCTCCAATTGCCACTAATAGCCGCATGGCTAATAAAGACTGCGTAATCCCGGTGGGTGGTGGTCCTGACGGACGCTCGCCAATGTTCGTTGCCAAGAACAACGTGGTTACTTACAGCACATTCGTTATGCACCGCCGCCCAGAACTCTTTGGCCCTAATGCTGAGGAATTCATCCCGGAGCGCTGGGAGACCCTCCGCCCAGGCTGGGAATATCTGCCCTTCAACGGTGGCCCTCGAGTATGCCCTGGTCAGAAGTTCGCCCTCACCGAGTCGTCATACACCATTGCAAGGTTGTTGCATGCCTTCTCTGGCATTGAAAATCTGGATCCGACTGACTGGCGCGAGCAACTCACCTTATCCCTGACATTGAACAACGGGGTAAAGGTGCGACTCCACCCAGAAGCTTAGGGATCCTGAAGTTGTCTCTTCCATAGCCACGAGCAATACCGGGTTATTTCCATGGAACTTCGCTTCGCTTAGCACGTTATGTTACGTAGACTCTCCAAGAATTCAGGCCAGCGGACTAATCCAAAAATGACAAAATTCTTCTCGAGCCTTTGACGCTTTGAGTTAGTGACATCTGATCTGATCTTCTCGGACCGTCGATAAGCCCCGTAAGATAACACGGCGCCTCCGCTGACAGTGCAGTTTACTTAGCATGCCACGCAATGCAGGTCTCAGTTCTTGCAGATTAGCTGGAAGACGAGTCTTATAAGAACTGTGTCTTAAGTGGATCAAGGTGGTAATGGTCCCTGGGCCTGACCATCGCTATAGACCCTGGCAATTGATGCAATCGAATGTTGGAACAGACAGGCAGCTGTTGCTCGATGAGTCGACTGAGTACATGCAGGTAGAAATAAGGTAGCATTCCAAAAGAGACGTTTAATATCAATTCAGAGATTCTAAGAGGTGACTAGGATACCGCAGCAGAATCAAATAGCCTAAGAAGGCGGGTAAGGAGACCGCCAAGGCGGGACCCCAATATGCTAGAGTTACGGATGCAGCAAGGAACCAGTCCGATGAGCATCAATTACATATCCCCGAGGGCTTCAAAATCTTCACCGCCATGGTCTAATTGACATGCCACCTGAATGGTAACGTCTTGTCCCAAATTTAGATGACACGACAGGGCTTGATGTTCTCGAACAACCAAGCACTGGGTAGCTCCCGCTTTCTCGCCCCGACTTCCCCCGTTCACATAATCTTCAAGAGGTGGCCCGCCAATCAGAATGAACGCTTCCCCTCTGCTATTATTCAGAAAGCCATAGCTAAACGAGTAATGTCTACCACCATCGGTTACACTTCACCTTTTGAGCCAAGACTTGTCGCGGGAAAATGGGCCAACAAAACATCTTTGAAGACACCCTTGGAAAGTTTAAATTTCTCCCCGCTTCAGAGCAGACTTTCACTTCTGCCCACCTCCACCGGGTTTGAGTCAGTTGAAATAAGCGAAGGCCTGCTACAGGACTCATTAAGTCCCCGAGACGTTGAGATGTTCCGGTCAGCCAAAGACTGGACCCTCAGACAAGTTAGAGTTTATGATGTGGTCTTTCCTTCGACTGCCCAGACTACTGCGCTTCGAACAATACTCCGCAGCGTGTTTCGACCGAGCTCAAAGACTTGCTCGTACGTAAGCGGAACGTTAATCCGGTCTCACCTCAAGTCTTTCCACCGCTCTTGCTGCGTCATTTGTGGTCTTGGCCAAGAAAGTGTAGCATCGCAGCAATGTCTGCGCAATGTAGAAGGTTGTATTTGGGTCTGGGCAGCGGTGGAACTCAGACGGGCCAAGAGAACTGAAATTGATTCCATAATGTCGTGTAGGCCGATTAATTAAGCGGACACGCTTCTTATGATGGCTGAAGTTTGCGTGCGGTTGTATACAGTTCACTAATGTGAACTCTAAGGCAATTGACCACACCGAATTATTCGCCCTTGGTTCCGACGCTCGCAACTCATGATTCCGAGAAGCAGCTTTAGTTGGACTAGTCACTGATCTCTCTGCGCCACTCTTCCCAGTTTGTTGCTCCGCCCTCTACTGGCTCCTCCGCAAAGTAGCATCATGTGCGGCATCACAGCAACTGTTAGGCTACGTCGAAGCAATGCTATCTCCCGAACGAACGGGGGCGTAAGTCTCAATGGTCATGGCGAAAATGGTTTGCCAAACTGCCAGGCTTTACACAAACAGTTGGCGCAGAGTCTTGCAAGCATTGCTCATCGAGGTCCGGATGCCGAGGGCATCTGGATCAGTGACGACGGAACCATCGGTAAGAATGCATTGCTCAAGCTGAATTCTCTTGACTGACTCCTTGAACTGTAGGCCTCGGCCATCGTCGTCTTGCCATCAATGACTTGACGCCTGACGGTGTGCAGCCTCTACACAGTGATAACGGAACAATACATGCCGTCGTCAATGGAGAGATCTATGATCATGACGCTATTCGAGAACGGTGCATTCGAGATCATGGGTATCGGTTCAAGGGCCATTGTGATAGCGAAGTCCTGATCGCTCTGTATAAGATTTATGGAGCTCCTGGGTTCTTTGAGCATTTGAGAGGAGAATTCTCCTTCGTCATTTTTGACGAAAGAGACGGACGCGTGATCACTGCGCGCGATCGTTTTGGCATCAAGCCAATGTACTGGACTATTGTGGGCCGAGGCTCAGAGCGACAACTACTGTTGACGTCTGAAGTGAAAGGCTTTTTACCTCTTGGCTGGGAGCCTGAGTGGAATGTGTCTGGCCTCATCAGCGGACTCTCTCTACAAGCCGAACATACGGTTTATAAGGATGTCTGGAAATTGAACCCAGGTTCTTGGATGGAGATCACTCGAAGTGGCGAGATCAAGCACTATCAGTATTGGGATCCTGAGTACAAGGATAAGGTACGTTACAACATGAAGCACCACCAGCCCAGAGTTCAAACTAAGAATGAAAAGCGTGAGGTAGAAACGCGTAACTTGGATGATATCATCTTGGAAGTCAGAGAGAGAATCATCGAAGCTGTAAGACTTCGGCTGCGCGCTGATGTGCCTGTAGGCATATACCTGTCAGGGGGCATTGATTCCTCCATTGTTGCTGGAATCGTGACAAAGCTAGTTCGAGAAGAGGGCGTTATGCTTGGCAACCAAGACGCCAAAAAGCGAATTTCCTGCTTTAGCATCCAATTCCCTGAGGAGTCTGGCTTCAACGAGGCTGGTTTGTTATCCCATCAAGTCTACTGTGACATGTTGCTCGGTCGTGCGTAAGGGAGCTAACCGGATTTACAGACATCGCACAGCGTACCGCAGACTGGCTTGGTGTGAAAATCCTCAAAAAAGACATGAACGAGGAGGAGCTTGCCAAGAACTTCGTGGAATGTGTCTACCACACCGAACACCACCATTTCGACTTCAACTTCGTCGGCAAATTCTGTCTCTCTACGCTGCCCCGGCAATATGGCGTGCCGGTTGTTCTCACGGGTGAAGGGGCCGATGAACACTTCGCTGGGTACCCATTCTTGATGCCAGACTTCCTTCTGGAGCCGGATTACGCGTGGCCAGACTCAGCTTTGGCAAAGAATAATCAGGCAAGAGAGGTCATGCAGAAGGAAATGGAAGACGATCTCAAAAATATGTTCACAAGAGTGGGCATGTTTGACCACAAATGGGAAGTCACGGCTCCGAAGTCCCGACACCTTGGCATTGGAAACAACGCTCTCAAGTGGCAGCCTCACTCGGACATGTTTGCCCCCTGGGTTCAAGACTCCTATGGGCGAAATGATATGAGGGTCAGTGTAGCTGAGACTATGTCGGCTGAAGTGCGCAAGAACATGGACGAAAAGTGGCATACGCTACACTCCTCACTCTATTACTACACTCGTGGTGCACTTCCCAATATGATCCTCACCTGTTTGGGTGATCGTACCGAAATGGCACACAGCATCGAAGCACGGCCGCCATTCCTTGACCATCACTTGGTCGAATACGTCAATGGTCTTCCCCCAAGCTTGAAAATTGCTTATAACCAGCCAGAGGGCGACACGGACGGAACCGGATCAAGTTTATGGTGGAAGAATCTCAGTGCTGCCCGCCAAGCCTTGAGTGAAAAGTGGATTTTAAAGGAGGCTGGCAAGCCCTTCATCACTCAGGAGCTGTACGACCGTCGGAAACACCCGTATTCGGCACCTGTGAAGTGGCCTCGGGAAGGGCCTATACACCAGCTCTTCAAAAAACTGATCACGGAAGCCTCAGTGAACAACTTGGGGTTCTTGGAGTGGGAGGATGTCAAGCACTGGCTGAAGCACGGATTTGGGGATGATTCCGACCCTAATGCTTTCAGAAAATTGGTTATCACTGGATCGTGGGTTGTCCTGAGCCAGAAGTTCGGGGTCAAAAAGGCGGACCGAATTACCAAGCCCAGCTGCCAATGACCGCTTCATCCAGTGACGTACCTGCAGGCAGTAAATGACATCTCATTAAATAACCATACACTTCAGCCCCTTTCAATAAAAAAGCCAGGCATGGAGCACATACTACGTATACCATCAACTGCTAGATGGTGTCACTGCTCCATACGTCCGTCTCTAATCTTTATCGAATTTTGCTCTCTTTTCCTTAGATAAGCCCAAGAATCTCTCGGAATGGGGCAAACTTGGAGAAAGACTGGAGGCGGAAGAAGAGACGCCATTTAGCAATTGATGGGATACCTTATGAGCGGTGGTTATCTTGGAAATTGTAAAAATAAGCGAGAGGATAAATATGTATGAAATATGTATGTACGTAGTGTATCTACATTTGGTGATGTGATTTTACAAAGTGAAGGAAACTCTCTCTTATCCAGATCTGTCAGTGATATGTTGAGAGAGAATAGATCTAAGCGAAACCGGTTGGGACCCTTAGACAATACAGCAAGTAATTGCCCGGTGTAGGAGTTGAGCAGTCAGCAACCCGTATATTAGCCCATCCTCATCTACAACTCGGCAGGAAGCTTAGTAGTAGCCACCCTTGTTGTCCTTGCCGTTCTTGTTGTCATCATTTTTCTTGTCGTCATTCTTCTTGTCATCGTTCTTGTCATCGTTCTTCTTGTCGTCATTCTTCTTGTCGTCGTACTTGTTGTCGCTTTTCTTGTCATCCTTCTGGTTGCCCTTCTTCTTCTCGTCCTCATCGTCGGAGCAGTCACCCTTCTTGTTGCGCTTGCACTGCTTCTTCTTCTTCTTATCCTTCTTGTCATCGTCAGAGTCGGAGCAGTCGCCCTTCTTGTTGCGCTTGCACTGCTTCTTCTTCTTGTCCTTCTTGTCGTCATCGGAATCGGTGCAGTAGCCCTTGTTGTTGGTACGCTTGCACTTCTTCTTGCTGTTACGCTGCTCGAGGGCGCTGACAGCGGTGAAGGCAAGTCCCTCGCCACGGGCCTGGTTAGTCAAGAAGTCAGTCAAAGTGTCTAGCAAATCAATCGACACGTCTTGGGAAGTGAGCACTGGTGTTGTCAATGCGTCAGAACTTACAGCAAGCTCGTTGGATCGCTGGGAAATGTTAGCTTATTTGTTTCGTGACCAGGAATGGAAGAGGTATTCTTACCTCGACGATGTCGGTATCGAGGGGCTCAGCGATGGGAGCAGCCAATGCAGCGGCGGCGAAGAAAGCCATGCCAATGGTGGCAACCTGTCCGAAAGTAGGGATATGCATTTTGAGATCGGGTTGAATTGGAGTTGTTGGAAAGACGGAAGTAATTGGAATGAGGAAGCTGTGTGAGTGAGCTGTATAGAAGCGACTGTGATCTTGAGAGTGAGTGTGATGAAGAGGAGGAGTATCTTTCTTTCGAGGTGAGAATATGGATGGTTTATAAGTATTCATCTTCCTCATTGAGGAGATAGATTTGTGTACATTTTCAACATTGAAAGCTTCACGTTGTGAGACAGGGCCTCACTTGCGACCGGAATTGGATGGAGCGAGAATGGGATTTGCTTGTGTGGCTTGATGATCCGTCCCTGGTTCTCGGTTCACGGTCCAGCACGTTCTTCGAAGTTCAAGCCAAGACCGTTGGTCCCTTCTTGGCGATGAACTTCAATTGCGAAAATACACCGGACCGAGACGCGCCAACGAGGTGGATTTCGAGATCTTGGGTTCGAGGCGCGCGATGCCAAGCTTGGTGGCTTCAACGCTATCGCAACGCTCGCCCTATATGTTCTTGCTAGAAAGTCTAGCCCGAAGGTCGATTTTATTTTCGAGGTAGGCTGTACGCCACAGGCTAGAACTAGAAATCGAGCTTGAGGCGGTTCACGAGAAGCTGGCCGAAGCCAGCTGAAAGTCTGGATTTGTCACTGTGTTTAAGGCTGGAGCAAGTAAATGAGAGATCCCAACAACTCTTTCGATCCATGGCGGCTTCTCTTGAGCCGATATTGTGTCTCATGACGAAACCAACATTGTGAATCCCAACTAGGAATAGAGGCCGGCCAGCATTATTCCGACAAATGAATCAACACCCTCTTTTCCTATGAAAGCCTTGAGTGTGCGGTAAGAGGTGCATGGGGCAATGTAAGTCGAGCCTAGAGGTCTCATGGATGTATGAGATTGCTGGGGTGAAGCAGAAGTGAGCGTCGACTTAACAGCCCACAGACTATAGGCTCACATCCGAGGACTGCATCGCGTGAAAGCTTATGCTGAAGCTGAGAAGAAATGTGGAAATGTGGAAATGTAGCAAGGGGCACGCACAAGCGTTGCGGGGTGGCGTCAGTGGTTGAGATTCAAGTCGCTAAGTTAGGCCCGGCGCGACGCCGCTGGCGGGATCTCCGTCCGGCTGGTTTCACCAGCTAGAACGCGGGGTCTAGTTCGTCAAGAATGGGCAACGAACTCAAGCTTAAGATAAACATTGTTTTTAACCTTAAAGTTGATGGGTTCGTTGTGTTCACGGTGACCAGACTTGGCACACGTCAATGACTTCTTTTGAGAGGTTCGTGTCAGGTATGAAAACGCTAGGTCAGGCGAGTCTAAACGGTGACTTGGCATTCACGCAGCAGACTCTCAACAAAATGTTTGATACAATGTTGCTAGGCAGGATGACAGTGGCCACTCATACCCAGCTGCCGAGAAGATATTGAGTTCTCGTGTGGTCTAACGTACATGTACCTTAACCAAATGATCAATGCAACGGGATCATCGCGGCTCTGGCCAACCAGTGAGCTCATAGGGCACAACACAGGTTGCCATGGGAGGAAGGTATGATCATAGTGATAGTTGAGCTCATCTGTTGCTTTGTCTATGGAGCAAAGACTTTTCTGCTACGCCTCCCGGCCCTTCTTCTATGTGTATGCCTGTCATAAATGCGTTTACGAAGATATGTCTCCGGATGTTGCCACTATTTGGCGATGGAAGTTAAGGCAGTTTCCGACAACTGTTGAGTCGGCGTTGGTTTACTCCTCAACCATGTTGTTGCGGTCACTTGAAAGCTGTAAGTAAAGGTATGCTGCACGTCAATAGCCGATGCAAGATCATGTGTGGACTTACGGTAGGACAAAGTCTGGCAGGAACCAAGCCAGAATAACCCCGGGAGCCGAGGCTCCAACAGCGGTGTATACCATGAATTTCATTACATCAGTGAACTATTTGATTGGGGGCGATGGTCAGCTTCTCAATAAAAACCGGCAAACATGCGTCATGGCAGAAAGACTTACGGCATGGTTGATCGCATTTCTCTCCGGAGTACCCCATGCAGGCGCGGTGCCGACAATGGAATCGAATAGAGAGTCGACAAGCTCCGGCGAAGCGCTGGCGCCAAGATACTTGTACAGCATAGGCTTGAATGTGTTGGTATAGATGCCACCGGCTATGCAGCCCCCGATACTTCCACCGATGACCGAACAACAAATAACCAAGGCAGTAATCTGCGGCATTTCACGGTGCGGCACAACGACCTGCGCAGGTACGAGAATCGACAACTGCATGATACCAGAACCTAGCCCCTGGATCATCTGCACGATGAAGAGCTCGGCCACGGAGTTATCGGCGCCGCGGAGGCGAAGCATGACCCCGTACCCGATGAGACGAATGATTGCGCCGCCGATGAGCAGCCACTTATATCGACGGGTGTATGCCATTGCCAAGCCGGCGATGATTCCCATCACGCACTGCATCACACCGTTGGTGTATTGGAAGAACGTGGCATCTCGGGCAGCGAAGCCGCGGGCAACGGTAGACCAGGAGTAGAGATACGTGTGTGTGCAGGCAAACCCAACCGAGTCACTTGCGATGAGCAAGAGGCAAAGAACAATTGTCTTGTTACGAAAGTACCGCGTAGGCATGATTGGGTTCCGAGCCAGACGCTGCTCGTAGAACGGCAATGCCCCGAGGAGAATAGCACCAATCACGATCAAGACGATGATGTATGCCGTTCCCCACCTGCTTGGTGTTGACGCTGCCAACGTCAGCGGTATCAAGACCAATGAGAAGCCTGCGCAGAGAAGGGCTGAACCGCCCAAGTCAATCTGAGAGCAGAAGCTGTAGAGCGTCGTCTTCTGTCTTGGGGTGAGGCCCATGTCCTTGGCCTTCTTTTGATAGTAAAGGAGAGTGGTGATGATGAATGCGGCGCCGATGGGCATGAGAATGGCGAACATGCCAATACCCCATCGCCAGCCGATACCACCAGGCTTGACGACATCGTCAACGATGAACGCGGCGGCCCAAGGCGTGATGAGAAATGGGAAGAAGGAGAAGCTGAGAGCGAAACCACGCCAGCGAGCTGTTGTGATATCGGCAATGACGATGTCGTTCATGATATTTGTGCCTGATTGGCCAACGACGTAGAATACAACGCCTGCAGCATAGGCATTAAAAGTTGTTGATGTCGCCATAAGGATGTAGCCCAAGACGTAAAAGGATATGCTCATGATGTAGGTTTCCCCTCGTCCAATGACATTGGATAGCTTGGCGACTGGCGGCTTGATAACGGCGAAGACGATGCCGCTGGCGGTGCTTAGGGTCGCTAGCTTGGAAAGAGCTGAAAAGGAGGACGTTGCATAGTTGTTGTAGATGTAGACAGTAGTGTTATCGATTTCGCTGAGTGATAATTAGCCAGGTGGGTTGAAGGGGATGGACCGTTGAACTCATGAGACAGTATGAATGGTGTACTGTACTTACTACACAATCATTACCAAGGCCAAACTAAGTAGCATAGAAGTTAGCAAGAGCGCTGTGCATACACAGCAATTGGTAATGTGGGCTTACCCGATAATAACAAGCCATCTTCCCTTCTTTCCCCACAATGTCTGAGCAGCTTGGATAGTACCGACACCGGACTCAAAAGGCCCGGAGGTGTCAAACTTTTTGACATGATCCTGATCTTCAACAGTGTCGTCCGCCTTCCCGGCCATCTCAACGTCCCGAGGTGCTTCCGATGCGGCTATATCCGCGTTGGCAGGGTCTGTCGACGAGGACCCCTCCGCATGGAGGTGCCCTCTCAACGACGTGACAAAGCCCATGGTCTGTCTCTGTTCTTCAGACAGTAGACTCGTGCGCTCGTTACTGTCGTACGAAGACGTACGGCCGGTTCGTCGGCACATGCTGGGCGAACTGAGAGCAGATGCGAGGAGCTTTAACTATTTTTGAGTCATGCCCGCACTGCAGAAACTACCGCAAACTTCTTGGCTAAGGTTCAGTACTATCAGTTGAGACGGCTTCCTGAACCTTGTTTGAAGACAACTCAAGAAACAAAAGAGCACAGATGACTGGTCGACAATTGGAAGCATCGGCTTAGAATGAACCGACAAACATCCCAACAACAGAAGGATTCTAAAGGCTGTGCTGACTTAACCTTTGCGGGAAGGCTGTTACTGTTCTTTGCAGTCGTTATCTTGCGCCCACCGGCCAATTGCTCGCGCGGGGTCGGCGCAGAGAGGGGAGGGACCTATCAAATCGGGGACATTGTCATCCCTCGTGCATCCTCCGAGGTGTCGTGTGATAGCACTCGGTGATAGCGTCTAAACGATTCGGTATCCGAAGCTATCTGTACATCGTCCGATGTATGGGGTAGGATCAGGCACCATGTCATCTTTCCATACAGAAACGATGTGCGATGAGGGAACACGGGCGCTTCTAAACGTTTACCATGTGGAGGATGGGGATGTTCGACCCTATGAGAATCACAAACCGGTAGGATTCTTGGTGTTGAACTACTGTTGGCTTTAAGATAAGGTGCCCGGCAAGAATGGACCGACCGGCCGGGTTAGACCCTGAAGACAAATCCCAAAATCGCTCCACTGGTCCCCCCGAAGCCGCTCGTAATTCAAAGTGGGAATCCCCCCGATCTCATCGGCGACCGAGGCTTCGACTCAACTCAGATGGGGCCGCCCGCTCCGTCATTCTGGATCCGCCCGGCCGGTCAACCTTTCCTGGGTTTAAGGTCAACTGTCAGAGGAGGAGGATGTTACCTTAAGATCTCGCGGGGCCGTAGGATTGGTTCTGGAATCCGTGTCACTTGATCTCAAAAGCGCGAGAGACGGCTTGGGGATTAGCGTCAACGTGGCCAAATGAGATGCCCAGAAACTGACACAAGGGTGCCGCGGCCCTGCAAACTCTCTTCGCCCGACAGCCCTGATAATCAGATGAAAAAGATAATGCACAAACGTTTGGGGGATCAGCATAGCACAGCTGCCGCTGCACCGCTACTTTTCCCCTTATCTACCCTTGATTCGGTTGATTCGTACGAGCCAAGACGCGAGAAACCACCACGCACAGGACAGCGCTAATCCTAAACAAGCCAGCAAGATGCCGGCTTTCACAGAGTCGTGTTTGGCTGCTGAGTCGGTATTCCGGGAACCATGGGGCCCCCACAGAAAGATCAGCTGGGCTCACTGTGAAATACAGTCCGTCCGGGTAGCTCAACGCTTTCTTATCCCCTTTCCCTCGCTGTCTGACAGGAAACCCTCCGAAGCTATCACCAAGCATGCCATCGTGCTGAACTGACATGGACAGCAAGATTCCGCCAGGATTTCCGCGGGCCAAGGAGGCTCTCAGGCCAGGAAGCAAGTCTAGAACAGCGGTCACCGCTGCTCTATCAGTGCTTGCGGTGACGGCGCTTATCAGAGGGAACTTCTTCCCAGCTCCGTGGTCTCTGGCCGGGCGCGGAAGCACATCCGAACATACCTCTGATTCAGAATGGACCTGGTCAAGCGTACGTTAAGACGTCTATCGCAACATTGATCTGTGTAAAGAAAGAACTGACAGGCTTCACAGATCAAGCCAAGTCGGACCCTGGAGTGGCACAGCTGCTTCGAGAACGGAGATTATGACTGCGCCAGACTAGACGTTAGTGCCCGAGAGTCCGTCTCCACAAAATCCTTAGCATGTCTAACAAGACATCAATCAGGTTCCCATGGACTGGCAAGAACCGTCAGATGACCGCCGAGTTGTTCTTGCAATCACGAGAATCCGTGCAACGGATAAGTCAGACTATAGGGGACCAGTCATCTTTAATCCCGGTGTAAGCAAACATGTCAAGATCTCTTCCCGACACATCGATGCGCTAAACCCCGTATCTAGGGTCCTGGTGGCTCAGGGGTTTGGTCCCTGAAAAACCATGGCAGAATGCTACAGGAGATTGTGGGTGTAAACCACGTAAGTCTGAACACGTACCTTTCTCTTCATTACTCTCGATTTGAAGAGACTAATATTATATAGGACCTCATTAGCTTTGATCCCAGAGGTGGTAAGTCTGGTGTACAATCCCACAGAATTCGGACAACTGTTGACAGGTTACTTGGGCAGTTGGCGCGTCCATCCCCAGAATCCAGTGCTGGTCAACACCACAACAGCGCCAAAACTGGGGTCTTCAAGACCCTGGAGTTCTCGACTCCCACGAAGGCATTGTCGGAGAGCTCTTCGCCCGAGCGACGGCGTACTCACAAGCATGCGAGAGCGCGATGAAAGCGTCCGGCATCCTGGAGCACTCCAGCACCACCCCAACCGCTAGGGACATGCTCGAGATCGTCTACCAGACCGGGCACAGCAAGCTCAAGTACTGGGGCTTCAGCTACGGCACCATTCTTGGCGGAGTTTTCGCGGCCATGTACCCGGACAAGGTAGAGCGCCTGGTCAGCGATGGCAACGTCGACTACAGGGAGTGGTTCAACTCGGAGCACGTCAACTTCATCCGTGACACGGACAAGGTCCTCTTTGCCTTTTACGAGTTTTGCTACCAAGCTGGGCCTGAGAAATGCGCCTTCCACGGTCCCACTTCGGAAGCCATCATGGGGAGGTTTGTTGACCTGCTCAATGCGCTCAAGAGGCACCCAGTCATCGTCCCAGCAGATCCAGAGGAAGGCCCTGAAGTACCCATGTTGGTCACCTACTCCAAGGTCATGCGTCTTCTTTCGACAACGCTTTATCAGCCGCTAGAACAGTTTGAGAATTTCGCCAACATCATTGCCGCGCTGGAGAAGAAGGACGGACGCCCTTACTACAGGCGCTATAACCCGAGCAAACCGGCCCCGGCCCCGGCCTGCACACCACAGCCGGTCTCTCCGTTCGAGCCACCACCCGGCATTGTTGAAGGTACCGGAGACGCCTTTGCGGTCGTTATGTGTGCCGATCACCCCGCCGTCAATAATATGACTCTCGAAGAGATTCAACGAGAGACGGATGGAATCTTGGAGCTTAGTCCAGGAACTGGGGCCACCGAGGTGCCGTACCAGATGACATGCAACCAGCGAACTACGCGTCCCCGCTGGCGTTTCAGTGGTAAGCTACATCAATAGCCGTGAGAGTACATATGGGCACGCCCATACTGACACAGTTCAGGACCCTTCGAGGGCGAGACAAGCCACCCCATCTTGTTCATCGCTAACCAAGCCGACAACATCACTCCGCTAGTCAGTGCTCGCAACAACTCTGCTGGGTTTCCCGGGTCGAGAATTCTAGTTCAGAACTCGTTTGGCGTGAGTAGCCCTTAAGCAAGAGCCCTATTCACAGAAAAGATACGCCAAGGATCGAGAACTGACACCCTTCATTCATAGCATACAACTCTTGCAGCCCCTTCTGAATGCACTAGAGGACACATAAGGGCATACTTCCAAAATGGAACGATGCCGGAGCTTGATGCCAAGTGTGAAGGCGACTCGCATCCATTTGGCCCGTTTGCTGAAGCCGGAGTCCACTTTTACCAACCACCACTATTCATGTAACTCGGATCATAAGCACCGTTTGATTCGGATCTAGAGACTAGACGCATGAAGTATAGTCTGCGTTGATATAGACTGCTCTTTTCTTTTCCCCAGCGTTGAGTCTTCCTTCCAGTCCTGTTGCCAAGCTTCTGCCTTCGTCCTTTGGCTTTCTGTTGTATTCTTTTGATAGTCATTCTTTTTAAGAAGAGAAATTGACATTTTGTATTTATGTGATGACACAAACGATCTTAGGAACTGTTTATTATCACTGGCCATCTCCATTTGGCCTCCACCATTATTGTGTCTTGTTCGCTCTCTCGGAGCTGGCGGGCAGCTCAAACACCATGTGGTCGTCCGGTGCCTCGTGCCTGACCGGATGATGATCCGTAGAGCCAATCTCATGCGGCAACGGCGTCCCCATCTCAGTGAGAGGCGACCGCGAATCCAACTCGTTGACGTGGCTCCCTTCCCTCAGAACCTTTGGCTCCGCCTGATAAGCCATATGTATCCCCCCGTTTCCCCCGTTCTCGGCCATCGAGCTCGTCTGGCTCGCCACCTGCGTCCTCTGACTCTTGCCCCTCTTCTCGCTGAACCATAAAAAAGCCTTGTCAACGGCATCCGGCGGGGAGTCTGGTCCCTTCTTCTGCTTTCTGCGACGGCGCAAGAACCATAGCGCCACGAGGACCGCACCTACTACCCCGACTGCGATGCCAACCTTTTCTCCGGCCGTTAAACTCTTGTCATCGGCGTGGAAGCTCTGAAAAACCTGTCCTTTGTCCCAGGCGTCTCCCCACGTCGTGACGAATGACTCGGCCGGGTTGGTGTTGATGGCCGCTCCGTCAAACTTCTTCACGATGCTCTGCTCCATACGCGGGCCTGGGGCTTGCGCCATGTAGGTAACATTGGATTCGTAGTCGACGGCGAGGAACGCGGCTTGTAGAAAGGCGCGGCCAAGCTGCCAGAAGCCGTAGCTAGAGTCGATGGATTTGCAGGGGAAGTAGTTGGCCGTTTGCTCGACCAGGGGCGGTTCCAATGTCAGGTTAAGGAGTTGGAAGGGGACTTTGATGGTCATGTTGGTTGCGCTCGAGTCAGCCAAGACGAAACCGAGGTAGGCTGACTGATTGACGAAGAGTTGAGCCCCTAGATCAGTACCCCAAAGATAGAGTCCTGATTTGTTGTGATACGTCATGTGAAGATTCTCTGCTATAGCCTCGCAGATTCCCGGCGGTAGATAGATGTACGGTGAAGCTGGATTCGGGATCACGACCGCTGACCCAGCAGCGCCGCCGACGTACTTGGTATATTGCATGCCGAGGTCTGTAGGATTCGTCCAGAAGCTCACATTCGACTTGAGGGGGTAGAAAGACTGGTTTCGTATCTGAAAGTTGAAGATGACATCCCTAAGAAACATCATCGGTGTCGAATCTTGGAGTGCAAATGTGCCAACTTGACCGAGCGCCCTGTTCTGCTCGTATCCACCGAGTACCAACGAGCCGGGAATATCGAGAGCGGCACTCCCCATCTGGACGCTGAAAGCGGTCCTATCGATATCGCCCGAGGTCTTGAGCTGTTCGAGTATCCCTTGGACAGTTGTGTCGTCGCTTCTCTCGCTCCTGGGTCCGAGGCCTAGTGTACCGACCGTCGGTGTGTAGGCAGTCGTGTTGGAGAGGGTAGAGCTGTTCCATGCCGTCGCGGCGACCAAAGTCGCGTTAACCTTGATCTCGTGACTGGTTCCCATCCTTGAATCGATCACCATGCCGTCCCAGTACTCCATGCCCGACCAGCCCGCCTCCATGAAGACACTGCTGAACCAGCCATCGGAGTTGGCCCTCATCCTCCCCGTCTTGACGGTGTCAGCGCGCGGCGTGTAGTCCCCACCGACGGATGTTGTTAGGATCTCAGAAACACCAGAGCCGCCTGGCCAGAGAGGCATCTCGGTGGCATTGAGTTTGAAAAGTGGCGCCTGCCATGGCCCGTCAGGGCCATAGGTTCTGTTCTCGTTGCCTCCAAGATCGGTCGACCAACGAAGTTGAATCTGCGCATTTGCGCTGGCGACGGCGGCCGCGGCGAGCGAGATACGACGCAGCAGCATGGCCCGACCTTTGGCACACGTCTAGGATGATACTTTAACTGGTTGACTTTAACTGGTTGTCTAGGTAGACATTCGGTTTGACTCTGGGGCTCCCCGCGTAAAAGGTAAGAAATGGCGGGCTGGGAAGGGGAAAGGACACCAGGAACCGGAGAATCGGGATGAAATTTCAAGTCCCGGGCAAAGAGGATGCGCGTGTGAGGGTCGGGCAACGCTGCGCCGCATCGCAAGTCTGACATGAATATCAACAATTCGATAAAACACACGTTGATCCCCTTGGCAATGACTCCACCGCAGGCAGCAGGGTCATTAAGGTACCGGGATCCAGATCCAGATCCAGATCCAGACTGGTGCTACCATTCTCTGCCAGCTTCAAAGTCCCAAAACACAAGGGAATTTCAGATTCAGCCAACAGGATTCGAGGAGTTCATCAAGGACTCAGGGGTTGTCCTAGACTGGCTCGGCTCCCTTTGGACGAGCGCCATAGGGCGGAAGACGACGAGTGAACAAATAGTTGAACATTGAGAAGCCGTCTGATCGGACGTCAATTTGGGCGCGTTTTCGTTCTCGTAAACCTTAAAATTCTTGTGAACAAGTCCCACTTGGGAACATTACCTCCCTAACAGGTGCTAGGATATTACGGCAGCGAAAATTGGCGCGAGGCTCTATGGCGGCGCCAGGGATGGCATTCCTTCAGGATCCAGCGCGACACTGAATTTCATATCTGGATGTCAGGGACCTGGTTTGATGATCCAAAAGGAATATGAAGTGAAAGAAAAAACTGATCCTACTTAAGCCCATACGCGACCAATGCTTCCAATGTAGCCTGGGCCATTTCCCACACACTCGATAGCTGACCCGGCCCCACCATCGGGACCAGTCCCCACTTCTCCCCCGTTTGGTCCGGCGTGAGGCCGACGCTCTGTGGAAGTCGACAGCCCATTAACTTGCGTTTGATCCGATCCCTCCAAGGGGCTATTCTTACTTAAAAACAACTTGAAGTCGCAGAGTTGAAGATCCGATTCTCCGGTCCGCTCATTAGGCTTTGCGCCATCACTCCTACCTCGAAGTTCCTCGGAATTTCAGTCCCCCTTCATTTTCCCCATCTCAATCCTTTCTGCCCTGATGGCGGAAGAGCCACGCCAACCCCACGGCTTCCCGCCGCCGTTTTCGGGGCTCTTTATGTACAGCAGCTGCTGATCCGCCATCTGCACATGCCATGCCTGCCTACCAGGCCGCGTCTTCTTGATGCCTTTGAGTAGGTGTCTCGTTCTCGATCGCCACCACGGCTTGTCCTGGTTTGCGATGCACTGCCGCAGAGACATCAACAGAAAGCAGGTTTGGTCCAACCTTCCATCGCAGAGCAACATCTCACATATTGTCAACAAGCGACTCATTCGAATGCTCCTCTCAAAGTCAAGCTTTGTGTCAGACTCGCGTGAGATTCCGCCGGCGGCTATTGCTTGTGAGATCTTGTCTTCCAAGTAGAACAGGATCCAGTGAATGTTGATCTGACACGCAGGTAAGTGGAGAACATACAAGTGCCTGGGTCAGTATTACCTCGGTTTCCGAAAGGGGTTCTTTACGAAGATCTAGGTCCTTAATAGTGCCGTACTTTTCTGCCATTTTCAACAGTTGAGCCAAAGCCTCCTCGATGGACCCTTCGAGAACAGCAATATCACAGTAACATAACAAGACCAAGAGATCCTTCTCACACTCATCTATCAGACACGTATCAGACGGCCGAAAAGGAATAGGTAGGTTGCCATCTTCTCCAGAGGTAGAGTCTGCCTCCAATCTCCCCACATCATTCGCTTGAGACCCGATGAATGGGTTTACAGCACGAGCAACTTCAAGCAGTTTTTGTGAAATAGGCCCATGGTCGGTCAATAAGCGCACAATAGTCTCTTCAGTACAGAGCGTAACATAGTCCCGAATGTTGGCTGCGTGTCGAGCATCTTCAACCAAGACATTAAGTCTCCCAAGGAGCAGCGCCACCTCCTCGGGACCTAGGCTCGAGATGCCTCCAGTCAAGTATCGGCTGCGGATCTGCCTGATAGAGAGAATGACTTCACGGGTTGTGTCAGAGACGATTGGAGGCAAATGCTGGATCCAGACAGTGGTAGACCACAGCGTCTTTGCGACGCGAGGAGGCGGCGACGGACTACCTCACGTCAGTTTCTTGGGCCCATCACAGGCATAATACCAAACTCACCGGGACGAGCCTCCCCCCATATTGCGAAGCAGCTGTGGTGCTGATTTTGTTACCGACGGGAAATCGGGTGCTCCCAAGGATGCGAAGATAATCACCTCCATGTTGACATCTCACAACACCACCACGCCCTATATGAACTTGATTTGAAGAGGAAGAGCAGAGAACGAGGCTCATCGTCAACAGGCTGGCCTTACATATCCCGCATACCTCGCATCGTATTTCGTGTCTGCATCAACTAGCCACGCTGAAAGCCTGGGCAACACACGTTAGCAGACGTGGCTTGCGCTGGCGAATCAAGAGGAATGGACGGTGTGGCGGCAAATGTCCCCGGACTGCGGCCGTTCTGAATGTTGCGAGCGCCACCGAGGATCCCGTCCATCATGGGACGCGTGCGGGGTACTGGGGTATGACCCTCTGTGTTCTGTGGTCAGGTGCATTTGGGAATAGTACCGAGCTTGAAGCAGTATTGGAGTATTTTGGGTGAATGGATAGTTATTGCAACAACCGTAGTTGTTGGTTTGAGTATTCAATATGTACTCATGTTGCTAGTATTTACAACAGTTCATGACGAACCAGTCCATGGTGATGCATCCCATGGAAAGTCGCCTGCTTAAACGCCATGCCTCCGTCCCATCCCTGAAAATGCAAGCTGTCAATTTGTGCAGCTTCAGCGCCCGTAACGTTTAGAAGCCTTTCCTTGTGATCCCGCCTAATGATATCCATAATCGCTGTGAAACGCCGTTGCCGATGCTGAGGATGATCCATTCTCCGATGGTGATGTTGTGGTGATAAAAGAAAGGTTTTGAAGTGATTGTGCTGAGACATCGAGGTCGGCGCATCTTTAGTTTTGGGATTCGTAGACCGCCATCGCCTTCTCGAGCTCCTCCAAACTCGACCGGTCGCCGTAGGCATCCATGAGTTTTGCCGCTCGCTTGCGGTCTTCAATTGCCTGCTTCTCCGCCGCGGCGTTCTTGGCTTGACGACGTTCGACCATGCCTTCTCGGTAGGCGTTCAGACCGTAGCCAACGGCGACGACTGCTACTGTGGGCGGGACCCTATCATGCCGGATTCGTCAGTTCCAAACTCTCGTGGTTGCGGTTGGTTGCGATTGTGCGGTTTACCACAGGATTCGGGGGAGCTGAGAAGAGGGGGGGGTAGACCTGGTGCTAGGTTGGGGATATGATCGTATCGGAGATAAAGACGTACCATCTCATGGCGAGTCGACGGGGAGTTTGCAAAAAGTAGCTCGGCGGCATGCGAGCGTTGGTTGTGAAGTTTCTCGAAGCTTGTCTGAACATTGTATGTGTAGGATAAGGTAGTTCGGTACAAGGTGGTGTGGGATGGGGTGGAATCGGTATTTGTATCTTGGTTACGTGTGGGTTAAAATCGCAAGGGATGAGTAGATAGATCTCTCGGGCTAAAAGCAAGCGCTGGTGAGGAGGTGGCAGCGGCAAGCAATGTATTCATATAACGTCCCGTCTCGACCCTTCACGCCGCGCCAATCCTGTGTCTGAGAACCCCGTCACCCCCAGCCGTTCCCTCCCCCATGGCCAAGGGGGGCTAAGCATGGCATGACACCCACACAGTACTTGCGTAGTGCGTAAGGAGTATTACCTATCTCTAGCTAGGCACATAGGTTGAGATGAGCATTGAGCGGTACAAGGCATCTCCGCAGGGGAAGGGAGGCAAAACGGGATTCGCGGCCACAATGAGAATCAGTGTGACACCAGCATCGCACCACGCTCAGCAGCGGCCCCAAATGGGCATGGCGCCGCCATCGTTCCAGAGTGTCGATTGTGGGGTGATGTCGACCGATATGCGGGGTGGAATCGGCACAGCCCGGGTGCAGTAACGTGATGCCGCTGGGGACAAGACTGGACCTTTGCTTCTCTCTCTCGTCATTGCTGTAGCGCTACGGATACAGTGCTGTACATTGTCCCCAAGGACAAGAACTCTCATCATTATTGATTTGGCAGGGGAGTTCCTGGAAAGTATCTGGGGAACTTGGAGATGAGAGACACCGCTGGTTCGCTGGAGCTTTGCGAAACGCTCGAGGTGGTTGAGGAAGCCCCTTGTTTGTGCATCTTTCGTGCATCTCCGTCCATCTAATGATCCTGAGCCATCTAAACACAGCCCCCGCAGACTTGTTTTGCCTTTGGCTGGTGTGGTAGCTACTCCTCACGTGTCCGATGCTACCAAAGCCCATGCTGTCTCCGAATCCACTCGCTGTGTGGTTTGCTGCTTGCTCCCAACGGCACTTGGAGTCGGCGTCTCGCCACACACACGACCGATTTCTCACTACTGGAAGCATTGACCAGACGGAGGACGGCCAGCGGAGTCGTCCGTTGCCGTCTCTCTATGGTGGCAGCTGTTGAGAACCGTGAGATTATGGCATGTGCGGATACAACAATCGGCAAGTAACTTCGGGTGTGTGGCTTACCGGGATCATTCTGTTGGTGATCGAAGCATTTCGATTTTTTTCAGTCCCCAACTTTTCATTCCGTATTTCTACTCAACATTGGAACCCGAAATTATTATCGTGCCCCCATTCGCAAAGCCTATCTGTAGCCCGTATCTCTAGAACTTCTCCATCGTGGACATTGGAAATGCCGATTCCACCCGCGAAAACCAGCAGACTCCACCCAAGTTTATCCCGAAAGCTCGTCACATAGCCGAAAACCCTCGTTGATGTCATCTCTGGTCCCTGGATTTCCATGTCTATTTCCAATTTCCCTATTTCCTACTCTGTCAAACAACCCTGTTGACAACCTGACGCTTAGCCTGATCTTGACATCGTCTCCATCCGAGCTACCGCTCTTTGGGGGAGCTCGAGTCCGACGCGTCCTTCAGGGTGGGAAGACGAGAATCTGGTTGCCAAGGTAAAGGGAGAGAGAGACCCTTGTACACCGATGTCATCCACTCAAAATTCCATCAATGAACTCAACGCATTTTCCAAGCTGAGTCTCCACCAACCAACGCCAACACTGGCTTCAGCGCCAAGTGAACCCCGGCGGCTGTGTTTCACGACGTCACAACACACGATCGAATGATGATGCAGCGGATAGCGGCGGGTTGTTGTCGTTGTCCGCGTTTCCAAGCCATGACGACGACCTCAAGCTCAGCCCTTTTGACAGGATCACTCGATTTAAGCTTGATCAACTATCATTTTTTATTTGCACTTGACTACACTGCCGTAATGAAGGGCACATGTATGCGTGCATCGTGACAAGCCACCCACCCTCGCAAGGCCTTAGTTGGGGCGCTCCATAACCCCTTGCTAAAGTTTCTGCTTCGCCTGAGTACAGCACATCGCCAGCACAATACAGTTGTGAGCACAACAAAGACTTCAATTGGTAGGAAAATATGATGCCTAAGATGGATCAAATATTATTATTGCTACATTCATCCAGAGTTGAGGACGAAACATCCTCTTGCTCATCTTTTGATTCTTTTGAACCTAGTAACCTTAGATCCATCGCTGAGCTCTTGCTGGATTTCTTGATGTCTATAACCGAAGAGTCTCGGGGCGATCACAAATCGCAATGCATAGTAGATGATGCCGAGTGACAGGATGCTCAACGCAACAACTGAAGAAAGCCAATAGGGCAGCGAAGTACTGCCTTTGCCATTCGGTGGTCGTACAAATGGCATCACGATCAAGAACTATTACTATGTGTCAGCACTCAACTCTTGCAGTAGTTCAGGACTAAGGAAGACCCACAATGTTTGCTGCAAGATAAATCACAATCAAGATCCAGGGAGCCCGGAGCGGCGAATGGAAATTGTCCCGGTCGGTAAAGCGCAGCTTGACCAAGCCGCAGGTGATCGCCGTCAACAAGACCGTTGTCGGGTAGCTAGACAAGCTCACAACAAAGTTGAAGGCATCCCCAGCCGGAGGTGCGCAAATAAAGAGGATTGTTACTCCAAGATGCAATATCAAGGCGTAGATAGGAGTGCGGAACGGCCTGTTCTCCATGAAGAGGTTAGAAAAGGGGAGCACGCCATCCTTGGCTAGCTCTTGTAGCAGGCGAGCTGATCGGTAAAGTTAGTGGGTTAAGCCTCGGGTGCTGACTGAAGTCGGGAGGTGACTTATCAACTCACGAATAGTAAATGCAACACCTAGAAGATGTCCCAGTGCCGACAAAGCCACCAAGGCTGGAAGGGCTTTAGCTCCAGCCGATGGTCCAAAGACGTTCTCGAACAAAGTCGCGGCTACGGTCACTTTTGCCGCAATGAAGGCCTCTTTGGGCACGGCGGCAAACTGATTGCCCATGTCAGCTAGAGGCTATTGTCATAATAGGCACCCGCGAACTCACATATGCGACGTTTGCTAGTAAGTAGAGCACTGCAATGACGCTCATCGAGAGGGGGAGGGCAATTCGCAGAGTCTTCTGTGGGTTGCGGACTTCGGACAAGACCTAGGCACATAAGGTTATTTTAAAGCACAACAACCGGTCCGGGTTAGATTTAACACTCACAGCGTTGACATTATCATAGCCTTGGAAGGAGAAAATGACGTTGAGGATAGCAGATCCGATGTTGTACCCGCTATTGGAAGTGCCCTCGAAAGCATTGGTGAAATTATGCGGGCTCTCTACCCTTAGATGGCCGGACAAAGCCGCGAAGCCGCAGCAAACGATGAAGAGGAGTGTAAACAGCTTCACCGCGGATAGCAAGTCCTGAATCGCTCTTCCGGTTCGAGGTGCAACCGTGTGGATTCCAACAGAGAACACGGCGCCAGCGATGGCGACTCCACGTAGTTTCCACGTCGTCGAGTCGGCACCTGATGCAACAAGGATATACGACGAAAATGTTATGGCGTTACTTGCGGAAACCTCTGTGGTGTGTGTCAATTAAGTCCAGGACTTGTGCGTAGTATGGTCGTAAAGAAGCATTGGGGAGACTCACGCAAGAATACGCAGTAGAAGACGTAGATGCATGTCTGCATAATCCGTGGGCTGAAGGATCGCTCAAGGTAGTTCTTGATACCCCCCGATCTGGGTATCGCGCTTCCGAATTCGAGCATGACGAAGATTCCGCATGTTGAGATGATTGCGCCAATGACCCAACACATCATCGCCATGCCTACACTACCAGATAGCTTGAATATTGTGCTGGGAGTTGAGAAAATGCTGCGCTTGTCAGAAATGGGAATAATGCCAAGCTGCGGAATTTGGGAAACATACCCTGCACCAATGATCTTATTGACAATCAAGGAGACAGCTCCGAATAGTCCAATAGTCCTCTCTTGCAGGACGTTGACTTCTATAACGCCAAGCTTGACATCCTTGTCTGAATCGTCGCCGCCATCGCTAAGAGAGCGAGTAGCAGGCGCAGCTAGATACAACTTGTTAGAGCATAATCATTCCGAGTTCAAATTTTGCTGACCTTGAATGCTATCCTGTTTAGTTGCCATGATCTCAATTCCGCCAAGATGTGCCGTTTAGCAACTTAAAGATCAAGAATTCCCCGCAACATCAAGACGTGAATGAAGCAAGTGAATGCAAAACTTTCACTCTTAAGACTTTAAGGCTCAGTCAAGAATCATGATTGGTATCCAATGTTCTGGAAAACGTTAGCTAAGAGCGTGCGTCTGCGTCCGCGCCGTTGCAGGAAGCGAAGCACGCCATTATGGAGCCAAGATGTCGTGTGAACATTCCCAGCCGCGAAGACATGGCACAACGAAGGCAACTACTGGGTCGCTCGGTGCTGGACGCCAATGTTCCAGGGGACTTCTCCAGTAACTCTGGTGCTCGGGAGGTAATACCGAACATTTTTCCGCTTTGGGCAACATTTTCTCACCCAACACATGGGGTGTGGTTGAAATCGGGGATATCCCGATTATGTCGTGCTTTGCTCCTGTAATTCGCCATTTAATTGGGAGAGACCATTGGACAGCCACGACATGTAACGTTGTCTAGGCTGAACAAAGATCCGGAGCACATCCGACTACGGACCGACCTGCTCGTAATGCATCCGGAATCTGATATTGAAGTGGCATAAGTGTAGAGCCTCATCACATCAGGCATTCCAACGTGCAACGTTGATGTGCATACACAAACTAGTACGAATGGTCGATAGAAATACCAACATGACTGTCGAACTTGAGACCTTTCAAGTTCCTGGCGCCAGGACCTACTTCGGCCATGCTCTGCCCTATGGATTGCAGGTTAAGTCGAGCGGCGCACCCAGTCACACACCTGCTGTCGCCGAGTCTGCGGCAGCACTGAGAGCCTTGGGAGAGTCAGGAAAACTCCAAGACCTTTTGGAAAAACATGGTGCCGTCTTGATCCGCGGTGCTGGTAATGCTTCGGCCGAGACTTTCTCGCAGCTCGTGGGTGCAGCTGAGAAAGGCAGAGGCTCTTATCCTCATGTTCAAATTGGACTAGCTGGCAAGAGAACTCCACTTGCGGACAACGTTTGGACAGCCAACGAAGGCTCACCAAGCACTCGATTCTACCAACACAATGAGGTAACAGCATCCAGGCTCAGCCTTAGTTAATTCGTCCAAGTCAACTCACTTGCCATTATCAGTATTCTAGGTACACTCGTTTTCCTTCAAACATCCACTTCTACTGTGTGAAGAAAGCCCCCAAAGGTGAGTTCACTTCGGGATTACGAGGCGGCCCGAACTCACTTCAGTGCCCGCCATAATGCTGATCGATCTTGTGTGCAGGGGGCGCAACGCCAATCGCAAGCAGCGCCAATGTATTCGAAAAGGTCCAGGCCGAGATACCGGAGCTCGTGAAGGAAATCAGTAAGCGTGGCTTAGGCATGAAGATGATCTTCCGTGCCCCCGGGAATGAAGCCAAGGTCAATCAGTTCAACTGGGCTGGCGAGCACAGTTTCGGACGGGAACTTACGCCCGAAGACGACGACGTAACGACGAAACAAAAGGTCGAAAAACAAGTGCGCAAGTTGACATCAGATTTCAAGTGGAATGATGATGGAAGTCTCGAGCTGACGCAGCACATTCCCGGTAAGCCTTCCATATGAAAGTGTCTAAAGTAGCATGAAAGACACCCAGTTTAAGTCTGACATGGATTACAACGACAGGCATTCGCAGGCTGCCATCGAGCGGAAGGCCCGTCTGGTTCAACGGACTGGTTGGACGTCATGGTATTACGCGAGATATTGGTGCTCTTGACCCTCCCCATATCGGCCGCGACGGAATGACCTGTCAGTATTTGCTGAATGTCTGCATTCTGGGGTAAACTCGCTGATCTTCTTCCAGATCTTTCTAGTGTCTATGGAGACGATACAGAGATCCCGCGAAGGCTTCTCGACAAGCTTGTTGATGTGATTGACAAGGAGGAGATCAGCTTGGTTCTCGAAGAAGGAGACATGTTGCTCGTTGATAACTTCCAAGTTTCTCACGGAAGAGAGCCGTGGGAGGGCGACAGGCAGATATTGGTCTCAATGTGGGACACATTAATCCCAATTGGAGCGTACTGACGAACGTCCTGATACTCTCAGAGAATGGCCGAAAGTTCAATGTCGTCGAGAGGTATTCTATCATCTTTCAGAGAAGGATGGTCAATAATGGGTTTCAAATTAGCACACAGCCCCTTAGTTAAGTGCCGTAGACTAAGATAGGTAAGGACTTAGTTACAGATTAATTTTCTTCCCTTTTTCAGCATCGCCTAAGCTCTACATTATTCTCCCCAAATCTTTTAGCCTCGCTCCATGCCCGAGTTGACGTGAAAGTTCATGTTCCCAACTGACATTTGGCTTACCATCCAGCCATAAACCCCTGAATTATGAGCCACTACTACAAGGTATATTGATAGGCAGGGTGGCACTGCCATTTCTCACCCAGCATTGTGGATCGTGGTCCCAAGCGTGTACCTCCATTTTGATGATCCTCGTCTCCGGCAAGGTGGAGCTTACGGTTTCGCCAGCGAAGGTAGAAGTGTAATGAAGTAGCCAGAAGAATGTACATTCCAGAAAAAGCTACGTTGATGATATTTGCCTGCCAGTACTGTGGTCCATGCGACTTTGGGTAGAAATAGCTTGCATAGATTGAAGCCAGATTCGATCCGGCGTTGACAACAGCGTATGATACAGCTCGTTTAGTTGCAGGCCGAGGTAGTGTTGTCGAGACCCATGACAAGATACATCCAAATGAACCGTATACGCTCATCATCATGAATGTCGCCGTGTATCGGGCTGCGACGTTAAGAGTAGTTGCCGAGATGATGAAGCCAACACTGCAGAAGACCTGGGGCCACACGATATGGAGCCATCGCTCACGATGCTTGTCGCTGTGCCAAGAGTTTGTGATGCCCAAAATTGCAGCGAAGACGTAGGGCGGAGCAGAAAGAAGCAGTGTGTTTCGTTGATTGTATCCGAGTGTTGCCACAATGGTGGGAAAGAAATTAGTAAACGCGGCAGCGGTGTTCAGTCCAAGCTGCATGAGCCATATTATGTAGAGTGCTGGATCCGTGAATGTCAGTTTCAGCCCCTGCAACGCTGATGCTTCTTCTCTGTTATCCTCTTCCACTGCTTCTTCAGTTATTCGAAGGATAGCAAGCTTTCTCTCCTCGTCCGTGAGCCATTTAGTGGTCGCTGGGTAGTCCGGAAGTGTGAGATATGTTACGATGGCAACCGGGATTGGGATTGTTCCCTCAATGATAACTATTTAGGTGATGTTAGAGTACTGCTATGCATCTACTTTGAAGGAACTACTCACAAAGCCACCGCCAATCGGCGAGGCCTAGCTTTCCATCCATGCCTCCCATGATCGCGCTACCTAGAAGGCCACCGAAGGCCCCTGCCATCTGTCCCGCGGCATACAGAACTGAGATCCGGACTGCCAGCTCCTTCTTCGTGTACCAAGAACTGAAGAGGTACAAGGCGCCAGCTGATGAGTTATTAGCCAGATAGACAGTCTTGATACCCCACAGTCGAAACTCACGGAAGAATGGTGCCTCGACAAATCCCAGCAAGAATCGGAGAACAACAGCCCCCTTGTAGTTCTGCACTACACCAGTGGAAGCACTAACAACTGCCCAGCAGCACATGACCACCGGAAGAAAGACACTGGGTCTCATCTTGTTGAGGATCATGTTTGTGGGAACCTGTGTGAGGATGTATCCGACGAAGAAGACGCTGATGATGGCATTGTACTGGGTTCCAACTAAACCGATATCCTTTTCGAAGTTTCCCAGGCGGGCCGTCGCAATCTGATAACAGTCAGTGTAGTTTCCTTTAGCGAATGTGGCGTTGCTTTACGTTGTTGCGGTCCAAGTAATTCAGCACATGTACGCCTCAATAACCAAGTCAGTGAGAGTTCTGCAGAGAAGAGTTGGGATGGACTTATAGAGCAGCATCATGAGAGGCATCCTAGGACGTTGGTCAGAAATAGCAGACTATTGGCGTGTGCAAGTTTGTCGAGATACTCACATCCGAATGTCAATCCTGCGCACGAGCCGTCGCTCTTTCAAGCCTCTTTCTTCAATGACTACATCCTGGGCTTTGTCTGGTTTGACTGGGCGATCCAGCATTTCGACGTGGAGGTCTAGAATGTTGTCTTTACGAAGGTCACTAGAGGCCATTTTGGTATTTGATCAAGAAGTTTTGATGCGATCGAACTGGAGACCGAGATATTGACGAATGAGGCTCGACCATGATCACATATTTAAAGCCGGCCACGGAGACATTATCGGACTGCTCGCCGATATCCGCGTCCTACTCACATGGTGGATACAACACTTTTATTGCCCAGATCTACCTCCTTTCCCCGCAAGAAATCGCGGATAGCTTTTCCATATGGTGGAACTTATGCAAGGAGAATGATAATAGTAGTCAAATGTTTGCTGAGATTAAGCCAGCCGAGTTGAATGGTTGGTCGGAACAGGCTTACGAGCCGGTCGGTTCTCGAATAACCTTAGCTTAGCTTACCATGAACACATAGATCGACAGGGCTTTATCGGAAAGTAATCTTGTTGGCTATCTTGAGACATGGGTGCTGATGCTGGAAGGTTGGTAGCATTAGGTGTCCTATAAGGTATGACACTTACCTTATTTACATTGAATGAAGGAGGCTGATATTGCGATCATCCGGCCTCGGACCATCGAGATTATGTACTTGTAAGATAAGTACCTTACACTCTATAAAAAACTTCGAGCCTTTGGATTCTTTATTCGAGCCATTGAAAGCTCACGGCTGGGTCCGAAATCTGGTATTCGTCTGCATTCGTCTCGAGTGTATTGAGGCACTTGCGCGTACATCCAGATTCCACTTCCCCCGCAACCCCGGATATCCATACCCGCTAGCTTCGACCCCGGGTCGTAGGGTCGTCTTACGTGCTTATAACACAATCAGTTGGTGCCACTCACACTAGGCTTACTGTACTGGTTGGTGCAACGCCTCGGGAATCGGATATTCTGAGCCTCTAAGCTCGCATACCAGGCTCTAGTGGTCGGCTCTAACTACAATACGTCAGACTTCCCAACATGACCCGCTCCGTCGTCGGGACTCAGTCAGTCGAGTTGCAAGTGCAAGGGAGGAGCCCCAAGGTAATTACCCAATCGAGACTTAGAATGATTTGCTCGGAGAAGTCCCCGATATTGCTGAGTTCTGCGGGAACTGGGGCCGAATACCCAGTGCCCTGTTCATATGCAAGAGGGGATGGGCATGTAGGAAGATTGCATGAAATATTTAGTGATTTAAGAGCTCTGAGATCCCACTTCGGTGTCATCTAGACCGTATCAGATCACCCTGCATTTTCACTGAACTAGTTTTGTGACAAACAGAGGTTCTTGCTGGCCCGCCAAGCTTATTTTAAGTATTAATCAGAACGTCATCAGGATGCTGAGCGCTGTCGAACCCATCGTACTCCACATAGGAGATCCGATTCAATACAATCCGAAGCGGTACAAAGAGTTAGAGCAGATCGCTACAATCCTTAGACCGACCACAGAGGAGAGACAGAGGGAACCCTTCTTGGAGGCTCTGAGAGAACAGCGATGGGGGAACTTCTCAGCAATCCTGCGACCTTTTTGGAACTCGGGTGGCGAAATGGGCCGCTGGGACAAAGAACTTATTTCACTCCTGCCTTCCTCTGTCAAAGTCTTTGCTTCCGCAGGTGCCGGATATGATTGGGCAGACGTTGATATCATGGCTGAGAAAGGTACGCTATCACTATCGATACAATATGTCACCGTATCCGACACTCCCTGATGACTTTGATGACAGGCATCCTCTACTGCAATGGCGCATCGGCGTCATCCGAGGCTGTGGCAGATATGGCGCTTTACCACATCATATCAGTGTTCCGCAATATGCAATGGACCAATACAGCAGCACGGAGTGGAAACGCAGATCAGTTCCTCGATGCACACCGACACAACAGTGAGACAGCACATAACCCCAGAGGCCACACACTCGGCATTATCGGCCTCGGAAACATCGGCTATCGAATTGCACAAAAAGCTTACGCCGCTTTCAATATGAAAATAGCATACGTCGATCCTATCCCCAAGTCAGCTGAGCAGGAAACCACTGTCAAAGCTGTGAGATATCCGAACCTGGACACTTTGCTAGCCGTGGCGGATTGTGTGGTAATCTCGGCGCCTGGAGGGGCAGAAGGCGGTAAGGCGCTCATCGATGCCTCACGCTTAGCAAAGATGAAAGCGGGATCTCGACTGGTCAATGTCGGACGTGGGAACTTGGTGGATGAAGATGCATTGGCTGATGCACTGGAATCTGGGCACCTGTTCGCTGCTGGACTCGATGTACACTCCAACGAGCCACATATTAACACACGCCTGGTCTCAATGAGGGATGTGACTCTTACATGCCACACTGGTGGTGGAGCAGTTGAAACCAGAATCGGCTTCGAGGATTTGGCTATCCAAAACGTCATTGAGGTACTACTCGGGAAGGGACCTTTGACAGCGGTAAACAAACATTTGCTTGGGTAGAAGAGAAGTCGTTATCATAGGGTAGAGACAATCCAAAGTACCAGCGAGTTTTTGCAATGACTTTCTATATCTCGGTGCAAATGCTCACAGTTTCACTGGACTAACTCATTTGCTCTAATAAACATCACATTCGCATCAAGAGCGTTGGGTCTTGTCCAGCTTGAATACCATACATTGTCACAGGTCAAATAACGTCAAGGCGATACCTTGACGCCTTGGTAAGTGTGGCCAAGTTACGAGTCGGGGGCTTTGTTCTCCGAATCTTCCGCCACCCAGCATCATTCTGTATGTCCTAGTTGATTGGACACGCTCATCGCCTTTGCAGGGCGTTTCCGCCCACAACGATGACTCCGGCTATTGACAGCTGCAGTAAGTATTTAGTTATGCATGTGTGTGCATTGGCTGATAAATTAGCTCGACGGCCTCCCGCAGCTGCCCTCAATTTGTGTCAATCAAACTGGAAGGGTACCGCAAATAGAAATCGACCATACGGCACAGTCCCCTTTAGCACGAGGTAATTGTTGAAAATGACCCCTCTTCCTCTGACCAATGATTTCCTCAGCACCCCAACGCCAGATTTCCTTATAAGAACTGACCGTTGACCGCCAGAGACTCTGTGACTCTCTGTGAATTCCTTGTATCAACCTTTTAGTTGGGACGATCAACTTGACGGGTTTTCAAGCCATAAGAAGCTCTGTAAGTGGAATCGACGTTGAAGGACTTATCCTTATCCTGATGGAATGAATTCGCAACTGATAATACTTCCAAGACATCGAGACTCCTGGGTAATATCCCGTAGTAACGAAAATGGTCGGCAGAATACAACAACGCATCGAGGAGAATTGCAAGACCATTTGGGGAGATCACGTTTATGAAATCGACTATGAGACGGATGACAATGAGGTCTTCCAATACTTTGTTCTGCGAGATTATGGAAGCTCATTCGGCCCAGCATTGACAATGACCTTGCTCTGTCACTCTGAAGAGGCTGCTTATAGGGAATTGGACCGAATGTTAGGGATATGGGCAGCACAGGTCAGACGAGGGACGCCCATGACAAAAGAGGAGAGCCTGGAGATATTTGGTGGTCCAAGAGGGGAGTGTAAGCGAGTCTTGGAGGAATTTTGGAGTGCATCAGCAGCAAGTCAGGCTGCTGTTCAATCTACCGAGTCTCGGGGGGAGCAGGTTGACGGGGAACAGGCACATGTTACAAAGTAAATTCTTGATGCATAGGTTGGTCGTGGCATTATCATTGGTCGAAGAACCCATTCCCCGAATGACCGGTCTTCTGCCAAGGCCAGCAGCACAAACGCTATCTAGAATAAACCCATTCGCTTATCCCTAATCAAAGAGGTCTTCGGTGTCGGAGATCTATGTCAAACTTCTTAGAAACCAGTATAAACTCATCGTTCTTAATGTGATCTACTAGCATCTAAAATTAGTATACTCTTTCAACCCACTCATAGACGTTCGTTTCTCAGGCGCTCAGCCTCGATCAAAGCAAGTGTGCGAATAAGAAGAAGATGGCGGCTACAGTCTTCGCAAACACCCCGGGCAACGCTTCCTCCATCAAGCTCAATAATCTTTTTGCAAGGTTCGGGATTTTGGCAGCGCTCAAACTTGCCGGGAAGGAAGATTGAGATGTATGGCTTGCTGCAGCTCGTGCAATAAAATGCAACAGAGGGCTGGTCGCACATATCGAACAGTGGGCGCAAGGTCTTCCGCAAAGGGTCTTCGAGTAGGATTGTTGCTGGGGTTGGAAAAGCTGCGGTGGATCGGCTGTATGATAAGTGCTGCAGCTGTACGGTGTCTAAATTCTGAGTGATTTTCTGTATGCTGTTGGCGTGCAAGTAATGTTTTGTAGAATGTTGCACATCTCACTGTGGAAGATTCTACCGTCTTTTGAAGAGTTTGATAAAGGTTATTTTTACAATAGTTACCCCAACAATGAATCCCATTACAGGGACATTGTACGAATCACCATCATTCAAAGCCTTTGTCTAGCTGTTGGTACAGCGAACCTGAGCTGGGTTTTGTGAAGCTTTGTGCCTGAAGGAGATTCGTTGAGCATATGTACCTAGACTCTAAAAGACCTGGAACTATCTCAAATTCTTCGAGCTCAATATCAATAGGCTGTTGTCAAACGAAGGGATTAGGAGATGACAGTAGCTCCAGGAGATAGCCATAGATCATTGCCCATGCATGGACCTGTGGCTCAGGTCAAATGTTAGCTGTGTTATGTTATCTACCAAGATCAAGTCGAGAATGATTAGAAGAACACGTATGTAGAGGAACCAAAAAACTGGATCATTCAACTTTAAAACATCGGATCGTTTACCACAGTCTTTCAAGTCCCAAAATTCTCACAGATGCATCTTCAGATGTATATTTGCAGCGGAAATTGGAAGCTTAGAACTGTGTAGCTAGCACGTTGGCTGATCCTAAGTTAGGTGCGCCATTCGAGGCTCGGGAAAGTCAATGTGAAATTTGACAAGATGTAGTATAACTCAGGCATTGACACCTTGAAGTATGATGCTGCCTATCCACGAGAAGCTGGCGAACAGAAACCCTGAAAGGGTTGAACAGAGTGGTCCCGCCGCAACCTCGGCAAGCATCACCGCGAAGCCCGAATGGAGCCGTTTTAGCCAAGTTCATCCACTTTTAGCTGAGATGCAATGCAACCTACCACCCATCCGGCATCCCGCCCAGGGTCAATTGAGCCAGGCATTTACCCGTGAGGGGTGCAGAACCAACGTCATTTACCCCGGATTCTGAGCAATATAAAGCGTCCATAAAATTGCGAGATTAGTCCGTGATATCTGGTAGAAGGTCAGGTAGTACCATATTTGTGTTGCATTTGGGTCGAATAAGACCGAGGCACCGGATATGAAGTCCACTATTTTCATGCGACTGGCGTCAGTGGCTGCACTGCTTCCGAGTAAGTTGACCAGGCAAGTTACAGTGACTGACTAGAGGCTTATTTCTCGGACAGCATTCGTACGAGGACTCGTAAACCCCATTATTCCGGGGTTCAATCCGGACCCGACGATCATCAGAGTTGGTCAGGACTTCTTCCTGGCAACCAGCACGTTTGAGTTCTTTCCCGGCGTCCCCATTTACCATTCAACTGACCTGTAAGTCTAATTTGTTGGAGATATGGCATTCCCCCAAGGTTTTCTGGTTCTTATTCATCGGTGCAGCGTAAAATGGGAAAACATTGGCCATGCATTGTCTCGGCCGTCGCAGTTGAACATGCGAGGTACCGCTCCCAGCGGAGGTATTTTTGCGCCGACATTGAGACACCACGACGGCCTCTTTTACCTAATCGATACAGTTTTTGATGTGATAAGCCCTCCCGACAACGTAAGAATATTTCGGTATAACGAGACTTTTTTTGTCTACTTAAAGTATTAATTATCTCCATAGGTGACACGGGTTCCCCGTTCATTCTACGTCACAACCCCGAACATCTTCGATCAGGCTAGCTGGAGTGAACCTACGTATGTCGACCAGTGGGGATTCGACCCAGATCTCTTTTTCGATGATGATGGCAAGGTTTATTTGACTTCCACGTTCTCAGAATTCGTCGAGAATGGCAACTTTGCAAACTGGATCACGGAGATTGACATCAAGACTGGCGACTCTCTAAGCAATTCCCGAGTTCTCCATACCACGACAGTACCTCCAGAACTTGGCTACCCGCTTGTGAGTGTCATCCCTTATTTACACTATTATCACAAGAAGGTGTCTTGGCTAATATGTAACCAAACTGGCCGTAGACCGAAGGAAGCCACTTGTATAAACTCAATGGGACATATTACATGGTCACCGCCGACTCCGGAACGGAGGCTAACCACAAAGCAAACGTGTACCGCTCCCAATCCTTGGATGGGCCTTGGGAAGGCAATCCACACAACCCTGTACTGTGGAATGGTGAAGATATGTCTTTGCCTGTGCTTGCTACGGGACATGCAGACATTGTTGACGACGTCGATGGGAATTGGTGGGCGGTGTTTCTCGCTATTCGGCCACAAAACCCCAGAAACAGCACTGGGCTTCCTCAGCTTGGTCGTGAGACTTTCCTGTGCCCCGTAACATGGGACGCAGATGGATGGCCTATGTTCAACAATAACGAGCCGATTACTGAGTATATGCCTGACGTTTTGTACGACTTGGACCGGCCGCAGGTGTGGCGGGACGACTTTGAGGGAGGACTAACGGATGAGGCTTACTACTACACACGGACACCATACAAAAGCTTCACAGACTTCGACTCCAGCCCTGGGAAGCTTCGGATCAGAGGCAACGTTTACACTCTCAACGATCGCGAAACTCCAGCAGCATTGCTCCGCAAGCAGGTCGACATCAATACCACCTTCAGCACCGAAGTCAGCTCATTCAGCCCGGCATCGTGGCGACAGGAGGCCGGTGCAAGTGTCTATCTTAGCATCCACTATCACAACGAAGTTGCCATTACTTACTCGAACGACACCGGTAAGCGATGCATAGTCACGCATACAAGGACGGGCTCAGATGCAACGCTCAACACCACCTACATTGAGGATGAGGATGTTGCCAATGGTGACTCAGTAAAGCTTTTCATCGAGGCGAAGGATGCCGGATATCGTCTGGGATATTCTACAGGCGACAAAGCACCAAAATGGCTTGCGACTGTTGAGAATCGCTGGCTACAGTCATTCGTTGAGGGCTGGCAGAACTTTGTCGGAACTCATTTCGCGATCTACAGTACTGGAACCAGACTTCCGACTCTGAACCCTGCGGCATGTCTTCTCTCTCCCAAACCTCTATAATGCAAAGTCGCTGACACAACTGCTTTTCAGGATTTTGAGTACATCCAAACGGAATTAAACTAGCATGGATGGTGTGAAGTTAGGGGGTATTGCAAGGACAGGCCGCCAGGCTACGCTATGTACTCAGCACCTGAGGTGGTAGATGAAGCTATCATCTTCAGGAGACCTTTTCTAAGCTGAAATAAACTCTCTTAGGTACTCCATACCTTAACATTCAGAATGATGATTTTGCGTCAACATGAAGTCGGGCTCTTCAATCTTTGGTCTCGCATTGGTCGCTTCTTCAAATTCACAACGTACCTTAAGGTAAAGTACATTTAGCTTAGTGATGGGAAGTACGATTTAAACTTATTTGAGTAAAGAAACCGATAGCTCCGACTATGTCTGTGATAAAATGCACATGACTTAAGACGGATTGATAAGTATTTCCCGCTATCCTATCAGTTGTCTAGATGGGTCAATCTCAAGCTACCTCCTTCGCATTTGCTACACGTGACTACTTTGTTTTTGTACATTGAACGGCAACTAGGCTAGCTCCTTGAGAGCCTCAGGCCTTTTTAAAGATACCATATTATCATTTGACAGGCCCGAGAATCAAGACCACCACAGTAGCGCAGACAGAACGACTCATGTAAGTTGGTATTCCGTATTGGCCCGTAACGGAAGACCGATTTGATTGGCTCGCACGGAACGACCCCTCTCGTTTTCTTCATGCACACTTCAAAATTCCGTTTCGACCTAGTGATGGAGCAATCCGATAGGCCCAGACGGAACGGTCGAGCTGAATGAAGCCGTCTGTTGTGTGTTTCCGGAATCTCGGCCGCCCACGCTTGAACATGAAGTGACTTGCGAGTGAACGCACTGCCGAAGTCAGGCGTATATTAGTTCTAGGTTTTCTTCCAACGGTGACGGTTCGCTTTAATGGTTCCATATCATCAGGAACCACAGAGATGGAAGCTAACATGGATGTCAAACATCTATTACCACTCGTAACTGTGCACCCTTTTGCGTCGATTACAGCTTTCTTGACTGTTCTTATCGGCCTCTACACCTTCTACTATCGCAATATTCATCCATTGTCGAGATTCCCTGGCCCTTTTCTTGCGTCACTGACAAACTTCTGGAGACTTCGGGAACTATGGAGCTTGCACCTACCCGACACTCTCGTCGCGTTGCACGAGAAGTACGGTGATGTAGTCCGCGTTGGCCCTAATATGCTTTCGTTCAGACAAGGGAGTGCCGTTCCCAGGATCTACAAGGCCGGCCGAACCTTGGAAGACCAAGTTCTATGACGGGTTCACTTCATTCAATCCCAACTTGTTTGGAACTCAAGATGAAGAGGTGAGTCGCTAAAATTTTGGCGGTGAATTGAAGATCGCAGACTTACTTTCCTAGGTTCACTCGACGCGGCGGCGGCAAATGGCCCACGCATTTTCTTTACAGTCGATCAAGGAAATGGAGCAGTATATTGACGGCCACATGCTTCAATTCCGCAAAAACCTCGACGAATACTCCAAGACGCGGCAAGTCTTCGATCTCAAGGAATTAATAGCCTTCTTTGTCCTCGATGTCCTAGGAGATCTTGCCTTTCGATGTCAATTTGACTCGCAGATTGAAAAGGATATTTCGAAGCTGCCTCCCATCAACGATCACATCTTTCTGGCTTGCTTAATGGGCATGGTTCCCGACTTTATGCCGTTCATCAAAACTATCTTTCCCTGGATCCCGATCCCGTGGCTGCAAGGACTTCTTGCGGCAAGACAAAACCTCAAGAACCTTACTGCCGAGTGCGTCAGAAGCCGGATAACCGACACTAGCGCTGCTCGAAAAGATCTCATCACTAGTCTGATCAACTCTGTGGACCCAGAGACGGGCTCTAAGCTCACAGAGCTAGACATACAAACTGAGGCATTCGCGTTCATGTAAGTCGTTAGATTCTGCTTTGGTCGGATGGCTCTTTGACTCCCTGGCTGACTTCTTCTCAGTGTTGCTGGTTCTCATACGACGTCTGGAACCCTTACTCTCCTCTTTTCTCATATTCTCCAAAACCCGGCTGTGCATGAAAAAGTAGTTGAAGAAGTAGACGCAGTTGTTGAGAACGTTGGCTCAGCCATCGTACCGATCAAGGACCTGGAAACAAGGCTCCCCTATGTCATGGCATGTTTAGATGAGAATTTCCGGATGAACTCTGTTTTCACCATGCCATTGGAGCGAAAGGTGACTGCCACAGGAGGGTTCGAAATCGAGGGTCATGTAGTTCCTAAAGGCGTAAGTTTCTTCTCTCCTATGATGCTATGACTACTTGCTGACAACGAATGAAAAGACCGGCGTTTTCAGTTTGAACCACGTCGTCCATCATAACCCCGCTATTTGGGGAAAGGATCACAATGTGTTTGACCCTTCTAGATTTTATGATCAAGAGGGCGAGAAGCTCCAGCGCTTCCTGAGCCCTTTTAGCATGGGTCATCGCATGTGTATTGGACGAAATATGGCCATGACCAACATGCTGAAGCTTGTTGCAACTACGTTTAAATGTTATGAACTTGAGATGATGATGGAACCGGAGCATGCTATTTCTACTATTAGCGTTGGAATTTCGGAGAAAGAAGGTCCATTGATGTGTCGTGTTCGTAGAAGATAGATACCAAAAGGTGCAGGAAACCAAGCAACATGACTTACACCGGCGCCTTTTCTATGAATCATCTAAAAAGCAAGAGAGCACAGCGTGAAAGTGACTGGCCACGCAAGAACTTATAACTCAAGTTCGACTCCCTTCAGCTGTGCTAGCGAGTGTTCACTGGGCAATCCCTTAGGCTGCTCAAATGATTTGCACTTACACGCGATAGGGGATTTGATTTGGAGACAGGGCAGTCTAGACTGGTCTGGTGCTAAAAGGTGGCCCGGAAAAAAGGGAGTCACTGCAGCAGTACCTGGAGTCGGCGCTTGACCAGAGCGTAGGGATGCACGGATCCCTAGATCAACCCCTGTAGGACCCCCTGAAGCAGCTCCTGAGGACAATTTTGTTACAATGTGTAAAATCTCACATGATGTCTGTACAATCACATGATGTTAATCGTCAACACGCAGAAAACCCTACAGGCACCATATGTTAGTGGCTAAAATGGTAAGACGAACCTTGGTCGTAAAGATAATACCTATTCCAACTACTGAGATTGACCGGTTCAAGTTACCTTGTCATGACATCGTCATCAACGTTCACTCACTCAACCGTAGGTACCTTAGGTAGGTACGGATACCTAGCTTTAAAACAGCTTGACAACTTGACACTACCTTTAGTGGTAAGTTGTATCCACCCACCAATTTCACACTCCGACTCTGACGAGGAAAAGTCAAGATTGGCATGGTTTATCTTCAGGCTTCTATTGAGAGGCTGATTACTTCGTAGAGCTAGTGGCTGCATTTTGTTCGAGGAAACCAATCGCCTTCCTCAGAGACTCTACAGCTGTCACCGCATCCCCAGCTGAAGTCTCGACGTTAACATCGCCTGACCTTCCATCAAACCCGTGCTCCGCGTCAGACGGGAACTCGGCTAAAACGCGCACTCCAGATGCCTTTAGCCTCTCTGCGGCCCTAGTGCTACAGTCAAGCGGTACGGCCGAGTCATTCGCACCGTGAAGCAACATGACAGGCGGGAGGCCACTCAGCTTGCCAAAGTCAAGTGGGAACAGCTGCTGATGTTCTTTGGGGATGGCCGTGACTCCTTGAGCAGCAATTTGTTGAGCAAGGCCGGAGACGCCAGTCATATAATCGGGAAATAGGGCGCCAATGTGCAGTGCTGAAGCAAGAGCAAATCTGGGGTCAGCAGCGGGGTCGCCTAATATCGGATGTGCTGACACAGGCTTCCTCTCTTCACCCGAAGCCTTGCTCATGGGCCATGTTTCTAAAATAGGCCCGGTCTCGATTGGTGGCCGGTCGAATATGTTCTTCCCGGGAGTTGTGTATCTAGTCCCAGAAGGATCGAGCATTCCGTAGATGAGCAGCAGTGCGCTGGGCTTCTGAACGGCCGAGACTGCTGTGTTGAGAGCCAAATACCCGCCGGCGCTTGACCCAGCGACTAGGAGCGAGCCGACGGGGCGGCCCAAGATCTCCGGGAGCGATGACCAGGCCCATTTGTAGGCATCTGCAGCGTCTTCCACGGAGGCCTGTGCGGTTGACTCGGGCATCAAGCGGTATTCAGGAGTCACGAAGACCCATCCACGGGCGGCGCAGGCATGTACAAGCCAGTATGGCAAGAACGAATACCGATCTCCGACGATCTAGGAAATCTCTCATGTTAGCAAAACCTCGAGCCACATAGTGTGAAACATCATGAAATACGGGAGACTCACGAGGAAACCACCGTGGTAATGTAGCAAGACGGTAGCGGGAGACCCGTCTGACTTCTCGGGGTACACGACGTCGGCATTAATGGTTATATCTGAAGTGATTTTGAAGGGTACTGTTCGCGACGTGTACCCCGTTAATGCCTCTAACGGAAAAGGGGAGCCCATCTTCTAAAAATGCGGTCGCAGCGAGACGTTTGCTAAAGACCAGACACAGGGCCCAAAAATCCGAGCAAGGAATAAGAAGACGATGGTCCGAATCGGTGTCACTTCAACTTTGACATACAAGACAGATGAGGCAGCGGGGTTGACTGCACTGAGGTAATACTTTGATGTTTCGTTCAGTTATTAATAAGTGGTGACCCCGCCGGGATCATCGGAGGTAGTTTAACCCCGCCATTAGTTCCGCTTCGGAAGCGGCCGGAATTTGCTCAATCACCAATCGGAAATGTCCAATTGGTCGTTGCACAGTTCGTGGACATTGGTGTAAGGTCAAAGAAACCGTTGAGCTGGTCGAAAACCATCATGTCTCCCATGTTTCCGAACAGCAAGGCATCAGACGGACTGTCAACGCTCTCCCTTAGTTCACCTGGCTCGCTGGTACTGGATGCTGTGACGGAGGAGCCGGACAGCTGTGCCCTAAGCTTTCGTAGGCCTTGAAGACGCTCCCAGAGAGCCAGGAGCAGCGGCGACCGTTTACTCAGAGCTCTGATCATTTCGAGCGCAATGTCAAACTCAATGGTAACCTTGTCACAAAACATGGAGCTGGCATTCACAACCGCCAACAAGAGGTTCCCAAAGGCAGTCAGCAAAAGGTGCTTGAAGAAGAGCGGGTTCCGCTTGATGATGGTAGTGTTTTCGTTGAGGCTCGAGAGCATCTGCAGCGACTCTCTGGCGACAGCGACGGCTTTGTGAGCATGTCTCTCGTACTGCACGATCCGTTTCGCGGATTGAAGCACTGGGCGACAGATCAAGTTGTGTAGGTGACTCTTGCGGAGGAAAAGCACGGCCTGAACGTGCCGAACCTCTTGTCCCGGCTGGATAGGTTCAAGCTTTAGGTCATCAGCTAGAAGTTGGTACCACTGCTCTATTCGATAATCGAGATAGTCGATTTCGTCGATGTTGAGTTCACTTTCCTTCTCGACTTGGGTATTGAGGGCGTACCACGTCTTGCCAGCTAGTTTCGTCCAGTCGAGAAGCGCAGTCATCACCGTGTCGTGGCTGTTCTGCCGGGCTATCAGCGGGCTGCGACGAGATACCCAGTGAAACATTCCGGAATTAGTGAAATCTTACCATCGCGAGTAGTGTAGGGTCAACGTGGCAGTCCTGTATATAGAACGGTATGCCCTGCCCTAGGCTCGTCCTCCTTTCCAGCATATACACACACCGAAATGTCTGTAGCCCCGCAGCTTGCTCTTCCGAGTTGGCATAGCGGTCCATGGATGTTCGGCGATGCAAGCCCATTTCGAGGCAGAGACGGGCTGCAAAACCAATGATACGACCGGTCCGCACTTCTTCGTCGAGGTGGTAGTAGTAAAGGGCCTATGAGTACACCGGTTAATGACATCGCTCGAGCCTACTCTCTCCCTGGCACTAGGTCAAAATATCACGTACCATCAGCACCAGCAATTGTATGTTGCTGATCGAGTTTGTGCCCCAAAGCAGCCCCTCGCCAGCTTCGGTGGCGCTCTGAAAGAGCCTCTGGGCCAACTCGTTGCCACCTCCGCTCTCCAAGTTCAGACATATGGCCAGGATTAGTTTCAATTTGTTAGTATCGCTGTGGAATAGGCATTCTGCGAGAGCTCCTCGACTTCGCGTCTCGTGGACATTGACACACTGCAGAGTGTTCAAAACATTACTGGCAACCGCTAGCATCTGCTCTTCACTGACAACAGCGTAGAGGAAGCCAGTGCCCGAAAACCACTGCTTGATGTGGTCAGTCGCATCTTCAAGATTTACCTCCCATAGTGGATCTTGGGCCAGAAGCTTCATGAATGGCCCGTATTGTGCTAGATGAGATGGCATATTCGAAACGGAGTTGGTCCTCGGTGTTGACTTGTCCAGAATGGCTGGGGGAATTCCCATGGCTTCCAGATTCCCTTTGACAACTCCGAAGGTGAACTCGGAGCTTGAGGGACCACAGAACTCCGGGGAATTACTGCTTGCGTCACATGGTATGTGATTTGATCTGGATCTCAGCATGGGGCTCATCTGTTGGCAAGTCGCCTGCGGCGATGGACTCTGTGGAGGGGTAGATTTTGATGCGTCGAGTGAGCTTTCATTTTGAGGAGAACAATGAGAAGGCCTGGATGAATCCGCGGTTCTTAGTTCTAGTCAGCAATTCAGTGTCACTTGCAGAAAAGGAAGAAGACAAAGGGGTCCCAATAATTGATGTAGAATGGGATATCTAGTATAGTAGCGGCTTCACTTACCGTAAATTTGGTTTCTGAGCGGCTAAGACTCGACGATGCGGGTGGTATCCACACGCGACTGAATTGCGTGTACATGCCGCACAGGGGTTGACACCATCGCATTTGATCTTCTTTCTCTTGCACTCGATACTGGAAAGAACTTAGCAAACTTCTCATGATTGGGCAAGTGCAGGGTAGACATACCATGCCTGGTTGACGTAAGGAACCCTTCTGTTCCGTCGATGACGCAGTGCAGTATATCGATCGCTGCTCTCGTCGGAGGGGACCATCGCGCGATAGAACTCCAATATCTTCAAGCCTGTTGGACACAGATAACTCGGCTATCAGCAATTCAGAGTTGGCGCAATGCCGCCTGTTTCTTGGTCGGTATTCGCGTGTGGGCATCCGTAGTCCAAGTGGACGAAGAGGTGGAAAATGACTGCCCTTCTTATTTGCATAAACAAGGATCCCAAAACATGGCTCGGGTGTGCCGGTCTTTCATACGAATTACTTCACTGCGTAGTTCTATGCTAGTCCTATTTGCCCCGTTAGCGAGATTTCACCGAGTGGGGGATTCTCCAGATTTACCCCGCAATTGAGACGATCACCCGTGAGTTCAAACTTCGGTAATGGGGAGAGGCAGTAATTAGTGTCCGTTCACGTGGGTTCAAGACACGTCGCTGATAATTGAATAAAGCAATACGAAACTAATTCCGAGTCACGACTGATACTTCCGGGCCCTGCATTCAGCACCATCTCGATACTCTTTGGGTTGTAGGAACATCTTAGTCCTCGTCAATAAACACACACGACCCGGCCTTCCTCTCAATCATACCTGATTCGATAACGCCAAGAGCCAATTTATGCTACCAACTTTATATGTTGTTTCAATCCAAGGAGTAGGCATCGTGGCCCGCATCCTAAATCGCAAAAACATACCTATAAGCTCACCCGATGGACTGTCGCACGTGTGGGAAAAAATTCAAACGCAAAGGTCATTTGAATCGTCACTCGGCGCGGCACTCCAAGTACAAGCCATTTCACTGCGACTTTAACGGAAGAAAGTTTGCTCAAAGGTAAGATTTTCGGCAACCCCGGTGCTTACTGTCTGCGCACAATTGTCTCTTTTTCTAAATCTTTGTCAGGGACTCTCTATATCGCCATGCAGCCCTCCATAATCGGGATACGCCATCACGGCAAGAGACCCGGGTCGAGATGACTAAGAGGTGCGAACAAGCTTGTGTCGCGTATGCAAGTTCAAAGCAACGGTGCCAGGGCGGGATCCCTTGTTGGCGATGTTTAAAGAAAGGCCTTTCCTGCTGCCGGAAAGGACAGACATCTACGGTGGAAACTAGGCCAGATGAACTATTTGGAGGGGAAGAAGAAAGTAACGTGGAGTTGAGTGACGACCGAAGAACTCGAGAAACTATGATGGATCGGATCTCTGAATCGCGTGGAATACGAGCACCAGCACCGACTGAGAAGGCAGCTGAGACGTTTCTCGGAGTTGAAGACGTTGCAACGTTAGCTCCTGATTTATCTCCATGGCTGCCACCACGAGAGATAATCAGTATACAAACGCCCAGTCGGGATCCTCCGCTCGAGCCCTGTCAATTTGATCTGGGACTCGATGTAGGCTTACATCAGCAACAATCTGCTGCAACAGAGCTAGGCCTGCAATTACATGATCCTCTGGGCCTATCTAGTTATGCAGACTGTACCATGGCGGAGGGCTCCAACGGAATCTTTCGATGGCCAGATGTTGATGGTGGCTTCCATGAGGCCTTTCATTTTTCGGAAGACGGGCTCCTCAATATCTGGCAGAACATGTTTACACAGCAAGCCCCAAAGCCACGCATTGGCTCGACATCAGATTTTCGTGTGCCTCATGCCACAGAGGCTTGGATCTCACGAGCGGGCTCTGTTGAAAATGGACTAGAATCCTCTATTCTCAAGCTGACATTCCCTTCCCCCAAAGCAGCCGACGATGCAATAATCCAGTCTGAGGACTTTGGGTTGGTGAGAGAAATTGACGAGCAAGAGTACCAGGCCATCCTGAACTTCTGGAAGTCTCAAAAGGGCACCTTATCACTCCAGGATGGTGTCTTTCCACACCGTGAGGTCTTGAACACATTCGTTCAGCTCTATTTTGAGCACTTTGACTGTCAATTTCCTTGTATCCACCACTGTCAGATGGAAGCAGGAAACCGCCCGTGGGTACTCTTATTAGCGCTTGCGGCAACTGGCAGCCAGTACTCCGAGATATCGAGATCCTTTGATCATGCTTTGGCATTACAAGAACTACTCAGAATTGCTCTGAAATTAAATATTTTATCATCCCCGTCCTACTCTTATCGCCGTCAGAAGCTAATTGTGTCAACGTAGGCCCCGAATTCTCCAACTTCTACTATAGTCTCTTATGTTCAGAGTCTCCTGCTTCGGGACATCTTTTGCGTTTTTGCAGGCTCTGGGCAAAACATATTCCTTTGTCAATGCGAAAGAATCCATCTTGTGTTCTCATGCCAGATGCTGTTGAGTACCACCAAACTTCAGGACACCTATGACGAGGCTTCGATAGAGGCTCCTATGCATACAACATGGGAAAAATGGGTAGCCCAGGAGACTCGCCGGCGAGCCATCCAGTGTGCGTTTTGTATCTTTCTCCTGAACCTTGGGTCCAAAGTCGAGAATAACAGCTAACGCCCTACGCAAGTACTGGACTCCCTGGCGCTCATCTTTTGTAACCTTCAGCCCGTCTTCCAAGCAAATCAACTACCAATGATCGAGCCCTGTGCCGACAATCTCTGGAGGTCCCACACTGCGGAAGCCTGGAGCACAGAAATGGCCGAGGCAACGGGTCAGTTTCCAACCCCGTCTTTTTGGAGGTCTGATATGCTGACATCGTAATAAAAAGCCAAACCTCGGGGGTGTAGTGTTCAAAGCAGAGCCCCTCAGAATTTCGACGGTTTTTCTAGCAGTTTCGCACTGGTTGTAGCTTGCATGCAGGAGAGACAGCTTCTTATCTCCCTTGTTGGCCCCAACAACCATCTCGAAGCTTTTGCGATTGAAAGCTCTCTGGGTGGGGCTCACTTACGTTCTTTTGGATCGTCCTTAGCCCAGTCTTTCGCCGACACCAAGCTTCGTCGTCTCAACGATGAAATCGAAAGCTTGACAGAACGGTTCATTTCCTTTGATGCAGGAGGTCGTGGGGAAGTAGAAGGTCGCAATAAGGTTGCCTCTCTCCTCTTTCACACAGCGTCAATCTTCAGGCATGTCTCTTTCCAAGCTTTACTTCGCCTATCAGGTTGGCATTCATCCACCGCTGAGATGGAGAATGCGACAGGCGAATTAGAAGGCTGGGTTCTTCGTAATCCTGGAAGCTCTAGGAAGTGCCTTTCTCATGCTGCAGCTATCTTTGCTCAGTTAAGATCCACTCGTCATCTCGCATGCATTGATCGATTGGCTCTCATCTCGGCCGTAATCTATGTACGCCTTTATGACCTCTCCAGGACGCGGGCACCCATCAACTTGGCCGGGCTATCTAGCCTGTTGTCTCATACCTGGGAGTAGACGTCCCATTCATAGACCGAGGACAAAGTGGGATCCCGACTCCGTCCCAACATAAGGTTACCGTTGCATGCGATCCACATCATTCCGATAACTCCACCAGCCCGAACTGAGTGCTTCACTAGGTCTATGCTATTCCAAAATTCTGCGGCGCGATTACTAACTAAGTTCCTATGCGGGTCAGTCTCGTGGAATTTCTGTCTCCAACGGAATTTGTTCAGTCACCATTTTAGACAGCTTCCAGATCCCTCCGTGGACCCTGGGCTTTCACTCGAAAGTCCAATTGAGCCTACATAATACTACATAGTACTCCTGCTAGCTGATCTTGAGGCTAGATTTATCAAGCCTTCGCCTACAGCAATTTAACCTAGAAGAGAACAAATCCAACGACAACCTGCACTGTGAAATTGGGCTATGTCGATGTTCACTGCCATTTAATTCCTCCAGACTACCGGAAGACAAGAAATGGGCGGTACCGACGACGGCCTGTACGGGGGCCTTACATTGGGGTGATAGAGATTTGACGTTGCAACTCAATACTTCGTCCAGGTGTCAAATATTCGCCGCCAGATTAAGGGACTCGTGTGGGCGTTTGAATCGGACACATGATGTGCCCGGGATGTCGGCCGATACTAGTAGACATATTGGGATCCCACAACCCACGGACTGAATCCGGCTTGGCACGGCGGAAATCCCGAACAGGCGTAGGCCCCTGGATCAATTGTAGTCAATGCCCAGGGTAGTAGCCCGCCAATACGTCGGGATCCCACACCTGAGTCTTGACAACTTGCATTCCTTCTGCCGGATGGTGCCCACCAGTAGAAACTCTACTGTTGTCATCACTATCACTACTTTTGCCCTGGCTATGATACATGTAGCTACTCCTACCCCTAGTTGGCTGGAAACCTTTCTCTCTTGTTTCTTGTATTGCGCACAAGTACTTTAGGTATTCCAACGGAGTTGAGATGTATCAGTGCCGTCCATTGTTTTATCGCCCACACGCTATGTCGTCGGGATCCCACTGCTGACCGCGGGGTGGATGATACGGCTCGGCACTTGGGGGGAAAGTGTGGGGTCCAAATGCTCCCGTCCTCACTTGCACATGGCAGATTTAGGGTATGAACCATTGTTGAGTGTATCGTATTTATACTCTTTACTTAAGATCATAAACTATTCAACTGGCGTCGCACCTGGCAATAAGAACTAAGTTGAAGTCTGAAGAAAATGTAAGGTAGTGGGAAGTATTAGTCATCGGGGCCAAGTGGTCAATCATTACGCTCATGTAACTCGGAGACAAACTCTCTAAAGCATCTCACTATGTCCGTTTCATCATCAACCCGGGGTTGTGACCTTTCATAGCGAGCTTTAGAGATGCAATGGACAAGACATCAAGCACCGCTGCAAGCTCTAGGGAGACCAAGTCCGTTCAAAGCAAGCGCAATTTGCGATCTCGTTGCACTGCTAATACTGTAGGCCAGAAAACTGCGCAATCGTCTGTCACAGCAGGCATTTCGACGCCGCAGGGGCGACCTGATCCGTGATCTCCGCGAACGAGCGGATGATAACCACACAAATGAGAGCGAACCGTTGGCCAAGACGCGACGGAAGATTGCTGCCCTTCGAGAATAGCTCGCAGAAGCTCATGCCAAGCTCAATGGCTTGCTCACCGGCGTGCAAGCGCTGGTGCTAAACACTGCTCCAAGACTTGAAGACGCAAACGACGCAAAGTCCTCCAATGACGACGCCTCTGCTTCGAAAACCATTCTGTGTGATCAGACTGTATCGGCAGAGCTTCCATCGACTCCCCAATCTTTTGCACCAGCATTATGGCCTACAACCCTGGCTATCTAGTATGAGACTTGGTATAACTAAACGGCAACAAGCAGACGATGCAACCAGCCGACGCAAACCTGAGCCATGAGGCCGAACCTCAACCAATCTCCGACCCTGGAGGAGGAATGACCTCGTGGGGAATGACTCAACAAAAACCCAACATTTGGTCATTCGATTACCAAATGGGACCGAATGTCTACCATAACGCTCTAGTCTCTGCCCAAGACCTGAGCTCCTCGCGGCACCAGATCTGGGTCAACTCGAACTCCTCATTCTCTGACCACATCAACTTTATACAATAAGAAATCAAGCGCACAACGGAACCACCCAGAGCGCAATTATCTACGCCATTGTTAGCGATGCCATTTCTCCACCGTAAAGCATCGTTTCCAGCTAACGGATTTCAGGCTCTATCTAGCCACGACTTCAGCCCTATCCATGTTCCACACTATTTCCCGGGAGGATGTGATGGCATGGAATACTAAAACGAGGTTTTATCACACCCGCGACATTACTGTGTGGAAAATCCGCCCTTCCGAGGAAACCTTCAACAGGCTCCATGCGCAGTACCGGCCAACTCTGCTCCAGTTGCAATGTAGCTACCCTGCGGTCATTTATTGGCTTCCTTTCCCCTCCATTCGTGACTGCCTTGATCGATTTCATGCCAGTGATCCTTGTCTTGATGAGGTTATCAGCGACATCGTCGGCATGTACGTTATCGAAGCTCTACTTAGCGAGTTGGTCATTGACTCGCCTCCTCAGCGGGTGTACATCAAAGGGGGACATCGTTCAAGCGATGGGAACAATTGACGAGGACTCCAGCGAGGGGCCGGCACCTTTGCCAACGTCTTGGGCCACAGACGCAGTTCTCATTCCCAGTGTTGCCCTGGCCGTCGCGAATCATCTACAGATCGAGAGCCGGTTGGACAGATATAAACCCGATCCAAGGCTTTTCATTAAACATCCCGAGTTCCTTGACGGCGCTAGGGAACTCATGGCACAAGGTGCGCCGCTTCAGTCAGACTTTTCATCGTACCTTTCTTTCCCCTCCTCAATGAACAACAAGACGGCCTCTTCATATCGTAACTTCATAGCTTTCACTTGTTTTGACGTATATGAATGCCAAGAGTGACGCCACTTCAGAATTGTTTCGTCGACTACTAAGAAAATTGCCCCTTTCCTGTTGCACCGTGAAAGTGATACGAAAGTGATACAAAAGATCGTTATATCGCCTTTGGCCGTCGTTCAATGGTGATCCACATCTCCTCGAAGAAACTGACGCCTCCCTTCACTACGTACTTCCCAGGCTGGCTCCTGTTAAGTATCTCTGGCTTGAACGTCCTAAAGAATTGAAGGGGCCCTTTCAACAATTCCATCATTGCAAGATCTCTGCCCAAGCAAACTCTGGCTCCGTAACCAAAAGCCATATTATACTTGAGCATCTCCTTCGTCTTCTCCTCACTCTCTAACCACCGCTCCGGTCGGAACTCACTGGCATTGGGGCCGTAGATATTCTCGTCACGATGGACAAGCCAGGGGTTGCAGGTGACTTCGGCACCTTCAGGTACATGCATTCCGTACAGCTCCATGCCACCTTTCCCGGCAAGACGAGGGAATATGTTGGGTGCTGAGGGGTTGAGGCGCATGGCTTCGCGGATGCACGCGACGTAGAAGGGGCAGTGATGTTGAACTTCTGCATACTGAGGCATCTCCGAAAGATTACCAGCTCGGGTCTGCTCGTCAATCTCGAGCATGAGACGATCGTAAATTTCAGGGTGTGTCATGATGTGCATCATGAAAGCTTGGAATGCAGTGCCAGTGGTATCAGCTCCAGCAAGCAAAACGAGAAGAATTTCGGCTTTGATGTAGTCCAGGTCTAGAGGGTTTCCGTCTTCGTCGCGGGCTTCGATGAAACTAGATGGATGTCAGCAGTCGAGCTGATGTTGAGAAGGCCATAGGTGATCCTCTATCTGCACTGTATACTGACGTTTGGAGCAAGTCGATTCGGCCGTCTGTTGTCCCTTTTTCGATGTCTTTGAATCTCTGGGCGATTAAACCATCCCGAAATCTCATTAGAGTACCGATTCCAGAGTCCTGTTCCGGGGATGCAACTAAATATTTCCCCAAAAAAGTGCTCTTGACCCAATTCGTGAACGGATAGCAACGCGCTAAAATGCCGAACGGCACGAGGCCATCGTGGAATCCTTGAATAAGTCCCTCGACGTCTTTCCCTTGTTCTATGAAACCGAAAGGCTGGCCAAAGCCGACTTCGGAAACAATATCATAAGCAAGGTATACCGCCCATGGAGCAAAGTCCATCTTGTTGCCGGAACTGGCGAAGGCGTCCAGTCTAGAAATCCAGCGCTCAATGTGCTTATCCAGCAGAGGCTCCATCTTCCGGATATTTGAGAAGGAATAAGGAGCCGCGGCGATCTTTCGGAAGCGGGCATGAACCACATGGTCTTGCATGTTGAAAAGCGATTCACTCTTACCGAAACTGCCCGTGATGTAGTGTTGTGACTTGTTGGCGTTTCGGTGGTAAATCTCCGGCAACTTGGTTGCGTCGCTTACGAGCAACATGGTGGGCGTGATGCGAATGACGGGCCCTGAGACTTAACGTCAACCTCCAGATTTTTTGAAACACTTTATAGCCTCGACTTCTTTGACCAAGAAGACATTGCCTTCCTCACTTTCCTGGCGTCTCGGTGCTCACTTACCATACTTCTTGTGAAGCGCCTGATTCACCCGACACTCATCCTCCTTCACATTGTGGTAGGTAATCCAAAGACGAGTGATGGAACCCCAGAATGGGCCGGGAAATTTGGCCAGTGGATGGAAGAACCGATAATACACGAATTGGTAGAGTACCTTCCACAAGACATACGCTACAGAGAGCAGCAAGATATTGCCGAAACTCAGCAAAGCCATCGCGAAAGAAATGACTGATAAGTTGCAAACGTAGTTGAAAGAAGCTCATTTATCTGGAAGTTTTCTGGTTCATATTGACTTCACGTTACAGATCCGACCAAAGTCCCCAAATCGCTGATCTGCCTCCGCTTTCAGTGCTGGGCCTGTTCAAGTGGAGGCCTGAAAGTCGGTCTTACTGGGCCCCTTCAACGGCGCCATCGTCTCGTGGGCCAAGAGTGACGGGCATAGTCCGCTTGATGTTGCATCCACTTGGACTTGCTCGGCACCATTCCCCGCCGCTAAGAAACGGCCGGCTAACCACAGCGCAGCTATTTCTACGGACACAACGTAATTATGGAAACGTATCGTGGCGAGCAACAGGGACCATGACCGACATTTATTGAAGGATTCCCATGGTTGTCAGAATGCTGGGGAGTGGTATGGGTGCGCACCTATCAGAGGAATTGATGATTCATCCTGGCAGGGCCACTGGAGACAGAAGTGGGAGAGAAAAGCGTGAACAACGGTTACATGCGCTTGGCCTTTACGCCCGGAATTAGTATGGCGGCCGCCCACAAGTGGCACATGCTCCAGCTTAGAAGTCAAAGGTACGAGTAATTCCCTATCACTCGCTGGGCAGGCATGCAAGCCAGGCATGCAGGCCAAATACCCTCTCGCCTCAAGCATACACCTGTAGCTTAAGTACCCACGCTGAATGCCCACGTAGATACCGCCTCAAATTCTTGGAATCCGCTTTCTTCTATTACTATGTATCAGTGTATTGTATGCGATGATTGGTGTACAGCCTGCGAGAGCTTTCGTCTTGAGAATTCTATCTGTGGCCATACATGTAGTCATACCCACATATTCGGCCAATAGAGCTACTCATCCCGCAGTTACTGGAGCACTGCCATGAAACAAGCCATCTTCTGTATCTCTTAACATTCATCAAAGCCCCTTCTGTCAGATATATCGCGCCAATGAGGGAACTCAGTCGAGAACCCAGTCGAGTGTGCGACGTGAGGTGGTCCCCGTCACCATGCAATCACCTGACCTGTCTCCGTTACCAATTTTCCGGACGTGGAGTCACGGCTCGCTCCATCGATGACCTGTAGAACTCCAGTGACAGAGCTTTCGATCGTATCAAGTCGATTTACATCGAAGTTCCACCTCTTCGCCGCATCTTCACCCATGGAAGTTCGCACAAACCCGGGGTGAACAGCCACACTAACCAAGTCAGGATGTTGTATATGCAACGATTTGACCAACCAATTTAGCGCGGCCTTGCTCGGACCATAAGCACCTGATGGAAGAGGCTCTTGTTCTTCGATGGATCCAATTGATGATGTGATTCCGATAAACTTAGCAGTGGGGCCGTCCACCCCTCTCGGTCTATCCATCAGCGGCCAGAGACCTTGGAATACCATCAAGGGTGCAATGGTGTTGATTTCAAATAGGCTCCTTAGATCCTCGGCAGTTGTTGAAACTGACGGCGATGCTGAGGTGCTTACGGCGGCGTTGCTGATGAGAACATCAACCCAAGTGACTGCACCGCCAGTCGCTGAATCAAAGGCTTTGCGGACGGCGGTGGGATCAGGGGCGACATTGAAGTCAAGCAATAGGACAAAAAGCTCGCTACTTTCGCCAATATTTACATCTTGAACGCTGGACTTCAGTGAAGCAGCAGCTTGATCGTTTCTGACGGAAGCAACAACTGTTGTGGATGATCTCGCCAACAAGGTCTTGACTAGGCCAAGACCGATGCCTTTATTGGTTCCAGTAACGACATATACGGTGTTCGGCATTGTCGGATATGGATGAGTTTGTACGTAAAGACTGCAAAGCCCGCGCACTGAATATGTTAATCGGGAAATTGACGATCTAAGTTGTTTGGCAAACAGGTAGTTGGTGCGACGTGAGAGTATGTGGTAATAGGGAAAGTGGACGACAAAAAAGCAAGCTGAATCGCAGGACGCGGCATCCACTATTAAATAGATAACAGTTTGGGAAGGATCGGGGCAGAGGGTCATAAAGAACACGTGAACCCTTTAGGGCCAATCCTTCGACGATATCGCGTCAGCAAAGAACACAGATTGCGTGCTGTCTTATTTCATATGTATGTTCCACATCACACACTGTATTTACATCCACGATGACTCTAATTCGTCTATATTACTAAGACGTTGGCATTCCATGAAACTTCTTCGTCACTGATTAAACCAATAAATGGGCTTTCTCATGAGCCGCATCCAAACCTCCTGCGAATCCATCAGCAATTAGTAATGCTTCTAGACGCTCTTCCTCAACCTTGTCCCAAGTCCACCCTCCGACCTCATCTGCTTCTGGTGTGATGTATGCAATGGTGCCTTCAGGTTGATCCTCAGACGGAAGAACTCCTGCCGCCCTGAAAAAGTTCTGTGGAGGCACAGTGAGACGACCGGCTTTGACAACGCATTTCGAGATTGCTGTCGCATAGACAACAGGTGAACCCTGGATAGCTCTTCTGTCACCTGCCTCCTCCCACGGCTGGTAAATAGGCAACTCGGCCCCCTTCCGCTTTTCCACAAAATGGGTCACAACGTAAAGCCACTTCTTATCCCAGGTGAGTATTCGGCTTTGCATGTCGAAAGTAGCACCTGGCTTGATTTCCTTCTTGAAGGTGCAGGAGGTGCCTGCGAGCAGAATTTGGACGCCTTTCTTGTACTCCTTGTACAGTCCACCGTCAATTGCCTGAGCTCTCAGAGCGGCGAGCAGGTCCGTCCTAGCCACATCCAGGTCGGAGAAATAGGTGCTATTGGACTTGTGCAAGTTGTAGTCGGTCTCAAGCAGAGCAACGCGAGAAGGTGTAACCACCGGTTGGAAAATAGCTCCGGGTTGGTGCTCGAAGAGGCCATTCTTCGGCCACCAGATGTGGCTGAAAACGCGAAGCTAGCTTTCAACATTAGGGCTGGCCTCTTCACATCATGGGCAAATTCTTTCTCTACTCACATGCCAACAAACGGGAACCTCTTCAGGTTCAGGTAGAGCAGTGCAGCTGTAACGACTCCCCATGCTGCCTGGGCTTTGTTTGGGGCGACAGATTGTAAGAGCTGCTCGAGGATGCGACGAAGGCCTGGCTTAGTAGCCCCCAGCATATCTGTCATTGTTCCACGTAGCGTCGATTGTATCATGTTGATTACGTCTGTAGATTGCCGTGTAGTAGAGAGTCGAACTAGTGAAGGCTGGACTCCAGGTTAAGCCAGATGGCCTCGGAGTTGGTCTTGAGCTTCAACGTGGCCACACGAGTCAGTTGCTTAGCAGTTTCGTTGCAGCGAGTCAGTCATCTTGGCTTGATGCTCTCGGACACTGCCAAAGGTAACAATACAACGGGTCCTCACATATCAATTCACAGCGCCTATCTCAAGTGCGTCTGTACGATGAATGCAATGTGTGAGTTTCACCGTAGCATTTGCAACTGTTGCTTCGATGGGCTTGAGATCTTGGGTATTAATGAATCGATGCACTTACGCGTTTCCCGTGCCCTTGCGTGTATGGTGCACTGTCTTTGTCTCTGGAAGGATGAGCTTGTCGGTACCTCGAAGTTTGGGCCGGTGTTCGCCTTAAGGTAGTACGGAGTACGGAGTGTGTATCGGAGCTGCTCGAAGTATGTGGGGGCGACCGGTGCCGGAATTCCTGTTCGGGTCCGATCGCGAGGTGAAGACTGGACATTTCGGCCGAGGTTTTAGGAACCCCATCCAACGCGTTGATTTGCCTCAAGTCAAATAAACCAACCACTCAAACCATCGAAGTTTCTACGCTCTGATAACTATTGATTAAAACATAATTGAATTGTTTTCCTTCTACAGACAGGGTAAGTGGTAACGTGTGGTGTCCATGTGGTAGTTTGCGGTGATGCAAAGGAATTCTCCCGGCCGTTTTCAAAATCGAAGCACGAGCAGATACCGAGTTGGGACACAGGAGCAGTTCGCAACCCCGTCTTTGGTATCCTAGACTTGGCTGTTCCCCGTCACGAAGATTCGCTGTCATGAAGGTTCGAAGAGTGTTTGGAGCCTCAATATTCGACCCTGGGCAATGGTTCTTATTCGAGGAGCAACGAGCAAGGCGAGTCTAAGTTTCCCGCATGTTCAGTCAGCGGCACTTATTTGCCGGTTCTGAGGCTGCATATCCGGTGATGGTTTGGCTGCGATCGGAGAGTGGTAGAGAATCGAGTGTGGAAAGATTTGCTTGTGCATTCGTCCAATTTCAGGGCAAGTAGCGAGCACAGACTCCATGTGTACTGGTTGAGCAGATCGATTTGTCGGAGGTCCATAGATGAACGAGCGTTCGTCCATGTACATGTAAGTAAACAATGCACTAATAATCCGAGGAGAGACAATGTGCTGCAGATCGAGCTGTGCGTGCTCTGCATAACCCTCGGGAATTTACGAAAAATGGCACATCAGACACACCAACGATCTGCGCTGCCAGAGCTAGCCTAGCACACACACACCGCGCCTAAAAACCTACTAGTACATCAAGGCAGGCGAAGTCTGGACTTGGCCAGTTGTCTAGCACACGGACTGATAGAATACCTAGCCAGGATGACAGCAGACTACACGCGTCAATGAACTTGAGCGTGTTGGTTCCACGAGCCTTTTGTCAAAGCACAAGGTAAAGGGCTCATCGCCATGGCCCATCGGTTGTCCGTCTACACCTCGCCCAGTCTTCTCCACGTTACTTCCGGTCCGCTGAGCTGACGCTCCACGCGGCCAACGGACGCCCCTGACAAGTGCCGTCATTTTTAGCGGCACAACGCATCGGCCGAGGATCCAAGTGCCAATCATCAACACAGGCTCATTTCGGTAGAATTCGGTGTGGTTGCCAACGGAAGAGCCGCAGCGCTTCGGCAGAGGCGATCTTCCCACCCTCCATGACGCAAAATTGGCCAGGCACAGGCCCAGCAAGTTCTCCCGTCTTGGCCTTGAGCCGACTTGCCGATTGTTCGTGGGGAACTTAAGAGCCCCATCCCATCCACATTGCCCATTCGGTCCAGCCAGTCGCCTAGTTCGAGACAAGACATTTGCTCTTGACGTCAACAGAACAGGGAAGTTAGCGGGAAAGGAGGCCTACCACTTTTTCCGGCCCCTCAATGATCTCACTTATGGCTGGACGCAGCTAGAAGCTACCCAAACTGGACCAAAACGTCAAAACAGCGGAAGCTATATGAGCTCTGTGCAGCTGCCCAGAATGTTGGGATGATTCTAGGTTTTGCTCCACTCTGATTTTCATCCCCTAAAGTGCGGAATCTATCTCATAACAATCGTTTGCGCGACACGATGGCTCGCCAACAGAGTCTGAGCTCCAAACTCATCCAATTGCTGCCCTTTGTTGCCTACTCTTCAGCATCAGCATTGTACTCCACCTACAGCTTTAACCCATTGACGCATCTTGGTGGCATTGCACCGTATTTCGAATCACAAGACCCTCAATCATCGCCCGACGCGCCACAGGGATGCAAAGCGGATCGCGCAGCCTATCTCGTGCGCCATGCAGCCATCTACGCAAACGACTTTGACTTCGAAGAGTACATCGAGCCCTTCCTCGAAAAGCTAGGCAACAAGACGAGCATCGAATGGAGCAAGATTCCCTACCTGAACTTCTTGGCGGGCTGGGAGGCACCGATATCTGAGGCCGAAGCCGAGATCTTGACTCGGGTCGGGAGACTTGAAGCGACTCAGCTCGGCGTCGACCTCGAGTTTAGATACCCCAAGCTCAGACTCCCAAAGAGGGTATGGACCTCTTCCGCAGAGAGGACAGAAAAGTCTGCGCAGTCCCTCGTGCGCGGGCTCGAGACTGATGATAACACCATGAACGTCGTCAGCATCTACGAGTCGGAGGAGTCCGGCGCAGACAGCTTGACGCCGTACAAGGCCTGCCCTGCCTACTCCTCCTCCGCAGGTAGCAAACAGTCCGCCGTCTACCAGGAAAAGTTCACGAAACCCATTATCGCCCGCTTCAATGACCTGGCTCCCGAGTTCAACTTTACTACCAATGACGTCTTTGGCATGCAGCAGCTCTGCGGATACGAGACTGTCATCCGCGGCAAGTCTCCTTTCTGCAACCTTGAACTCTTCACTCCCGACGATTGGCTCGCATGGGAGTACACGGAAGACGTACGCTACCATTACAACGTCGGTTACGGAGCCGAGGCCTCTGGATATGTCGGCTTGCCCTGGCTGAACGCGACCGCGAACCTGCTCATGGGTGACTCGAGCGAGGAGGATATCTACGTTAGCTTCACTCACCGTGAGCTGCCTCCCATGGTCATCGTCGCGATGGGTCTGTTCAACAACTCCGAGTTCGGTGGCAGCGAGGCCTCCATCAACGATACCATGCCACTTGACCGCATCAACTACCGCCGTGCATGGAAAGCCTCTAGCATCCTGCCATTCCTTGGTAACATTGCCATTGAGCGTCTGAACTGCACTGGGGCCTACGGGTACGACAACGGCGATTACTACCGTGTTCTGGTGAACAGCGCACCTCAACCACTTCCCGACTGCGCCGATGGCCCCGGCACTTCTTGTTCAAGGAAGGGATTCGACACGTACTTGCAAGACAGAGTTGCCCAGTTCTCTGGCTTCTCTGAAAAGTGCGGTGTCGAGTACAAAAACAGCACCGATGTCCTGTCGATTTACACCGATGCCAGTGTTGGCAACGGAACCGTTGTGGACAAGCGTTATACGCCATTCGCGTAATCACATGTTCCACTACCTGTAATCCTAGTATTAAATAATTAATGTCTCAAATTTGGTTCAAAGTTCTGTCTGTGAAAGTCCAACGTATTTTCTTCCCTTATGTTTCCATAAGCCAGTGGAAAGTAAGGTGTCAAGTCTGGTTTCTAACGCCGGATACCATGCGGGTAACCCACGACCGCAACCAATGCCATACCCTCCGCGCTGTTACTGCCCAGGACAGAATGTAAAGAACAGTCCGGTCGGTGAATCTGGAAGTGTCGATTATCTAAAGGTGCTCGAATGTTACCAACTGCAAACTCCCTCTATCTTCCGGGTTCTTCCCATTGTCGCAAGACGCTTACCATTGGATTCTTGCCTCCGCTCCTCTTCACCCACTCAAAGGCTCGAGGAATGATAGTCTCTTCATACGCCTCGCAAGCTTTGGATATGTCATCTTCGTTCAATCCTTCCGCCGTTCGTGCCGTCTCTGCCAAGCGAACTAGTAACGGCAAGGCATCGGCTGTATCTCGCATGGCTTGGTTGCCGCCCATTCCCCTGTTCATGTTACCTAGCTGAGTTGACAGTTTGTCTGAACTTGTCGACTTACTTACCTCGAAGGGAACATGGAATGCATGGAATCTCCTATGAGCCAGATATGAGGGTTTCCAAGCCGTTTATCACTTGCTGAGGCAAATGATTTACGCCAGTTCATCGACGGACGAGAAGACACTCTTGGAACTCCAGAGTACATCTCCTGACCCCGGAAGACCCCGATGATATCTCGACTGTGGAGCATATCATGTCAGTCATAAAAGCCCAGTCCGAAGCTTGCGAAGGCTTCGTGAAATCCTTACTGTTTTGGAGACCAATCTTCAAACAGCTGGTCAACAACATCCCACTTTTCTGCTTGATTCAAAGCCTCAAAGCTACATGTAGCTGCCATACGGTCGACGAAGAATCCAACACCGAGCATGCATGACGCGAGTTCTTCTTCATTTTCTGCGTCCGAGTTTTGAGGGCGAGCTGTCATACCACCGGGCAAATAGACTGAGAAGACAGCAATCAATTTTGGTCTCAGTTTAGAAGCCTCTAGTCATTATGAAGCATTACCTTGGAAATAGAGTGTCTTGCCATCGTGCAAGGTGACGATGGGTGAACTGAGATCTGGTGACAGTCGGCGGCAGACTGACAAACGAAGATCACATCTAGTCAAGAACGACCTGAAAAAAGTCAACTCTTCGATATTGTTCAGTCCCAAGAGACTGTTGATCTAGGAAGAGTGAGCAACTATTACCAATTTGACGAATGTAGGAGCTTTGGGTAAGTTACACGTGAGTTATTGCCATCAGCAGCAATCAAAATGTCGCAAATATCAGTGGTGCCGTCATCGAAGATCAACTCAACAACATCGCGCCCGGCTTTGTGACGGATCTTGTAGTCCACGAATTTCTTTTGATAATGGATCTTGCCCATTCTATCGAGCGGCTCGCGAAGAGCATCCTGTAAGATAACGCGGCTGATAGGCGAGGACTCCGTGTAATTCGGATCTCTCCCTGGTTCAAGAATTTTCCGAAAGTGCTTGTCGTACAAAATTGGTGCCTGTGATGATGCCGACCGGCCAAAGTTCTTGAAGATCGAGTTCATAAGGTCCTGATCGAGACATGCCCGCATTCCTATGAACGTAGCTTCGCCCAAACGGATCTGATAACCTTCTCTTTTCGACTTCTTCACCTGTCGTTCATAAACCTCGAAGTTGACATTGTGTCGGGCTAGCCCGTTCGCCAGAAGGCTGCCAGCGAGACCCCCGCCAACAACGATCACTTTGAAAGGAGGCTGTGCGGCGAAGTTGCTCATTGTTGCGATTGTGAAATTCCGAAATGCAATTGTTAGGAGTGGGACGAAGTAAGCATGAACAACTACCGTATCCTACTTCACATCAACCAAGAAGGTTGTCACAGATAAGCATCCGAGTATATAGCCGGATAGTCTACTCTTCAAGCATTTGAATACCGAAGAAGTCCAATGACGATCTCTTAACCATAGTGCCTGATTCCAGCGACTCGGCAGTCCAGATTCCCGAGACCACCGCTTCGGTCAAGAGTGTTCGCCGAGTACCGACGCCGATTGCCTGACATCCTAAGGTTTTCAAGGATAAAGATCATCTGAAGTTCGACTTTGCAACCTTCCCCGCTACTCTCGACTGGCAGATCCTGAGGTCTCATCATCGGATGATTGTATAGCTCGCATGATTGGCCGTAGCGATAGCTAAAAGGCGAGATAGGCCGGGAATTGATTGCCTAGAGGCGGCATTGACAGCCGAGTTTCAGAACAAATGGCACTTTGTACGGAATGACTTGGCTGCGAGATCAGTGGCCAAACAACAACTGGCGACACAATGATGGCAGGATGGATTCCACTCCCGACTACTGAACAGGGTTCATAAAGGAACCTTGTGCAGTTAAAGTAGGTACCTTACCTTGAGATCTCAACAATATTCACTGACCGCTACACAAAATGCATTCCCAAGTTGTCAATCCATGAGTCCTCCGCTGAATCAGCACCCTGATACACTTTCGTAGCTCGTAAAATGAAGGAGGTATCTAACTTCTAGTCACTGCAGGTAAGATCTGGGCAATAAAATATAAACCGTCATGCATGGCTTATACCAATACTTGAGTGGTGCGGTCTTCCTAGTCTCTTCATTTGAGAGAATTTCTGGCTCACGTGTTTCGGGGCAACTGGAGAACAAGTCATCATCCTCTATCATGTCTACACGGACCAACGGAGCCGTAGAAACTTGGGCTTTGGCGGTTTTGTTTTCCTCTGACGGGCCGTATATTATAGCCACAGCCTAGGTCCGGGTACGAAACCCGAATTTCCCATGTTGGAAGACTTATCTACTTTCTACGATTGATGGAATCTCGATTCCAGGTTCAATTCGCCTATTCTTAGTGTTGCGCGGCCCTGTTGGCTCAACGACCGCTCAATTCTGGAGAATCCTCATCGGACTCACGACCAGCGTGCTCCAAGAAATGGAACCAGTAGGATCTAGACTTTTCTTTTGTATTGAAGTACGTAACAGGAGTGGATCGTTATCAGAAATTGAGAAATCTGTTCCTTGACATTACTATCTCGGCGATCTTGCTCTTAGTTTCGCTGATGATACTCAAATACATTGACCACCGGCGTCGGCCGCAGCCCGCTGTAACCCCCATGCCATAAGATTCTTTACTAATACATCTACATCCATGGAGAAGCTCGGCTTGATAGTGGATATTCCACCATTCACCTGCATGCAGATTCTTGTTGTGCCGGCGTTTATCCCCTTCTTGGCGACAGCTGAGAAGGGAGGCACTGCAGCACGCAACTTCGACCCCTACGCGGGATTCCCGCAATGGAGCCCGACGTTGAATTGCGCCATCACCACTAACGTATTGTTACGTACCATTTTTCTATTTTCCAGCTAAAAGCGAAATGATGTTGGTTCGAGGTGCCGACCATCGGCATACAGTCTACCGTACCCAATTACCGACTGCAATCTGGGCAGCGACTACATTGAAGATTAACTGAATATGATTCAGTAAGCGAGTATCCGCAGCTGAGGATTAGACTGTTAAAGAGCTAAATTTGATAACACTTCCGTGCTATGGTGACACGGGAACATATGTCAAATTGAGCTGAAAGCTATATCCGAATGAACTGAACGCTAAAGCTTTTGGTAGTTCGTCGCACTCAATTTTTCCTTGTTCTCAATGTTGACATTCTTATTTCTACAAGTCGACTGGTTGGGAATATTCGCCATGCTGGTGACAGTTGTTGTCATTGCTAGACCCTGTTTATTCCATGGTCCCCCACCTCGGAGCATGGTTGTGTCATCCGCCCCTTGGATGTTGAAATCGGGACCGGCCCGTTAGCGAACGCCTACCGGGCAGGTTACAACTTGAGCTTGTCGGCATCTAAAGCGGATGAATACCGCGCAGAGTCTAAACCTCTTCGGATAGAACCTCTTAGGATACTAAAAGTGAGAATGCAACGGAGAAAAATGAAAGCCATTGGTTTAAATAGGTAGGTGGAAGCCAACACGATTTCTTTGGAGAGCACACCATGCAGCACCCTTGATCGAGACCTGTCCGTCTGACACCGCCGGCTCAATTTCACCGGAAGATTACTTTCTCGAGGCACTATACTCAGCCCTACCCGTTTCTTCGTGTCTTGGTACTCGTTTCAATGGCTTGGCGACGTCCGTTTGGCGAACGCGCTAGCGCGCAAGGGATGGCTGTTATAGGTCAACGAGAGCAGATCTCGAATGGCAGCACCCAGTACATAGGCGAGAAAGGAGGCAACGATGCGCCGCCTACCTATCAAGATGCCTCTGGAGCGCCTGTCGAGAATAATTCGCCCCTGGGATACGATGTTGGCCCCGTTACGATCACACTACTGAACATCACGATGATGATTGGCGCGGGTATCTATTCTACTCGTAAGTTCAAATAATTCAATGTCTCACGAATTCGATACTAAATCTCAATAGCCGCTTCTATCTTGAATGGTACTGGCTCCGTCGGTGTCAGCTTCATTTATTGGACCCTTGGCTACCTGGTACGTTTATACGATCGATGTCACAGAGACTAGCATGGCACTGAGGGAAGAAAGACTGACCATGTTCACCTCTAGCTGTGCCTTGCATCCGGAGCGGTATATCTCGAATTCACGGCGTACTTCCCCAGTCGATCAGGATCTGAGGTTGTCTTCCTTGAACAAGCCTATCCCCGCCCCATGTGGTTGTTTCCAACTACATTTGCTGTCCAGAGCGTCATTCTCTCTTTCGGAAGTGCCAACGCTACCGTCATGGCAAACTATCTTATTGCCATCTCAGGATATGAGGGCACCAACTGGCAAATCAAGGGCACCGCCCTGGCCTGCTACAGTCTGGCCACATTGAGTATTGATTCCCACACGCGACCTTATCCAATACGAGTTCGTCACTGACCACTTACAGCTCTGGTTTTCAACACAAAGTATGCATACTGGTTCTCCAACGGTGTTGGTATCGTGAAGATCTGCACCTTGCTTTTTGTCATCATCACCGGTTTCGTCGTACTCGGTGGTGGCACCCGAGTTGAGAATCCGACCGCCAATTTCCAGGATGCCTGGTCCGGGAGCAAGACAGCTAGCGCGTATGGCATGACAACAGCTCTTTACCGCATTATTTTCTCCTACGGCGGCTATAACAATGCTTTCAATGTCGCTAACGAAGTTAAGGTATGTTCCACTACTCAAGAGTCAGGCCAGACCAGACTAACGCTGATCTTCTTCAGAACCCTGTGAGATCACTCAAGATCTACGCAACGGCGGCCTTGACAACGGTGTATATCCTGTACATGTTTGCCAATGTTGCGTTCTTTGCCGCTGGTAAGTTAGCACCAGTCTTGGAACACTTTCACGTCAGGTCTGACTATGAGATACTGCAGTACCTAGGGAACTACTGGAGAAATCCGGCCTTACTGTGGCCAGCTTGTTCTTTACACAAGTCTTCGGCAATAGTGGCGCTGTCCGTGGACTCAACTTCTTGATCGCCCTAGCTTCCTTTGGAAACATGATTGCAGTCATAATCGGTTTGTCTCGACGCATCAGAGAGTGTGGTCGACAGGGTGTCTTGCCATACACGAGGTTCTGGGTTTCTACCAAGCCCTTCGGTACCCCTCTTGGACCTTATCTTGTCATTTGGTCTCTCACGGCTCTGATGATTCTGGCGGTCCCTGCCGGAGATGCATTTACCTTTGGTAGGTTTGACGGCTTACCTCATTGAGCGCTTGACATATATGACTGACGCTCAAAAGTGAATGATCTCGGAGTTTTCCCTTCAGCCGCCTTCAACTTGGCCATGGCTGTAGGTATCTATGTTGTCCGCTGGCGCCGTAGAAATGCCAACCTCCCGGAGCCTGAGTTCAGAGCTTGGCATGTGGTCATCATCTTCAATATCTGCATTCAACTCTACCTTCTCATCATGCCCTGGTACCCCCCGGCAGGTGGGCAATATGCCGGCGATGTCAGCTTCTGGTACGCGACGTACGCAGTCACTGGTGTCGGAATGTGAGTGGAAACCTTCCCCCAAGATCTCTTTCATCAGAGATCGCTGACCCTGGAATTCAAAGTCTCCTTGTCTGCGCGGCCTACTACTGGCTCTGGGCTTCCCTCCTTCCCAAGTGGAGAGGTTACAAGCTTAGGCAAGAGCTTGTCAGCTTTGATGACGGGGCTCAAAGCAATCAACTCCGGAAGATTCCCAACGCTGAGGTCTCGGAATGGGACAGCACTCACGATGCGAGTGGTCGCTTTATTGGACCATCTGCCGATGAGGCTCATGTGCATGAAAAGGGGATACGAGTCTCTTCCGAGGGAAGTCACTCTGATACCGGCAAACAAGTCCCAACCGCAGTGAGAGAAAGTCACGATGTCTGAATAGGCACGAGGATTGTACAAGAACAACTAGTACGCGGATGTACACAAGCTACCTAGTTTGGTAGGTGAAGCTATAACGCTTGGCTTTTCCCCGATGGCAATTATCAACGTTGGAAAGCGATTCATTCAATCATTACATGAAAGTATCACGATCTACTGAAGGCTACATCAGCGCAGATTTAAAAGGGGCTAGCAACAATTAGCAATTGACTCGATTATTTTGTATCAGCGAAACTGAAAAATCCCTAATGGAGGCCGGTAATTGCCACACCTTTGTGTATTCGCGACTCCCACCCTTTCTAACTTCGGGCTCCTTCAATTCCCTGCGCATCCGGGCATGTGTGTCCGATATGAACATTCCTCATGCGTCTTGGCGTCAGCTCAAGAGCAGCACACGCGAATCGCAATCTACCCATGTTTTTCCCCTGCTATCAACTATCGACTAGGTAAAATGACAAGGGATCACAATCGACGCGTTAGGCTGCTATGTCATCATGATCCTGTGTGCCGCTAGGCCAATCACACAAGCGGCGATCGCTACTGTATGCGCCCGGCCTCGGCCAGTGTGGCTGAATGACATCATGCAGCTCCCTCCCTTTATCAGAAGCTCGAGACGACGTTCCAGCTTTCTCTTGAGAGCCAATTTGCTTAGGAATTCTGCAGACACCAACTTGGAAACAACATACGAAATTTATTCTCCAGATTTACAAATCTCAGCAACCAATACCAACATCTTATATCTTCACAATGTTGAGCAACGCGATCCGAGGACGGGCCCTGCCCTTCATGGTGGCTGCCTCACGGCCAATGCCTCTTACCGCACGTACAACAGCCGCTTCCGGCGCCAGGTTTCTCAGCGACAAGCCTGGCCTCGAATCCACAGACATCAGGGACATTGCAGACGCCAAGAAGACAAACCCACCCCAGCCAAAGATTTCCAACGCCAGCGTTAATGGAGAGAAGCTTACAGAAGAGCAACAACGAGAGGTGGATGAGCACAACCGGGACTTTGAGAAGAAGCATGACACAGCACCAAGTGCCGAGGATGACAAAGTTGACAAGAATTTCTGGTCAAACAGAGATGGCGGCAAATGAAGGAGCTAGGCCGAGTCTGTGGAAGAGCCATCTTCTTGCTGGAAGAATGCCTTCCCCGGATTAATTACAGCAGTCGTTTCCTCTGTTGAATACTCTCAACGTGTACAAGTCATATAGTTTAGGCACATGGGTCGATGTGGGTCATTCCTTAAATGCAATTGCCAATGGGGAAAGCCACGACGTGCATGCAAGTATAGATATTTTCTTTCGTGCATATATACTCAAAGTACGGCACGAAAGATACCTAATTATGGCCTTGATCCTCCACCTCCACCAAGTAACTGGGAAATAATGACTGGGTACTCATAGGAGGGGGCCTATGTGCCAATGCCTCAGAGTCTCAGCTATCAGGCACCATCACTTGACCTATTGTTCAAGTGCCCCCGGGGGACCTTTTCCTCTCTCTTCCTATCAAACCAATTCTTTCATGCATACAAATTTGGGATTAATGAGCAACATCGCAGTGTGATGTTGGACTTTGGATGTCGCATTCTGACCGAGTGCTTTACTGCCGAGGTATTCCTCTCAGACATGGCCCCGGGTATCATAGGTCAAATAAAAGCATATCCGGGACTTCATATTCAAGTATAAACGCGAAGCAGGCATCTGTGCTGTACGATATTATGATATCCCGAGTCGGCCTAAAGTTAAACTCGGAGCATTTCGGCAGTTTGTTTCTGTAGACTAATTAATACTTCAGGTACTAGTAGACGGGCAAGCCCGCGTGCCAAGACTCAAGACGTATCCTAGAGACAGCCAAGTGTTTGATATTAAAGGGAATGAGCAACTGACGAGAACATAGCGGGGGTTTAATCATCTGTCTTCCGTGATCATAACAACATAATTTGCAAAGTTCCTGTGGTACGATTCTTCTCTCAACTGCGCATTGCGGCATCTAGAAAGGAGTAAAAAAGAACCTCATTCTAAAAAGGGACCGGCGAGTTGTTGAAGCATTTTGGAGTTCCCTCTGCGTTGATTCCTTTCTGGACTTGTATGCTCACATCGACACATCGACTCTTGTTCCACAGATGCGTACCCTAGTGCACTTCAATTGAAGTAGATGTTAGCGGCATGCAAGTTAATGCTTGCCCGGAGGGTTTTCAGATTGATCTATCGTCATAGAGACCGGTCACAGACATGATGCCATAGCATCCAGTTTACGTGATGAAACGGATGCCAATGCTCACTCTATTAAGCTTGAATGAAGTAAGGTTGCAAAATAAACAAATGGTCCGATGTTGATCAAACCGCATCACGCCGAGAAAAATTGCCGGCCTTGGCGTACGGGCTGTCAAGTGCCAACTGAAGTTGTTCAGTTTGATAGTTCAGCTTCGCAAGCTTATTTATAGTCACGGAGCCGATTAGAGTTCAAACAACGCCAAGAGGTAGCCCGAAGAGCCCAAGCCAGCAAGATTAACATCACGACTTCGAAGGTTTGAGCGGCGATCACGGGAGTTCCCCTCTCCTTAGAGTCTTGGCGGCCCTCAGCAGTGGCCACGTCCATTGAGCCCCACGTCTCAATGAGCGTCGTGGTTAAGTGGTTACGACAGCACTGCTAAGCCACTCCCAGTCTACACTGAGCTTCTCTATGGTATCAATTTGCTGTCGTGGTAAAGATGCCTGACCATCGTCATAACTTGATGTGGCAGACTCCAGAATCGTGGATACCTAATGAACTCAAGGGTCTTGGCGGGGGTTGCATTGAAGGAGTGCCGGAGATGTTGCGTTACAATAGGATAGAAACGCGCCGCACGCTGCCTCAGGTGCCTCACTGAGCACTCCCAGGTTCCTCAATCTCAGGTTTCTTCAGCGGAGAAATCTGAGTTACTCATTTTCTTTGTTGAGAAGAAACGCCACACGCCTAGCTCGAAGATTTTTGCAAAAAAGATCAAGCAACGTGCATTATGTTAGGGCCGCGATCTCTTAGAGTTGTAGGTAGCCACAGTGCGTTAGGCGTTAGCTGCGGTAAGGTAGTTAGAACATCTTTTTCGAGCATCGCGGCAACTTCAGCGTCTTCCGCTTCGTTTTTTTTTTTCGCCAAGAGAGGCAGATCAGCAGCTTCAAGTCGGTTTTGTGTAGACTCGCTAACCCTCGCAGCACAGTCTTGGCTGGGGCTCACAACTTCTGGCAGAGCATCATTGCGTGACTCGTGCGGCGGTGTCGCCCAACGCCAGAAAATCTGAGCGACGGAGCGCACCCAAAACCCAGCCGAAGGAAGCTTGGCCGCGTAGCCTCGGTCGCCAGAGAGGTATACCGAGTGCTACCATACCAATGAACCTCGGAGAATCTTCTTCAGGGAATGAAGGAATATTGCAAAAGAGGGAAAAGCTCGCGTGCTCTCCTGCCCAGTAGATTACCACCGTGCTCTCAGAGAAGCAAGAGGGCACGCGACAGCGGGCTTATGTCGCGCTGCTAGCGTCAGATCGCAGGCTTGGCGACACCACGACGAAGAACGAGAACTTGAGCAGAGACTTAACAGAGACACTAGAGAACAGACAACGCTCGATCATCGAGAGCGTATTGAGACGACAACGTGCTCTCACAAACGGTCATGACTGGCTGGATTTTCCTGACGGATCTGTTTTTGGTACCTTGAAAGCCAAGAGGGCCAAGTCCCCCAGTGGCACCCGCTTCACCAATCTCAGCTCGCGGTGTGGATGAGCGCAGAGCTCGGCGCAGACTGGGCATCCGTCAAGAACATCCACCGCAATGGGTCGAGAACTTGCGACACTGGCACTCCGGGGCGAAATGCCATCTTGTAGCTGACAGAACAGTATTGAAACCGACATGTACTGTTGAGAAGTTTTCTCCCTCCCCCTGCCCTCTCTTGTAACGAAGTATCAAGCTGAGGCGAATATAGCCAAGAACTCCAGAAACGTGAACCCTGAAGGGCTTGCCATCGAGATTGTGGGGAGAGGGGAAAGCAGAATAATGGCAAGCTGTGGTATAAAGATCGTGGCGTTCCATGGCTTTTGACAACCTTGAGAGAAAGGTTGACAAGCCTTTCCACTTCGAGTTCGCCTGCCTTCGAGCTCTCTCACCTTTGCTGGTGAAATCTCTCTGTTTCTGTTATTCTTTGACCCCCTCGAAAGACAAGACGACTTCTCAAGTCAGCCGTCATCATGGCTGTCCCTGTCCTTACGCAGTATGACTGGATCATCGCCGTAATCACCCTCGCCTTCTGCGGCAGCTCCATTGGTAATGGTGCAAACGATGTCGCCAACTCCTATGCCACCTCTGTGGCGGCCAGAACCTTGACCATGCCCCAGGTCGGCTTCCTCTCCATGTGTACAGAGTTCTTCGGTGCAGTCGTTCTCGGCTCCAAAGTCACAGGCACGATCAAGAACAACATCATCGAGCTCGACCGGTTTCGCACGACTCCTTCTACCCTGATCCTCGCCATGGGCTGCGCCGAGTTCGCGAGTGCCTTCTGGCTGCTGGCTGCTACAAAAGTTGGATACCCGGTCTCCACAACGCAGACCATCGTGGGAGCGCTCGTTGGTGTTGGTATCGCCGCCCAAGCCCAGGTTTCCTGGGCCTGGAGTGACGGCAGCGTCTCCCAGATCGCCGCATCCTGGGGAATTGCTCCCTGTATCTCAGCTGCGTTTGCTGCCATCTTGTTCGGCAGTCTCAAATTCACCGTCCTGGAACGCGAGAACTCTTTCGAGAAGGCTATGAAGGCTATTCCTTTCTACTTGGCGTTCACGGCTGCCATCCTCGCCCTCTTCATCACTGTTGAGGCCCCTGGCGCACCGTCGCTTGAGGAGCTCGGCGCCGGTACAGTATGCGGCATCATTCTCGGTGTCTTCTTCGGCATCCTCCTCCTCTCTTACATCTTCTTTGTACCCTACGTTCACCGAAGGCTCGTCAAGGAAGACACTCGAATCCGTCTCCGCCACATCTTCCTCGGCCCTCTGTTGTACATGGAGAATCCGCCAATCTATCTGCCCGCGAAAGGAAACGAAGTCGTCATCGACTACTACGCAAGCGCGCACGATGACTCCAACGTCACCAACGAAGCCGATATCGAGAAGCAAGCTGACAAGACCGAGGGCGGCAACGATAGAGGCGAGAAGCTAGTCGGAAACGACAATAACTCTGATACCCCTTCTCCCGTTCCCATGTCTCTCGAAGATGTCGAGCGCGGCAAGAAAGGACCAGAAAATCCAGCAGTTTTGCAGCCTTACCAGCGCATGCCCGAGCCTGAAGAACGCTTCCTTGCTCCTACCGCCCACCTTCCCATCCACAATCCTAGACGTATCTGGAGCTTCATCAAGTACTTCTTCCTGCAGGGAGTCACCCGCGATTGTGTCACCCACGCCTCATCTCAGCTCGCCGCCATCCACGGCAAGGCTAAGAAGTACGATAACCGCGTTGAGCACCTATGGACCTACGCCCAAGTCGCCAGTGCTATGATGATGTCCATTGCGCACGGTTCCAACGATGTCGCCAACGCTGTCGGCCCCTGGGTTGCCGCTTACCAGGTTTATATGACTGGTGAAGTAAGCGAGGAGGGGGAAACTCCCATCTGGATCTTGGTTGTTGCCGGCTTTTTGCTCGGTGCGGGTTTCTGGTTCATGGGTCACCACATTATCAAGGCTATGGGCAACAAACTCACTCAGCTTTCACCCACGAGAGGTAAGCCAGCTTCTTGTCAAGGATCTTATCTTGTTACTAATACCGCTCTTAGGTTTTGCTATGGAACTCGGCGCTGCCATTACCGTACTTTTGGCCAGTCGTCTCGGTCTCCCAGTCAGTACCACCCAGTGCTTGACTGGAGCCGTTATTGGTGTAGCTCTGATGAACTTTGACGTCGGCGCTGTAAATTGGCGCCAAGTCGCTTTCATCTTCTCCGGCTGGATCGTCACATTACCCTGCGCGGGTCTCATCGGTGGCTTGCTGATGGCGATGTCGCTCAACACTCCTCAGTTCGGTCAGGGATAAGACTGTTTGACGAAGGCATGGAATGGACACGAATCATGGTGGCGGCGTTAGGGATTGAAATTTGTTTCCGAACAGGGCTAGACACTCATAAAAGGCATGCCGAGATCATGTATGTCCTGGACAGCAACTGAATTACGACAAAAGTTCTCATCTTACTTGCTGCTCTTTCCCCAATGGGCCCAATGGGTACGAGATCACATGCATGGAGCAACTTTGAAGTCCAGTTGAGATCAAAGGTAAAGGTGTTGGTGGCTCTCCACTAACGGATTGACATAAAACCACCTGACGCTTGCCGTGACGGAAGTGCTCAATTTCTGCGACAGCACAGTTGCTAGACAGACAGGACTGCCCTCCGCAAAGACCACTTCTTCTTGATGTTGATTTGAACAGAGGATCAGAGTTGTATGGTTATGCATACGTATGATTGAGAGCAGGAGCCTGTCTCGCTTCTATTTTATGACTTACTTCAGTGCATCGAGCCGCTGATGCAGGTGACTGAATGACAGTATTTCCATTTTCTGCCCAAAATCGTACCTGTATAACCGCCCGACAGTCTACCGAATGATCGAGCTTTGTGGCAAGTGTCATACCCTACATACAATTTATCTACCATGGTACAAGTTGGCTTCGCATACAGACTTCCGGTATCCATACCTTAGGCAAGTGGCCGGGGAATTGTCGAAATCTAGGTAGCTCACTCTTCAATCTGGGAATGGACCACTACAAGAATCCCAGGACCGATCAACAGGAAGTTTTGTTCTCTCTCCGGGAGAGAGCGCCTCTACAGAAGCTAGGAAAGGCCACTTCAAATACTGAAGACCTTGCAAATAAATACCTAGACGAGCATCTCGTTACCATAGCATGTGCTCCAGAACACCAGTACCGCCTCGTTGTAGTCATCATGACCAGCGGGTAGGGGTGTTTCGTGTCGGATACTCAACCACATAACAAGCTAAGTCACAGCGACAACTCCTAGGCAAGTCTTCGGAACTTCCTAAACGTTGTTGCAAACTACGGTACCCCCTCGTCTGACATGTTGCCCAGAACAGTGTCTGTCACGCACGCTGGTTGGTCAAAGTCACAATGCAATGCGAGCGTCGCATTGTTAGGCATTCCCCGACCATGTCATTGGTCGTAGAATCTGGGGGCGAGCCGTAGGCAAGACAATCCCGAAGGACTCGCTTTTTGGCGGCTTTGCGTGGTCGGATGACCAAAAAGCCGTGCGATGAACGACCAACAAGTCAAGCAAATGCGTTAGATTGTCATAATGGCACTGTTCGGATGTACTGTGATGCGGAAGGACGGAAACAGACAGCGCAAAAAGATTGCGGTAATTGCACCAAGAGGTGGGCGGGCCGCGCACTTCTGTAGATAGGATCTCGGATGCTAGCCGAGACCCGGCCCGCTGGGACGAGGTGATAACCAGCTAATTCGTTATTGGCCGACTAACATGGAACATCCATTGAGAGCGGCCAATTCGGGAATCTTCAATAGGTTATCGAGGGATGCTGTGGGTGGCGGTTATTGCACCTGTCCCCGTAGCCGCAATGCAGACTACCTCAGAGGGTCTCAGAGGTAGGGTGGCTGTTATCGACGACACCGCGGAAAGCCGCACGTACGCACGGGGCGGAATGGGGGCAGAGATGGGATGGGAGGGTGTAGTGATGCTTCATCTGACAGGTACCGCCCCGATCGTGATGGCGGTCCATGAGTATACATATGGCGGCTATCTCATCGTTGTCTACTTCTTTTGTTTCGTCACTCACATGCCATTGAACTGACCACTCTTCTACTTCTTCGATCTAACAAGTTCACGATACCCCCTTTTACAAGCTCATTCATCACCATACAGAAAACATGGGATCTATTCCAGTTGGGTGGAGGCAACTCGATGTCGGTGTCGTCGGCGGAGGCATCGGCGGCATGAGCGTCGCTATCGCGCTGCGCCGGGCCGGACACAAGGTTACCATCTACGAGCGCAACGACTTCGCCGGTGAGGTCGGCGCTTCCGTCTCATGCGCCGCAAACGGCACCCGCTGGCTGCACGAGTGGGGTGTGGACGTTGAGAAAGGCGACCCCGTCGTCCTGAAGAGCCTAATCAACAGAGACTGGAAGACGGGCGAACCTGTCAGCGTGTACAGCCTCGACGATTACGAGAAGCGTTGGGGATACGTCTACAACATGTTCCACCGTCAGTACATGCACGCCATGCTCAAGGACACGGCGATGCAGGAGGAGGGCGAAGGAATTCCGGTCAAGCTGTTGGTCAACCAAAAGGTAAGACACCGTCATGTAACATCTGCATTCCAGTCCTCAGCAGCTAATGTTCCCCCGCAGTGCAAGAACATCGACCTGGCCAGCGGAAAGGTGGAGTTTGACACCGGCCTGACCGTAACTCACGACCTTATCGTCGGCGCCGACGGAATCGGCAGCGTAGTGCGGGGCCTGATCGGCGTCAAGCCGGAGAAGCGCCCTGCCGATTCAAGCTGTCTGCACGCCAACGTCCTCACCGAGGACGCCGTCAAGGCGGGCCTCGTCGACTACTCGCAAGACGCCGCGCTCGAGTACTGGGGCGGTCAGGAGGGCAAGTGGGACAAGATCGTCCTCTCACCCTGCAACGGCGGAAAGCTGCTATCGTACTACTGCTTCTTCCCCAGAGAAAAGGGCGACTATGTGAATCAGGCTTGGGGCGTCGAGGACCGCCCCGTCGAGGAGTTGCTGGCGCCGTACCCCGAGCTCGACAAGCAGGTCCTTGCGCATCTCGCTATTGGCAAGGATATCCAGCCCTGGCGTCTGTGGATGCAGTAAGTTGTCCAATCATTTTCTCTCAGTCTCTTGTTCTGACTTGAATACAGTGACCCTTACCCTTACGTCAACAAGGACATGGTTTGCCTCTTGGGTGATGCGGGACATCCTGTAAGTCAACGTGTTATCCATTCGGTGTGAAAGCGGTTCTGACTGAAGCCCCTCAGATGATGCCTCACCAAAGTCAGGGTGCATGCATGGCTATCGAAGATGCCGCTGCTATTGGAATTCTTTTCCACCCCAAATACTTCAACGGAGATGTCGCCGACACCTTGGAAATCTACAACACCGTCCGTCTGCCCCGCGCCACGCGTGTGCAGTCTGCGGCTGCCAAGGCTGCTTACAACATCAACGAGCGTATTGGTAAGCTCAATAAACCAAAACAACCCTCTTTGAAAGAAGACCTGAAGCTAATTGTTATATAGGTTTCTCAAACAACACCAGTACCAGCACATACAAGGTTGCCGATGAGAGGGCCAAGCTCACCATTGAGGAGATGAACGGGCGAGTTTCACCGCTTCCAACTACCTTTTTGGACTTTGCTAACGATGTGACAGATATGACATGTACAAGGATATCGAGGAGGTCATTGCCAAGCGGTCAGGGGCTCCCTTTACCCAGAAGTTTATCAAGGGTCTGCCCATAGGATTGGAGCTGTCTCCTGGCGTCATCGTCGGGCAGTAAACGGCATGGGGGGTTGCAAAAGCTTGAAGCTGTGTTTTTTTTTTTTTTTTTTGATTAAACAAACCTTTGGGCATTAATTGGAGTTTTGGGTCGGGAGGAGTACGAAATGTTCATAACAAATTATTCCCAATATTCAAGTTGTATAAAAGCAGATGGGCCGTGCTTTGGTTATGAAGCACTTATGCCTAACGTGAACTAAAAACTGCAGGGTCATGAGAAGAAGCCGAGAAATCGTCTGACGATGCAACGCGCATCCTGCATCTACCACCGAATCTAGATTCACACTCCGATCTATCCAATCATTCTCTTAGTAAGTGACTGCAGGAGGCTGGGTTCATTCTTTTCCTTGACCCTCTCTTGCAGAGCCTCCATGCCCAAGCTTTCAACGAGAGATATCAGAAAACGTTTTTCCCCCAATGACCAGCCAAAGGTGCACAACTCTCAAGCAAGCATAATTCAGAGTTCATCACATCTTGAGGCTCCGTCTGTCCTCGCCCGCCTACATGTTTGTCAGTGGTCCTTGAGTCGCCTTCCTCGCCTCAAGACCTCGGCAGCCTCACCCGACGTTGAGGAATCTCCTCCGTCTTCCCAGATTTTCGAGATTATCCTCACAGGCAAAGAGCGGTAGAAACAGCCGCCGTCAATGTTTCATGCAGCCAAGGGTGCTTCATGCAAAGGGCGGTGGAGGCGATCGCCAAATGTGACTGCACCCCCCCTGCTGATGGATGAGATATCCAAGGATGTCCAAGGATATCCAACGCGAACTGCGCTAAAATGTCACTACGGGTGGATCTCGAAAAGAATTCTGCAGGTGTCCCGAGCTCCCGGGGGGAGAAGAATGCCATATCCAGCAAGGGTTCTTGAGAAAATCTTCCAATCTTTCCCAGGAGCCCTGGACGCGGTCGCCGGCGAGGCGACGACGCGATGCCAGCGGTGAAGGAAGCAGGCGGACGAGGGTGGTGATTGTTTATGCGACTCGCGAGGTTTTCTTTGGTGCCCAATGTTTTTTCGACCTTCCATTTCGTTTAATCTTGGTTCAGGTTTAGTTGGCCAGCCACTTCGGTGGGCCGCACCACACCTCGGCGACTCCAGAGCGTTGGCCATCGAGAGGTTCACGGACGGTGGATGGGCAGTATTGATTGCTTTGATTTGCCATACCGGCTCTTTTGGTGGAGACCATACGAACACTGAGCTTGAGAACTGTGAACATGGTATCTCGGGCTGCTGAACTGACGAGCACATATATATGAGCCTCAAGTCCAGCTTTCATATTTGCCCATTCTTCTCTCTTGTTTCCTCATCTCTGTTTGGTCACGACTCACGACATCTGAGACCTTTGCATAACTGCTTCTCCGTCTAGCAGTTGCTTTTCATTTGGCGTGACGAATTTCGCTTTTGGTTTTCCCGTCTTCTTTTTCTGTTTCCTGTTTTCCGAAATTACGGCCGTTGATACCCCCTCAAAATGTCTCCCGCACTTTTTGAGTCTCACCGGAGAACCCCCTCTGGCCAAG